GGGAGGTTCGGCTGAAAATTCGGACTCAACGACATGGTCAGACCCAAGACATGCAACGCATGGGGGACAATTACCGACTCATCTTGCTTCAAATTATCAAATTTGAATATTAGTGGTGATGTTTCAGCGTTAGAAGACGATCAATTTTTGTCAAACTTCTTGTTTGATAACTGATATGGGGTTTGTCTCTAGAAATCTAGTTCATCTCATCTCACTATTTTTTCATGGATCGATTGTGGAAACAAATGCACAGGAAACTGCATATGGGAAAAACACCAGGTTTCCTGCAGAATGTTCCGAGCAAACCGACTCATTGATCATGATAATATGATATGTGTTGCTGAAATTCCCATGCACATCCCCTATATAGGTATCATTAATTATCATATTCTGGTTGGTGGTTTGGAACATGGCTTTTATTTTTCCACATATTGGGAATAATCATCCCAACTGACTCATATTTTTTTCAGAGGGGTAGGTATACCACCAACCAGATAGTGATATCATTAATATTGCTAAATATCCCTATTGAAAAATGTATATAGTGATAATATCTATTGATCATGACAATCATAGATGACCTTTTCCCATTGGTTGGTTGACTGAGGGGTTTGCTTAAGATCCCCCGAAATCCATATGATTTGGAGCTCCGGTAGGTGGCGCGAAAGTACCGCCGCATCTTGGAATCCATGGCCTCCACTGGGTGTCACATCGCATGTTGCACCGTGAGGATGGCCCAGTGCTTGGGGACACGTTGGGGTAGCCATGGGTAGCCTGGTAGCCCCCCAAGACATGATGGAGAAAAGGGTGATTTTACCCACTGATCTTGGAAGAACATGATACTTTTTTCGGGGCTGTGCAAAAGATGATTGAAACATCTTCGATCAAATCGTGTCAAACTTCGAATCTTGACTAGTTAAGATCCAAATTCCGTGATTTACCGACGTGGACATCTGCGGGGTTCCTAAAATTGGTGGACCCCAAGATACCAAGCGATTGGTCGGCTGTATAGTGGGGATTCCTCCATTGTGTAAACACTAGGTATAGAGTCTATGACCTGTGATGATCATATATAATATATAGCGCATACAGATAATATACTGGAATATATTACAAACTGTTGGTGTAGAGAGTTCAATACAGATTTTCACCGTATGATTCTTGTGTATTAAATACCTTTCATGGCTGTCATTGAGTCATTTGAGTTACGGCATGTGCTGAGCCGAGTCATGGCTTGTGAGGTGTATCGGCCCAACTTCAAGAACACCTTCCTCACAGGATTATCTCTTTGCAGTTTGGGGTTCGCCCTCCCCCAGATGGGCAAAAAGCCAAAAATGGTCGGGGAATCAATCCGCTCAACGGTGAATCCCGATGGGAACCAGGGATGGGAACCAGTCATCAGCATGTTTGTTTTATTTGATGATGTATCATTCTGAAAGATCCATTCCATATTATTCCATTCAATTCCTCATAGAAACTCTGAAATTGTTATCACAATTTGACATCGCATGGCCGTTAGCAACTCCACTGTGACACAGTGATAGGTACATTCACATGTGGACATGTTGCGTGATTCAAAGCGCAGCGCACGTCACAATGCGCATGACATTCGCCGGTTCCAAGTGGTCTGTGCGCTTTGCAGCCTTTTCTGCAGGCTACCAACCATTGAACCACGGGCAGCTGTAGAAGTCCTTGATGTTTGATGTGAAAGCCACGTGTTTCTGGGTATGACCTATAATTATTGCGGTATTTCTTGGCAATTTGTTTTAAATGCCATTCTTGTTGATGTCTACGGAAGTTGACCATAGATAAATTTTGTGCTTAAGGGTGTAGCTAGAGACACACATTTTCCCCACAGTGATGGTCCCAATGTCATGAAAAAATTGGGGGTACATAGCCTAAACGAGCTTTACCCATCAATGAAATTTGCATGTAGCCACAGATACGACTAGTCAACTAGTCAGCTCCATCATTATATCATCATTTCATGTCATATCATATCATATATGTCAAATCATATATGTTATATCATATATGCTATATCATATATATCATATATGTTATATCATGTCATATGTCATATGTCATATGTCATATGTCATATGTCATATATCATATCATATCATATCATATCATATCATATCATATGTCATGTGTCATATATCATATATAATATCATATCATATCATATCATATGATTGTAGAATATTTCTGGGATAACTAATGGGAAGATAACTTGTAACCCATCATTATCATAGCTCCCTGGAGTACATTGAACACCGACTCGGCCTGTGTGGCCTCGACTGGTTCCATGCGAGTTGTTGGACTCGTCAGTGGTGGCAAGGACGGTGCGGCTTGATGTGCTGACAAAAGTGCCATGTGGATATAGAACCAACCTGGTTGGTTGGTGGTTTGGTTGGTGATTCACAGGTGGTTAATGATGGTTAATGATGGTTAGTGATGGTTAATGATGGTTAATGATGGTTAATGATGGTTAATGATGGTTATATAATGGTTATATAATGGTTAATGATGGTTATATAATGGTTATATAATGGTTAATGACTGGTTGGTGGTTTGGAACATTTTTTTCCACTCAGTTGGGAATGTCACCATCTCAACTGACGAACTCATATTTTTCAGAGGGGTAGGTATACCACCAACCAGCAACCATCAATGGGGAAACTTAAAGGAACATGGGTGGATTTAACTGGATTTAACTTTTTGAACCAATTCAGAATGTTTATGATGAGTGTATCTGCCTGGATTACAACGCCCTCGCCGCCTGCATGACGTCAAGAAATGATTTTGGGGGAATCCTCCCCAAACAACTTCATCTCAGAGTGAGTTGTCTTAAATTAGCCGCTTAGCCAATTTTAATTGACTGAATTTGCAGAAGAGTTTCTGGAACAAGCAACATCATGAAGTGCGGTTGGCATTTGTTACACGCTTTTCTGATGTGTCTTCTGATCCTCTCTGATTTCCTGAGATATGTTTCGCTTTGGAAGTGAAAATAGGGTTCCATGTTTACGCAACGTTGATGTCCCAGAATTGGTTTAAGGGAACATCTGCAGGGAACCTATAATTTGGGAGTAAGACATAGTAAGACCATGTAAATACCATGGTTTCTGGGTAAGATTTTCCGGAACAAACCAACCCATTGATGACGATCAAATTCCTGCAGGCTTTCCCTATGCCGCCGTACTTGCCTTGTTGGCCAGCTGGTAGGACTCCATTTGGAATCTGCACTACTGACAAGCTGGCATGTGCAACCGCGTTTTTTTTTGAAAATCAGGTACCCCGCAAGGAACATTGTCATAATAAGAATAATAATGTTAATCATCAGCAGCAGCAGCATCAGCATCCTCCTCCTCCTCTTCATCATCCTTATACTTGTATTTATGTCACTATCACAAACTTTAGTGAGAATTAAAATGGGTATGCCCAATTTGAGACCACGACACACCCAAAGTCCGAGTTTGATCCCAGTTTGGGTATTGTTCAAGATTCTGGATCCGCAAACCAGCAGAACTTACATTATTTTTTAATTGTTTTTGGTCCTCATGTTTCCTGCAACATCATCCTCAATGGATTAACTTAAAAAAAAAAACACTGGAAAAAAACACAGTTCTCTACCATAAGATTAAGGGACATAACATAAGAAAAACATAGAGGAACATACGCCGGCTAAATGCTGGGGGGTTCTAATTTTTTCCATCCCCTGTTTCGAGCCAGGCCACTACTTTCAGCATGAGGTGCTTTGCTTGGCACACTTGGCGCCACCAGAAGGGGTTCAGGACCACGATCGAAGATCGAAGTGGTGGAATACCGGTAATCTAAGAATTTGCTATGGACAAATCAATGGACATCAATATTAATGGATCTTAATGGAATCTTAATGGACATCCAACTGGACATAATGGGATACCCGCTGGTAATTTAGCAGTTTGCCATGGATCAACACCATCATCAAACTAGCCACGGGCCATCTACACCAGTTTGCAAACTGTAAGACACTACCAGATGGTATGTCCAAAACATCATGGTGTTCTTCCATTGATCCATAAGATGACCCTCTGGTAATTTAACAGTTCGCTATTGAAAATGGCCCAGTCCAAATGGTGAATTTTCCCATTAAACATGGTGATTTTCCATATGGTGATGTTTACCAGAGGGTAAATCCCATTAGATCCCATTAAACCACATAAAATCCCATTAAATCTCATTAAACCCCATTGAATCACCATTAAAAGTGATCCCCTACGTTTGTCCAATATCCCAAGTGTTAAGGTCAGCTGCAGAGATCCCATTGATCCATTGATCCCTTGGGATTCGGATCCCGCTGATAGATCAGCCCTGTCGTCTGCCGAGGTGGATCGAGGTGGATCCTGATATAGATTGGTATAGTAGAAGATAAGCACATGTCATATAATATTGATATGTATATGTATGGGTTGTTTGGTATTAATGTATTATGTAATATATACTGTATATATAATATATATAAAATAATATATATAATATATAATATATAATATATAATATAATATATATATATATAATATATTATATTATATAATATATAATATGTAATATATAGTATATAATATGTAATACATAATATATAATATATAATATATAATATAAAATATATAATATATAATATATAATTTATAATATATAATATATAATATATAATATATAATATATAATATAAATGTAATATATATATAATATTATATAATATATAATATGTAATATATAGTATATAATATATAATATGTAATATATAATATATAATATATAATATATATTATATAATATATAATATATAATATATAATTTATATATGTAATATATAATATAATATATATACAGTATATATATATATTAGATAGTTGCAACCAATATACTAATTATGAGAGAATTCAAATGAACACCAGATTATCCCTGAGTCCCAAAAAAATCCAGATGTTCGTCACGTCTTCAGCATCCAGGAGATGGACTCCTACATGTACCAGACGGTTTCTGGGCACACCATGGTGAGATTTCGAGGAGTTTTTTGGTGAGTCAACGAATGTAGAACTAGATGAAGTACATTAAGTAGATAGTGGCAGTGATGTGATAGACATACAAACTTGCATCATATTCAATTATTCGTATATAATTCTGGAAATTCTATAGTTTCTAACTATAGTATATCTATTTATTTATATATATATATAGTTTGTATATGCAGATATATTATAGAAACGGTAACGTTTGTTACCGTTTGGACCCTGGGACCTCCAGATAAATCCCTATGTTTCCGCACGACAAGGTTGGCTCCGAGCTGGTGAACTCCATCGCAGAGGTGAGGATGAACTTGGTCTGTCAAGTTTGGGAGCATCCAACTGGGTAAATTATAACGACCTCACTGCGACCGAGCCCTGGAATCATAGTTAATAAGGGAAATCATCCCCAAATGGCCGAACTATTCAGGTTAGTGAAATTTTATAATTTACCCAGATCCAAGATGTTTGTTTTTGTCTGGAAATATGGTACCCAAATCCCCAAATTGACTGGTTTACCATCATCATTTTCTCAATCTTCATTGCTATTTTGTGGACATAGCCCATTTTCAGCCACACGATTATGGTGGTTTCCTGCGGGGGGTACCCCCAAATAATCCAAGTCATTAGACAATTTTAGTATTGAAACCCATTGTTTTTGGGTACCTCCATTTATGGAAACCCCCACATTGGAACCAGCATGTCAATATTGATCCATATTGTCACCCAAATATGGTATTAATATGGTATTAATACAGCATGTTGGGACCATATTTATTTTGTGTTGGTATTGGTCTTGGGACCCACAAGGGATACGTGACCTAATACCAACACCTGGAACATCGGTTTTTAAACTTCAACATTTGGTTAAATATGTTTTATCTATTTTCATAGCAGTGGTTTTGAATGTTGATTCATATGCAGATCTGGCAGAGACGTTTGTTGGAACTAGATGAGTACGCGCTTCACTTCAAAATGTTTTGTTTGTGGCATGCAAAGTCAACAAGTCAAGATTATTGTAATAGATAGGTGAATCCTTTATCATCTCACATGAAACCATCCATGAAGCGGAAATTCGAATAACTTCCTTATCACGGACAGAAAACCAGCAACCTGTTTCAACCCATTGAATGTCATATTTGAACATGCACAAGCTGCAATAGATCGGTGACTATGGGACAATCTGTGGGGTATGCCCAGATTTAGTGGTTCAAAACCAGGGTTTCGCGCAGATGTTCCGCTTAAACCCGGGTTCAGGCGATGGAGCTTCCCTTGGTTCGTCGGAATATCACCGGAGCACCCAAGAACCTGGAGAACGGTAGCTATGTGAAGAGCTCAGGCACAGTTTCGAAGGTATTTGGAGGAGTTCCATACTGTGGATGGGAACGATCTCATTACAACATACCTTAAGATGCCATAAGAATTACAGTGTTTCATTTTTACCTATAGTTTCCAACTGGTGCAGGATGGATCAGGATGGCATGTCCATCCACAGGGTGTTTGGTGTTTCTGTTTGGTCGTTTTTTGTTTTCAAGCAATGTGAAGCCAGGATTTTCTTGGACGATTAGGGGAAACCATCGGAAATCCATATGTATATATATATATATATTAATATATATATATATATATATATATATAGTGAAAAACAAAACATGGTTTCTGTTTAAGATGTTCCCTTAAAACCATTCAATGATATGATGTGTATATATACATATTATATATTAAATACTATATCTATATTCTATCTATACTATATATTATATATATATATTATTTTATATGTATATATATAATATTATATTATATATATATATTATTATATTTTATTATTATATTATATATATATTATTATATATGATTATATATATTATTATATATGATTATATATTATTATATATTATATATATATTATTATATATTATTATATATTATATCTATATATTATATTTGTTTATATTAATTAATATTATATCTATATATTTTATCCCCCATATGAAAATCAACGAAGGGGTTGGTTCATCCCGGGACATCAGCACCTGATTTATTTGAGGTGCCGCAGGAGGGAGATGAGGCGGGATTCTCGGGTTGGTGATTGAGGGGATTTTTACCAAACCAAAAGTGAAGTTTATTGCCATCCATAATGGCAATACGATGGAATATATATATATATGTATATATAATATGTATATATATATGTATATATATATATACTCGTATGTAAATGAATAGATAAGATACAGTATATATATATATAGTCAGCTTGCTCTGGTTTTATTTTGGGATTTATGTAGCCAACTTGCCATGATTTGATTTGGGTGTGTTTGGAAATAGGGAATGAACTCCCAAAAGTGCTCTTTAATACTACCTAATAGGGAACATGATGTTAAACCAGTGGGTATTGTTCTACTCTATTTTTTGACAAGTCCCTTGCCATGTTGTGTACAGCAAAAACAACATCCCAGAAAATGGACAACACACCGATTGGTGGTGTTTATTTTCGTTTTCCTTGTTCCTTCCTACAACATGAGATGATGATCCGCAGTTACTTCTATTTCCAACCCAGAACTGTTCATTTTTGTGTGGATTGTCTAAAGAAGTCCCAGTTTTGAATATCCCAAATTCACTGTGTTGATAAAGAAAAACACATTGACAGCGGGCTATGAGCTCTATATTCATTCAATTTCATTTATGTAGGTAGGTGGGATGTCTCTTGGTCAGCGTGAACACCACCCTGTCACAGTTCGACTTTTCTTCGATTTTTGTGGGTGTTCCACAGTGACTTTGTACAGAATATCAACTTCATTCAACTTCAAAGTCACTGATCAAAGAACTATAGCCAACCAGATATACTGGAGGTGTCACTGCATAACTTTGAAGTAACTTTCAAGTTACTGGAGTTTGGTGAATCCTTTCAAGACCTACTAATCTTTCATCAACTTTGGTAACTATTGGTATAACTATTGGTACATATTGGCACAACTATGAAACACTGTAAATAGTGGGACAAAATCACGGGATTTCTTCCATCTACCAACTCGTGCATGATTTTGCTTGTCTTCAGCTTTAGTTCAAGTTTTCAAACGACTCGTGCAATGTGGCACCATGACCAATACCTAGGAGCCAAAAAAGTGGCTGACCGCATGGATATGTTTTTTGGCTTTTTGACATGGTGGATTTCATATTATTTTATGATTCTTTATGACGTATGAAGCAAGAAACGGTTGCCTAGTTTAAATAAAGTGAAACAGCCTGAAATCCTGTTGCACCCTGGCATCAAGACATTCACTTTGCGCAAGATCCATGGGAATCAAACATAATATTTTGAATGGCTCCATTAATGTCCACTACAAACATCGAGCAGTGTTTTACCTCTCTGTAGCTTCAGCACCGTGGCGCCCCGATGAATGGCCCCCATCGGCGTAGAACACGTCCTGTCGCCCGGGCGGCTGGTGATCACGGTGTCCGGCATCGACAGTGCCCGTAGCTGGACTGATGAACAAGATCACTTCGAGAATTTTGAAGCATCAAGCATAAGGGGTATTAAAATGGTTTAGAAAATGGTGTAAATATATATTATATATAATTATATATCATGTATATATTATGTGTATGTATATATATATACACATGTGAATATTTTTGTAATGTATGTTGTGTATACATATTATATATATATATACATCTTATATATATATACATCATAACTATAATTATATGAAAAACACATATTTGTATAATATATATATACATATGTATATATATATATATACAATATAGATAAATATTGATACTGTAAATGATGGCTTTGACGGGACATTTGAACTCATCTAATTGAGCCAATTGAAGTCACCATCTCAAACAAGAAGCTTCTACACTTTAATTGACCACCTCGTGGCCCAGAATGGCACAGCTTCGTTAGATTAATGTCAAGCTTGGATTAACCCTCCAAATCGTAATTTCATGGGAGATTTACTTGGTATCCACCCTAATTAAACAGCCTAGGCCTAGGGTTTTATTAATCCAGGGTAGTTGGCATGATACAATAAACGGCGGTATGGTCTTTAACTGAGTCAGTTTCCATCAGGATTACGGTCCTTGCTCAGGATGCTTGGAGGACTTGGACGTCAAAGAAGATTGTGTCACGTTTTTGGCCAATGGAGAAAGGGCACTTCGGCAACGAACAGTTTGCAATCTGGGATAGTTAGCGCCATTTTTTGGATTCCGTCCTCACTGCAGTGCTGCTGTGAACATTTATATAGTATTAAAATGTATAGAATCTGCTCCTTTTGAGTGTACATATGAGGGGGTTGTATCATGCTAGAGGGAATTGGATTCAGGATGGCAAACTGCAAGCACTGGATCTAGACGACATCCGTTCTATGTTACTTGGACGAAACCAAACCGGTTCCTGTGTTGAGCCCTTTCCCGCTGCCAGCGTTTGCCAACATTCCTTCAGATTTCGGAAGAGATTTCTGAGGTCCATTTGCCATTGGCACCGGACACGCAACTTGGCGTTAATCGCAGATGGGTTTTGAACTTTAGTTCCACTTTTGAGAGAACACTGGTGATTCAAGCAAGAAACATGGCAGTTTAATGGTGATCCAATGGTGATTGAATGGCCCTCTTATGGGGTTGGCCTTCGGTGTCATCAATGGCTGGGCAATCCTCGAACTAAATGAAGGTTTATAGCTGGGTGCTCATCATCGAAGTAAAATGGATGATTTTCCTCCAAAAACCATGTGTGATTACTGGAGGGTACCCATATGGATCCCAGAGGATCCTATGATATGGTTTACCCTCTGGTTATGTCAAAATAGCTATTGAAAATGGCCATTGAAATAGTTGATTTACCCATCAAAAATGGTGATTTTCCATCGTTATGGTGATGTTTACCAGAGGGTATTTGGCAATCGAACCCTAAAACCAACCGAACATCTGTCTGTAGATGATGTTCACAACTATGTTCCTGTGGGATTTCTTCGGTTGACGTGTCTGATTCAAAGGGCAGCACAATGCATGGCCACAGGAAGATGTGACCTGTTCCCATTGCAACAGTATATAGGTGTTGTTGATTTTGTCAGGGCAACTATCTTTGACCACCAACCTGTTGACATCAAAATTAAGCAAAACTTTCAAGACTGATACTGATGAAACCCTAAAACATTGTGCTTAAAAGCTTAAACCATCAACAACTGTGATTTTAAATTATCTAAGAATTTGGGCTAAGCCTCAATACGAAAGGTCTTTATGTAGACTGCATGCCCGGGTTTGTCTCTTGAGGAAACCACTCATGAAGTGTTTGGAATTGAGTATGGGCATGGCTGACGGCTGAGGTACTGTACCAATGGACCTGTAATGTAAGGTATGTCCAAAAAATGGGATTGCCGGCAAAAAACTGCAATGGCAGTTCCAGTGGGGAACATAATGATTGTTGTCTGCTATCTCAGCCATTTTTTGCTACCCATTTACCATAAATGGATATGTATATATATATACATATATATGTAAATGAAATAAATAGATGGATTAAACATGTGAATCAGATTTATCATGATTTATCCATTTATATCGTTTTATATCCATGCATCAATGAGATCAATGACATCAAATGATATCAAATAAGCCATGTCTATTGGTGTTGATCCGACGTTGCATTGACTCTTCTGGCGACAGCGCTGCCTTTCACCCAAGGATCAACGTCAACGATTGCTCAGCACGCTTCAGGCAAGGATGGAGTGGAGAGGATGGGGTCAAATGGGGATGTAGTGCAATTCATTTAATGTAATCGGAGAATAAACATCAAACATGTGGATCTGGACCATGAAACCTAATATATATATAATAATGATATATATATATATATATTTATAACTATATGTATATATATATATACACTAATATAGACCATGTTTTTGGAGTGAACATCCATTTGCCGGCTGTTTCGGGCGTGGAAAAAAACATGCAGGGCGAACTGACCCACTATCCTTGAGGTGTGTCACAATATGTGTTAATTTTGACTTCGGGTGTCACGAAAACGTCTTTTTTTTGTTGTGTTGTATTGTTCATTCGCAACAGATTGGGCATGATTAAAAATGGTTGACCCGAAGAGCATGTCTTGTTTGATGCTATATAAATAAACCTTCACAATTGTGCGACTCCACCCCAAAACTGGATGGAATGGTACTTGAAGCAGCTTAAGCGCCAAGTCTAGTACTGTACACTCCAGATGCCGTATAACGCAATAATTACTCAAAACCGCTAAAGGAAACACCAATTTTCATGTTCATGGTCAAAATTGATCAAAATTGCGTGAAGCATCACCAAATGTCGCACACTTTGGTGTCCCGTGAGGAAAACCGATTTGATCCTCTCCTGGTCGCCAAAGTCGTCGAAGGAGCCACAGGTAGCGAGCCACATGGCACTGACTGGTGAATACTGGTGAACGTTACTGGTGGAGGATTCACTGGTGAAACAGGGCGGTTTTAATATTTTTCATCATCAAAAACATGGTAAATATAGGACGATAACATTAATTCTATATGGTAATCATCCTATATCTACTAAATAGTAATTAAGATATGGTAATCATTTACATTCCCACCAAAACCATGGAATTGAACCATATGTCAATACTATGTGGTCAATTTGGGGGAGTCAACCCGCAACGGTGGAAACAACATGGGGATGTAACCAACCGTCTATTCTCGGAAAACATACCTAGTGACCTAGTGGAACCTGGAGTATGTGGTAAACCCACTGCCGTAAACCTCCGCAGTGTTTCAAGCCCACTGATTTTTTGGTAACTCCTCGGGGGTGGTTTATGAAATTGGCTTCGCCACATTTCTAGCTGGAACCTCATTTTCAGGGAAGACGTATTGGTGTTCCCACAAAGAATGTTTATGATTGTTTGTTGAGGTTTGATATAGCTAGGATACTTAATTTACAGATATTGTTTTGGACTTCAGATGGCTGGACCCAGGCTCTCCAGCAGAATGCACCGTGGATGACATGGGCTATGCAGCGAGCGGCAAAGCTCAGGGCTTGCTGAACAGACCTCAGGCTAGGGTAGGATGGTGTTTGCCTGAAAACGGTTTCAAGATCACTTTTGAACCCAGCTATTGTACGCATGTTATATCATGTTATAATTTCTTTATATAGTAATTATACAGATTTTTTTCTATACATGTTAATTCTGTTTAATGCACATAGCATATATATTATATACACATTAACTAATATATAGATATTATCTACCATGTCACGTTCTATAATATTTTCCTATTTGGGGGCACTATATTCACCACTGTATTTGAGGGTACTGTATTCATATGTATATGTATACTGTATATATATATATATATATATGTAAATAAATATATATATATATAATATGCACAATTACATACCTACTGACTGCATATACGTGATGAATAGAGAATAGGGGTACCCCCAATTCTCGCGGTCGATCATCACTTTTCCATGTTGCGACTGCTTTTTTAGGGTATCACCCTCGCAGCGGTTGGTGCAGGGGACACACTTTCGCTTGGCTGCGGCGGTGAAATGGGCCACGCGCAAGCTGGAGATGTTGCAGATTCCAGAATGCACAGGTGGGAGCAGAGCAGTCTGAAAACCTCTGCTTCACAGAAATCAGTCCCAGCTTGATGTTCACTAAGGTCTGCTCATCATGATGTATAGGGATCCCAAACAGATGCTGGTAAAAAAAAAATGGAAAAGCGATGGATGCCCACTGTTTTGATGTTGTTCTTTATCTCCAGAATTGGGACATAGTTATGGAGAAATCATCAAAACAGGACTTAAATCAAGTGTAGGATGAAGTGGAACAGTGGGGGATCTACAACACTTCATCCAGATGTATCATTTTGAATGCTGGCGCCAGCCGCTGCTCTATCGACAGCTCTATCGACAGCTCTACCGACAGGTTTCCAGCGTTTCAAGGCGGAAGTTGGCCTAGCTGAGTTGGCACTGTATGCGTGACTTGGAGAGAACGATGGCTGACGGACCACTGACTCACATAACATTTGGGTGTGTCTGACTGCTTGGGTATAAATAAAGACATGACTAATTAGGGAGATTTGATGGAATTTTTGGAAACAGCCTATGGTGAAGGGATCCCCGCCAGCTGTGTTTGTTGCTTCGGTTTCACACAACTAACTATACATCCATGATTTCTTTCACCCCAGTTAACCTAGGCACATAAACCAACAGACACATCTCTGGTTTGGGGGCTTTGTCTGTTGATTACCTTAGAAGTATGTACTCCATTGATCTCCATGGTGAAAGACAAAGGACCAGCCATGTGGCCCAATGTTTCTAGAGCAAGGCTATATCTCAGGTCCCAGAATTGGTTGAAGGCAATGTTGCCAGAATTTCCCCATGTTTCATCCTGTGCGTTGGCTTTACACAAAAAACAACCGGATTTTCTTAGTACTCTTGATATACAATCATATACCTGCACTCCTAGATTTCACCTCTTGTTTCTCGGTTGAAAACACCATACTCCACACCATATTCCCCAAGTGTTCTCGACGCATCCCCCTAAACATATCTTGACAATCTATATAATCCACATCAATCCACAATGTAGTACATTGTTTCCCTGGTTGGATACTGTTTGGTTAATAGATATTCCTATGATGGCTTTTACCCATCCCTAATTAGGTGGGTAGTATAACCCCTTTCAAATAACAGATCCATTAATATTGATATTCGTCCAAAAAACATGAGTAAAAACCGCAATGTGACCCCAATACTATAACCCCCAATTAATATCACTGCAAATACTAAAACCACCATTACACATATTAAACAACTATTGCAATGTATACTATATTATCAGTACCTGAGGGTTATCAATACCCCATGGTATTAATATTCTTATTATTACTATTTTCAATATATAATCCCATGATTAGTATTCATCATTATCATAATCCCAGTGATCATTTAGTGATCCAAAAAGAACATCAATATATCCCCAATCTATACTACTAGACTCCCAATATATATATAATACTACAACCCCCAATCCAGCCATGGCTTTCCACCGCAGCCGCTGTGGTCCCCGGATGTCCCCGGTGTTCGCCTGTCGTCCAGGCTGCGCAGCTGTCGCCTGGGAACAGCTTCGGCACTCTGGCGCCAGCTGCTGGAAGCAGAACAGCGCTTGATGGAAGCCTTGCAGAGCCTTGGGTGATGAACATTGGGATATGGAAGTTTCCTGAAATAGGGGTACCACTAAATCATCCATTTATTATAGGATGTGATGTTCCATTATAAAAATTGGGATATTGTATAGTGCCTTGTTGAATTGGGATATGAGGCTGAGTCAACATTTCCCAATTTATCCCATAAATTACTTGGTGGATTATCCCATATGAAATATTGCCATTGGATTTATGGAATATCCCATTCATATGGGATTATTGAAATATATTATATACAATACTTGGGATATATGGTGATGAATATGGGATAAAAGGGATATTTATGGGATATTTATGGGATATATATATATATGGGATATTTATGGGGTATATATATAATATGGAGGTTTCCATAAAAGGAGGTACTCAAAATGGATGGATGATTTATAATGGACAATCCGATTATACATGGATGAAAATTGGGATTTTCAATACCTTCTGTACATTGTATGATGTGATGTTATACTACTATGGTATGGTACATACTTTGTATTGTATGATGGATGAACATCAGAGCCTTGTACCTTCTATGGCTATTGAAAATGGCCCATTGATAGTGGATTTACCTACTGAAAGTGGTGATTTTCCATAGTTATGTTAGTTTACCATTGTATTGCATTGTATGATGTGATATTATACCTGTTTATTATGTAGTATTTTATTGTATTTTAATATGAGATGGTATATGTTTGTTCGAACATTCGTGATTTAACCTGATTTAACCATCAAATTGATGAGGATTTAACCATCAGATATGGTGGTATAATATATTGTATTATATTGAAGTCATAGGAACATGGTTTATAATGGTAAATCATGGTTTCTAGCTAGCAACAGATGAAGAACGGATCGTTGGTGTGGGAAAGCCTGGCTGACATAAGCAGCTCTTCCCATTTAGGGGGATGGTTGAAACATAGCATATGATAATTATGATACATATCTTACCGATTGGGATAATAATATATATATACACGTGTATATATATATAAATACAATAGTACCAAAATATTCACATATGTTCTATATCTATATGTAATGGCTGTGTGTGTTTATTTACAAATAGTGTTTTATATATTGTCTTTTGATTCATGTTATTTGCGTTAGTTTTCTTACTATATATTATATTATGTGATTAGTTTGTTTTGTTGTGTTGTGTTGTTTTGGGATGAAACATGCTGTAACCCTAAACCCCGCGATTCATTATACTCCTATATACACACAGTATACACTTTTACTGTACCTATATTTGTGATTAGTTAGTGGGTTGATTACTTCCTGTTTGTTAGTTCATTATTATATTATTGGGATTCATTGTTTGTTCAATATATATATATATATGTATACACATATATATATATATATACACGCTACATCCCCTGTGGTAATATAACAATTTACTATGAATACAAAAACGCAAACACCGTTAAAATACTAGGTAAACCGTCAAACCAAACGGGCGAGTTTCCATGCCTCTCTTCGATAGCCAGTAGGTGTATATGTATTTATATAGAAAGGTCGTAACCAAAAAAAGAAATGTCAGTTAATCTTTATTCTGCATATATGTGTTATCTAAGATACAATTCCATTGCTCTGTTATCTAATATGTGTGGTTAGTTAGTTCATTGATCATATGATTATGCAAACTATTTATCTAGTTGTCTATCTATCTATATCTATCTACAGAATCTACATCTATTATATTCCATTATCATATATTATCTATCGATCTATCTATCTATATATGTCTATCTATCTATATCTCCATCTTTACATCTATCTACAATTTTATCGAATTCATATTGTATATATATATTTATTTATATTATTATTTGATATCTATGTCACCACAAACCAAGCCATAGGACTCCTTTCTGCCCCAAGGCAACGAGCAGCTGGTGATGAACCACCGGAGGCGCAAGCATTTCGAGTGGATTGTCCCATTGAAACCACCATTTATGGATGAGTTTCCCATATCTTCCCCATGTTTTCCCATAATAAACACTATCTGGTTGGTGGTTTGGAACATGGCTTTTGTGACTTTCCATATATTGGGAATAAGAATCCCAGGTGACAAAAACATGTTTTGTAACCACCGACCAGATATGTTTTGTTTCCCTAAAATATGGGAGACGAAAAACTGGAGATGTCTTTTTGACTGTTCCACACAAGATGGTATACTAAAGTTGCTACCGATGAGTCTAAGTTGTGTTCGTGTTGTGAGTTACAATAGGGTGTACATACATATATATATATATATACATATCGTACCCATCTTGTGTGGAATACTCGAAACAACTGTGGTCTAAGGTCCGTATGGGTAGCTTCTGAGTTGCAAAGAATTGATTCAGTAGCTCCATGGTGGTTCATTCCTGTTTTTTTTCTCAAGCAAAGCGTCACAGTGAGTGCCTTTATAGATGTTTCTAGTGAAGTTGGCATTTGATTCGTAGGTTATATAAGTTATAAAGAACATTAGGTTATAGAACATTTGTTTAAATATGTTTCTATAGGTTGTGTTTCTGTTTAATAGATTTATAAATGTTTTATAGATGGTTATAGCATCTGTTTCCTTATGATTAGTGCTTTTTTTCGATGTGTGTTTCCTTGGTTCGTAGGTTATAGCCCAAGGAAATCATGAGGAATAGCTAGTGGATCTCCCAGCATGGCAAGAACCTGGTAACTTTACCAGCACAGTTTTCAGATTTCCCCTTAAACAAAAATCAAAGACATTGGTCATAAAACAAAAAACGGATCTAACATACGTATTATAAAACCCTATATATCAATAAGAGTACTTGATATTATATATATATGTATATTATATGTATGTATGTACAAATCTATGTACAAATATATATATATATATTGTGCCATGAAACCATCAGAGAAAAAAAACTGTTCTGTAGCTTTTCGCAGTGGATCAAAACACGCACGCAGCAGGCATTGACTTCCGTCCGCCAAGTGCTTCGCCGTGCCTTGGGCAGAGGCGTCGTGTTGTTGCTATATGTTGTCGGGGTAGATAAAAATTGGAGCCAACACGCTAAGCATATATGAATATATATATATTATCATATATATATGATACATATATATATATCATATTATATATATATATATCATATTATATATATATGTACAATATATATGATGTATATATATATATATATGATATATAAGATATAATATATATATATATATATGTGATATATATATATATACATATATTTATGTACAATATATTTGATGTATATATATATATATGATATATAAGATATACTATATATATATATATATTTATTTATATATGTGATACATATATATATATAGATATGATTTAATGTAGATGTGCTATATACAATATATATGTATGATAATATACATAATATATATATATATATATGATATATACAATATATATATATTATTTAATATACAATATGTATACATATATATATATATATATGTACTATATCACATATATATATATATTATTTAATATACAATATGTATACATATATATATATATATGTATATGTACTATATCACACACATATATATATATATGTATTATATCATATATATATATATGTATTATATCAATATATATATGTATTATATCACATATATATATATATCATGTATATGATATATATATATATGTATATATAGACCCTGGGAGTCCCGGACTATTCTTTGTTTAGCCTTTTACAAAAGCCATACTTAGGCGTGACCGCCTATACTTTGGCAGTTCTGAGGTGGTGCCAGCTGGCCATGGAAAGGGGTCAAGTGATGCCATATAGAGGCATACAGAAAATATCAAGATGTCTGTCGGTGACAACGTTTTTCGGACATCCAGTGCTTTGACACATGGAAATACAATCAAACATCCCAGTAGAAATATACCTACCACATCTCGATCGATGATGCAACCCCTGATGTTGCCATGCTACGAACTATGGCGGCGACAAGATTGGTGTTGATTCTACTAGGTTTCTTGGTGGCATTTTTTGTGACAAGTACGAATTGTAAAACTCAACCAAATTGGGGACTCAAGTTATTCAGACATTCCCAGGATTGGTGTACAACTGTGGCATCATGTATGCCTTGGGTGTGGCCCTTGGATGTTTTGGCCATACTGATGTTGCCAAATAGATTGCCCTAAACTTCCAAAAAACAGCTTGTGTTTATACCATGTGTGGCGCAAATTCATAGTTTTGCCAAATTGTGACGGACTTGGTCCAATCGCTTTGCCAATTTCAGGGAAGATATGGAAATCATATGGTTTGGATGAAAAAAACACAAATTAGACAAGGGTGACCGTGACCGGACCGTGACCAAACATTGACAGGGCTAAACTTTGGCGTGACCCACCCCCCAAAAAAAACAATCATTTTATGAATATGTTTGGCAAAAAACATGTGGAACATAAATTGGGTTCAATCAGTGCAACTGCTGGTAACTGAAATGATCGTTATTTGACTGCGCATGGAAGACTCGAAGCGATGAATTCATCCAAATTCGAATGTTCATTTGTGGCTCAAAAGAAAACAACATTCCCCAAAGGTACTTAATCATATCATCGTCAAAAAATCCCAGTATGAAGCATCATGGTTGATTTGGGGGGCTATACAACCTGGCAGCACCATGTCTATCCCTGTTGCGGTGATGAATTAGTCTATCATTAGTTGAGAATTAGTGTCGCCCAGGCTGAATGAAAGTTACCGGCTTCGAAAGTGACTATGATGTCGCAACGCTACGCAGAACGCTTTGATGTGAGCAAACATTGGCGCTTGAAAAGTAAGCTCTTGTGGGCAAGGGTTTGATGGTTCAAAGACCCTTTGATTCTTGGGAATCAAGACTTGTTAAAGCTTGGACAATCTGCAATCTACAACATGAGCATGACATGACCGTGACCGGCTGTGACCGGCATGACCCGCGAAAGGCTATATTGAGTTTAGTCATCTATAAAAACTAAATTAAGTATAGCCTTTGGAAGGCTAGGGTATATATATATATACATATGTGATACAAGATATATATATATACATAGCATACATGTTCGTATTCCGTTTTCCTTAATGGTTTTGCTTTTTTTGTGTTATTCGTTCACGTTTCGATAGGAATGAATTTCTCCTGCTGCAGTTCCATTGGGCCGCACCATCCACAACTGGAGGTCAGTTCTCCATTGGGTATACACGATATGATGTTATGATATTACCCGCTGGTAATGAAAATAGCCTGGTTTTAATGGTAACTATACAATCAAACCCCGATGACTGCCAGGGTCTATGTTAATTTTCCGGTATATCAATACACCATATTACACCATTGACCCCAAACATGTATATTTAGAAAGTTCGTAAAATCACAGATTCGGATATTACTATATGTTACTAACATCTATCCGAGTCACTCTCCGAGTCTGTCCTGTCCTGTTGGGGGGTTGCTAGGGTTGCTTTAGTTATTATATTGAAGTTGATGTCAACCCTCAATTTCCAAACCCCATGGTTTATTAATTAGGGTGATATTCCCCCAATAGTGATGATTTGATACTTAAGTGGCACCTTCCCAATTAAACAGCCCAGGGGTTTATTAATCCGGGGTTGACATCAACTTGGCACCACAGAAACAAAACCGAGGTGTTGAAGGCGCTGTGAGCGATCGCTGCTTGCACGTGGAGGAGGGGATCCAGGGGTGGGGAACAATGGCGGTGGTGGAGACCTAGTGGAGTTTGATCATATGGTTTTAACATGTTTAATTATGGTGGTTAAATATGTTTCAATACGTATTTATCAATACGTATTTATGTGTTTTTTGATCAATTTTGATAATCAACAATGGTTTCTACTAGTTTACTTTTTGGGATATTTGATCAGCATGAGTCATGAGTATGAACATGATTGTTTATGGCCAGCTATTTGATAGGGATATGATGGGATATGATTCCGAAAACAAGAGAGCTGAAATATTGGGATTTAACCAACAAATGTGGGGATGTAATGGTGCTTATTGTAGGATGGAACGAACCAACGTAGTATGATTTCACCAACAAACGCACTTGATGGCTTAAAACAAACCATTGTATGGGGAGATCTAGTGGGATATGATGGAATATGTAATCAACAATATTGTATGTGGATGTGTTTGCACCATGCCCGACAACTGGCAATTCGAAGAGGGATCATGATGATCAGTGGATTTCAGGGTTGCCTATTTTCAGACAAACCCAGGTCGCACAACTTGGAGAGAGATCCCATTTGTTTTTTTTTCACATCTATATTTAGCAGGTGCGTATGGCATAGTATGGCAACTTGGATCTGATTTATTCCTACCAAATTGAGACGGTTTTTACCAGACATGCTCCCAATTTGTAGGGTCTCATTGGAACATGAATTACTTCAGTGTTTTTTCGTTGCTGGTGACATTTCTCTGGTCAGTGGCCTGCTGAGAGTTTCAGCAAGGCCAAGGCCTGGCTCTGCCTGACCTGTTTGATTTGGCTGTCGCTTTTCTAAGTTGCGAAATATTTGCCCAGATTACCTGTGGTTTATGGAGTAGATACATCATGATACATCTATATAGTCTATATTCATGGGGCTTATAAACCAACTAACATTAATTGGGGCCCCAGGGGCACCTGCTTGTAGAGTTGAACTTCCATCCGGAGGATCCGCCAGTGCTTGGAATTCAGCCCAGAAAGGCATGGCAGGGTGGGAAAGCAACCAGTGGCTATTGACATGTTGGATGGGACAGAAACAGGTGGCTACAGTGGTCCTCTTGGTGGTCTAAGAATGGGGTACCCTCTGGGAAACATCACCATAACTATGGAATATCAGCATGTTTAATGGGAAAACTCACTATCAATGGCAATTTTCAATAGTTATGTTAGTTTACCAGAGGGTATACACCTTCATTCATATGCTGTACCTTCCAAATATAGACATGTTACTAAGGAAAACGATGAGAGATCAAATTTGGGAGTACTGCACCATATGTCCAGACAAACCCGCATTGGTTTTTTCGTGCGTCATGCGCAGATGATCGTGTCTGCAGTGTGTTCACAGATTGTTTGTCATGTCGCCTGATGCCTTCATAAGTCAGCATACATTAAACAATCCCCGACAACACAGTTTAGTAGGAGATTTAATTACACATAGTTGGGACGATAGAATGGGGGTGTTCAAAATTATGGGAGCAGCGTTGATGTAGAGATCACCCATAAAAGCTTTGGTTGTATGGTGGATTCCCACCCTAGGGACTTAATCTATGATATTCAATGCTTTACTCTGTGCTTTGCAAATGGGTATGGGTCGAAGCCGCCAAAATTACTTTACTTCGTGTGATCCCCACCATGACATTTAATACATTTTGTTACTGGCAAATCTTCTGGCATTCTATCTGACATTTTATCTGGCATTCTATCTGGCATACCTTCTGGCATTCTATCTGGCATATATTCTGGCATTCTATCTGGCATATCTTCTGGCATTCTACCTGGCATATCTTCTGGCATTCTATCTGGCATATCGTCTGGCATATTATCTGGCAAATCTTCTGACATTCTATCTGGCAAACATTCTGGCACTTTATCTGGCATATCTTCTGGCATTCTATCTGACATTTTATCTGGCATTCTCTCTGGCATACCTTCTGGCATTCTATCTGGCATATCTTCTGGCATTCTATCTGGCATATCTTCTGGCATTCTATCTGGCATATCTTATAGCTTTCTATCTGGCATATCTTTGGCATTATCTGGAAAATCTTCTGGCACTCTATCTGGCAACTTCTGGCACTTTGATCTTCTGTCATTCTACCCATTTTATCTGGCATTCTTCTGGCATTATCTTCTGGCATTCTATCTGGCATATCTCTGGCATTCATATCTGGCATATATCTTCTGGCATTCTTATCTGGCTTATAGCTATCTGTTCATGGCATATCTTTGGCATTCTATCGGGCCGTTGAGTCCGGCAGGGAACACTGGGCGTGGATGGTCGTGGTTGAGGTCCGGCAGGGAACACTGGGCGTGGCTGGTCGTGGTTGAGGTCCGGCAGGGAACACTGGGCGTGGCTGGTCGTGGTTGAGGTCCGGCAGGGAACACTGGGCGTGGATGGTCGTGGTTGAGGTCCGGCAGCGAACACTGTGGATCGCGAGTCGCAGTTGAGCAGGAGGACGAGGAGGACAACGAGACGAGGAGGACAACGAGAGGAGGACAACGAGAGGGACGACGAGGACAACGAGAGGAGGACGACGAGAGGAGGAGGAGAGGAGGCAGGAGAAGGCAACTTAGATAAAATCTAACAACCCTCACCTGGCAGGTGGGGAAAAAATATTTCAGATGCAAACAAAAATGTCCCAGCAAACAATGACTTGACTTCTTGGTTAATTTAAAGGACATGTTACAGGAAACCCTTGTTTTCAGATGTGTTTACCTTGAAAATGGCCAAACATGGGTGTTTCCAGCAAATCTTTCCTTCCAAATCCGGGAACTGACCATCAGCTTTGACATTATTCTAGGTGGGTCACGATGCCAGCCCCACATTGCTGGCACATCGATGGGCCTTGCGCGATGGGCGATTCTTGGGACCTGGCATAGGAGCCGTGTGAGTCCGTGTGAGTCATGGGGGATCCCCAAACCATGGTGAGTTCAATACTAAAACTGGTTGGTGGTTTGGAACATTTGGATTATTTTCCATTTCATATATGGGATGTCATCCTTCCCATTGACGAACTCCATCATTTTTCAAGATGGTTTTTTTGACCACCAACCAGAAAATGAATGGTAATTTTGGATGATGTTGGGGTAGCCCTATTTTAAGGAAACCCCCAGTTCACTTCATCTGAGGGTCGTGTGAAAACTTGGCCCATCCGCTACCAGACCTGGCTTGGCCCCTGGAGGAACCTGGAAGTTGTCGCAGGAAGAAGCCGAAACGTCGGTGGCTGCAGCCCTCAAAGAAGGCCGCTGAGCCAGGAAATCTGCCATGTCGTGGGCAACCACGCTGGGTGACGCTAACATTTTGGCGATTTATGTTGGATCCAAAACCTCAAGATCGGGTCGTTTCTGATGACCTGTGGGGTTCATAACGAAGAGAGCACCAGAAAAACTCACATTATGTTGTGTTTTTTGTTTTTTCCGTAGTCCCTACCTGGTTCTTAGCCATGAGAGTGCACTCTTCGTTTCATATTATTGTGGCAACATGAGACTCAAGCACGAGGCCAGCTGTACAAATTTCACTTCTTACACAATCTGGAGATATCCTGAGTAATTTGACCTGTTTGGCTCTGGCTATGTGACAAATACTGTACGTACAACCAAAAATGGGTTTCATATCACGACTTATCACGTTTCATATCCCCAAATTGCTATTTGAATCAGGGAAATGATGATCAAATGATCAACCATGAAATTTACCTTTTGGCAATTCAACATTTTGCTATGGCATCCATGGCAAATTTCTTTCCATGATTTGCCTATTCAAATGGTGATTTCCCACAGCGAAGTGTTAGTATTTATTCGAGGATATTCCATTATTTCCAGTGATATTCCTATCAATATCCCATTGTACCACCATGTTGATGGTTAAACTCCATTAAACTCCCAGATTTGATGGTTGAGTCAGTCACCATTTTTGTTGGTTAAATCAGTTAAATCATAATTATTGTTGGGTTCACCATTTTTGTTGGTTAAATCAGTTAATTCTTAATTAACTATTGTTGGGTAAATCAAGTAAATCCCCATAGTTTGGTGGTTTAACACCACCAGAGGCGTTCAGGCTTTCCCCATCCACTTGCAGGGGTCCGCCATGTCGACACGGCGGCGGAGTATGGCACTGAAGAAGCGGTGGCGAGAGGCGTTCTTTTGAACGGGATTCATGTGGGACAATTATAGGAAAACAACATGAAAATGATGATGATGATGATGATGAGTAGTGGTTATTGGTTATTATTAATGTTACAATGTTATATTAAGTTTTTTTAAACTGTGTATACATACGTGGTTTGTTGATGGCTCATATATTGGCTAGTAACGGCTTATTAATCATCATATAAATGTGGTAAACTGGATGCCATAAACCATCCCCAAATGGTATTTTTATGGCATCGGGTTTCCAACAGTGGGAAAAGATTGGGACTTTGTCATCAAAAATTGGGATTTCATGGGAAAACACAGAAATTCTTATGGTTTTTTCATGGGAATACCATGGCGATCAAACACCATCATTGGATGGGATTTGTAGTGGGCCCTCCTAGATATTTCGAAGCTGGTCAAGGCATCCGAGCTGCTGCTGTAACGCGAGACGATGTGTTCGTCAACCTGAAGGCGCGAGGAAAATATTTGGTAGTTGGGCAGCTCCAGTGGTTGGGAAAATATATGAAACCATGGGAAAAACATGGGAACATATAGGAAAATCCACTATAAATGAAGGTTTAATGGAGGTAAAACCAATATAATGGAGGTAACCCAACGAAAGAAGGAGGTTTCCTAAGATAGTTGTGCCCCAAGTCACCATAGGTTTTCAATACTAAGTCATGGTCTAATGACTTGGATGATTGGGGGTACCCCAAAGGGTTGGAAACCTCCATATAAGGAGCTAGAGCTAGACACATGTTTCTGACTGCATGCCTACGGGGCTAATTTAGATTAGAGATGACTGTGGGAAATCCAATGCCTTGCACCCACCATTGGGGATGGTTGATACGGTGGGAGCACCCATAAGCAAAATTCAGGTATCACTTTCTTGTTTCCGGCGCGCAGGGTCAAAATGGAATTCTTTTTCTGGTTTCTTTGTGGGTCTTGCCTTTTGTGGGTGTTCTTGCTGTGTTGTGTTCCTTGTTTTCCTTCTCTCTCTCTCTCTCTCTCTTTCTCTCTCTCTCCTCTCTCTTTTGCCCTTTCTCTTTTTTTTTTTCTCTTTCTTTCCTTTTCCTGTCTCCTCCTCGTCTCTTTTTCGTTTCTTCTTCTTGCTGTATTTTTTTTGTTTTTGGCCTCTTTCTTTCTCCTCCTCTTTGTGTTTCGTCTCGTTTCCCTGTCGGTTTCTCTTGCTGGTTTTGTCTGCTGGCTGGTTTTGTGTTTGTGCTGGCTCAAGCTCCTTGCTGCATGTCATCTTTTTGTGACGAGTTTCTTTCTTTTCTTCGCAGCACCAGTCAGCAATGTGGTCGCCGCCCTGTGAACGTGGCCTTTGCTAGTCTGGTTAAAGCTAGCTGGGATATCCTTTTGAAACATGCCTTGCAACTGCGTGACTCTTTCCCTCGTGTGAGACATCTGGACAACAATGGGCAACGTGCGTTTCAAACCTTGAAAGGTGCCCTCTGCGATTCTGTGAGATTTATCACTGCTCAAACTGACTTACTTTCTTCTCCCGCCTCTGATGATGCTTCTGTGCCTCTTTGCCTCAAACTTGGTTTTGGTTCTCCTTCCACCACTGGATGCTTGGATGCTCAGGGGGTCACTGTTAAGATGCGGGTTTTGCTCCGCCATCCTACTTCCATTCAAGCCGCGTTTGCCAACACAGGCTTGCATGCTATTGGTTTGGTAGGGGTCAGGTTACCTATGGATTTTCGTCTGCCTAGTGACTGCGGATTCAGACTTATTTCTGTGGGTAAGGCTGATTACAACAGTGTTGCAGTTTTTTTCAGACTGACTTTTCGAGTTGCTTCTCGAAAGTTGATGGGATTGGTAGTAACAGGAGGCTCTGGCTGAAAGTTCAGCCTTGTTCAGGCCGCTGCTTCTTTTGGCTGGTATTTTATTTGCCAGCCAATGACGAAGCGCGTTGGCATGAAGAAGTGGATGGTATTGACAGAGATGCCGCAACCATTTTCTCACAGGCAAGTCCACAAATTCCAATTCTGTTTTGGAGGGGTGATGCTAATTTGCAGCCTTCGGCAATGGGAAAGGGAGCGGACCCCAAGCCTTCTCGTGACAGACGGTGGGAATGTTTGATTAAGAAGTGGTCTGTGCTTTTGTGGAACCCACCAGGTTTTGGTGGTGTGCCATGCTCCCTTTTTCTTCCACGTTGGCGGAAAACGGTATCTTTGGTACCTTCTGATACTCACCACTGTAACGGCGGACCTGGTGTAAGTAGAACTCTTGATCTTGTTTATGGATCTCCTGATCTTTCCGGCTCTGTGGTTATTCACAATTCTTTGCATTGTAAAGAGGCAGGTTGTGACTGGGACGATTGTTTTGAATTTACAGGTAGTGACCATTTTCTTTTGGACGTCACGTTTGAAGATGTGAGTGTGAGATTGGATGAGCCAAGTGCGATCAAAATGCCCCATCATTGGCACGAGTCAAGTCTGTGGGAGCATGGTTTCAATAGATGCTCTTCTGTTTTGCTGGGCCTTGACGAGTTAGTCCGCACTTTCCAGGAGATGGTTCAACCTAGCGTTTTCCGTAAAGCCTGTCTGCCTGATTGGGTAGTGTGGGCGGTGGAAGTGCTCACGTTATTACTTTGTGTTGTGGAATCCTGTGTGCGAGATGGCTGGGTGCTCTTTGCCGACCTTGAGGGCCGGAAACGAAAGAGGCAGTCCCAACAGAACCTAGTTTTCAGTGACGAAGATGACTTTGAGGCAATGTTGCTCAGGAACCAAAGAGACCATGGCTGGCCCCAGTCCTGCGTCAAGACTTGTCTCAAGTGGCTCAAACCTCTTACTCATGATCCTCCTGGTAGGTTACAGTGTGACGGTACCCTTCTTTCAAGGGCGGACAGTCACCAAGCCTGGGTTCATCATCTTACGTTACAAGGAAGTTGGCCAATTTCTTTCAACCAATCTTTCCATGATAGTATTGAAAGTGCAGCTGCCAAACAGGTCCAAAGTGCGAGGGCTCACATTGGCCAAGGTGTTTTTGATGGCCGTATTGATGACGCTGAGTGGCACAGGGCTGCAGAAAGAATCAACACTTCAAGAGCTTGTACACCCTTTTTGCTCCACAGGCTTCTGTTGAAATGCGCTAACTCTTCTTGGTGGTCTGTGGCTTCGAATTTGCAAAACCTATGTGGGCCCTCTTCCTTATGCTACCGTCCGTTTTTATGGAGATTTCGTTTCTTAACCACTGTTTTCAAGAAAGGTGCAATTGCCCACGCCTCTTCCTATCGGTACATCGCTGTTGCTGACCTGCATGGTCTGTTACAAGAGGAATTGCTTTTGCATCGTATAGGAAGTTCTTTGTTCAACTGTGTTGACTCTGTTCAGACGGGGTACAGGTTCGATGTCATGCTTCACCAATTTACCTTGCATACTTTGCAAGATGAATACCGATTCTGGAAACGTGCTTTTATTGAAATTTTTGCTGATTTTGTTCATGCTTTTCCGAGAGCCTGGAGAGAATTGATTTTAGTTGAAGCTGGTGTTTCTGCTGGTATTAGGGATGGTGCTTTGGCTTTGCTCGCTTCAATCTTGAAAGAAGATTATTGGCGAATTACACTGAGTGGCGATTCTGTGGTTCATAGGTCCCACGGCATTCCTGAAGGCAGCAAATTAGGCCCACCTTGTTTCAACTTGCTCCCAAACACATTGATCAGCAGGCTTCGGCTGGCCAACTGTGGAGTAGCCACGTCGGGCTGGGTGCCTGCAGCTTGGGCTTCCCACAAATGGACCGGCCAAGGGGTACCCAACCAAGCTGAAGCAGCTATTTTGGCAAGGAGGATAGCAAACCAAGAGACGCTTCCACCTGCATCTGCTTTGCGGCAGTCGCCATCTTTGGAAGCAACTTGCGCGCGGGCTTTGGATCTGTGTGATCCTCATAGAATTCCTGTTTTATTTCACGCTGATGATCCAGTGTTTCTCGCTTCCAGTCGAGGTGAGGCTGTGCGGGTCTTATCTATTGTGGCTGACTGGGCACATGATGTCAAGGCTTCTTTGCATCTAGGGTCTAATAAGACAGTTGTGCAAGCTTTCTCTGGAAGCGCAGAAGGGCCGACATTTTTGGCGCAACCTTTGTTTTTTCCGTGCCGTCCTCCAGCCCTCCCTGCTCCTTTGATGCAAGTTTCCTCTCACAAGTGGTTGGGGCTTCGGTGGTCTGTTTCTGGTGAATGGATGCACCATGCTATGGTTACTGTGGCTGCTTGCTCTTCTATGGTGAATTTGTTGTGTTCTTTTATGGATTCCTTTAGAGTTCCACTTGCTGTTGTCGCAGTCCTCTTTGAGTTGAAAGTGGAAGCAACACTGAGATTTGGGCGTTGGTTGTGGGGGCTTTCTTCAGAGGCCCAATGTTTTTTGACTACTACATACGAGAACTGGGCAAGGCAGCTCCTTGGCGCAAAGCCTTGGAATAACGCTGCTAGTTGTCAAGCAGATCTGGGTTGGACTTTTGATGCGTCTGACCGTATTGCTTTTGATATTGCTTCAGTACGGCAGAGACTTTGGACTTTGGAAGGTACCATTGCTGGTCGTCTTTTCCGTTCAAGTCATGTTTCTAATGTTCCCTCATGGGCATCCATCTCTCGTCAATTTCTTGCCAGCAAAGATATCCTTGACTGGCCCACTTGGGTGAGCAGAAGAGCTGCTGAGACTGGGTCCTACAAGCAGTACGTGAAACATACTTTAATGAAAACTGGAAGTACCTATTTGAAAGACAGTCTGGGGCTCAATTTGCCGTGGAATGTCCTGCTCAGCCAAAGAGCTGCCATTCAAGTCCGACGGGATTATGTTGTTTTTGGGCACGTAAACGGCAAGAAGTCCAAAGCCAGGGTCCAGGAATGCATCTTATGTCAGAAGAGGTATTCTAATGTGAAATTTCACATTGTGAACGCCTGTGCTGGCTTGGTAGATGTCCGAAGGCCCTGTCTTGTTTATTTCCCGCAGAGGCTTGATTTTGACATTCATCCAAGCCATCCTGGCTACATGCCGGTGGCCTTGTTTGCTCAGGAACTAGTTCGGCGAGCGCGGTTATTCTGGAAGGAATAAATCAAACAGCTGCAGGTGGCATGGAGCTGTTTGGGCCTTTTACTGAGGTAAGGGTCCTGCAGACTCCATGTTGGGGTCCCTGCTATTCCATGATTGGATGCTGTTGCTGCCTGTTGGAGCCCCCCCAATTTGTCCTTTGGACTTCGAACCAACCAACCAACCATAAAAATTGTGATTTTGGGAAGGGTTTATAGCATTGGGTTTACCACATTATGCAGTTTATCACACTTGAACATCATGAACGCCTTCTCCACTACAGAATATTTGGGTGGTCCAAGATGTGCTGTGGGGCAGAAAAAAACAGCTATTTCTTGAATCTTCATCCTTGCTTGCAGCTGGTTAACAACCATGGCCACGCCATGTTAGAGCAAACGGAATTGTATGAGGATGGATCAAATTTCTGCAATTGTAATTGTACCATGTCTTGGGGGATGAAGCCTCATTTACCAGCTATTTGCAGGTACTGGTACCAGGGTCTTGATCCGTAGCCATTTACAGTACCTCGAAAAAAACATAATCCCTACTATATCCCACTAATACTATTGATGTAGCTTTCTTTCTCTTTTCAGTCGGTTGCTACAAGATGCAAAGTTCCTATAAATTCACTTGTGAATTGTCTCCCATTTTTCGATGAATTCCCCACTGGAGATCCCCGCAGGTGGCGGCCGAAGACCCAGAGGACTTGCGACGGGTCATCGATGCCTCGTTGAAGAAATGGGGCCTGGAGCCTTGGAGCTTTGGATGTGGGGCAGCCGAAAAGGGATGGCGGCTTAAGCAGCAAAAAAGTCAGGCATTTCCCCACGTGGATAGGGGGTTTCGCCAGCCAAAAAACGGTGAACTGTAATTGGACACACATGAATTGAGATGAGGGTTTAGCCAGGAAACAAGTTGTGAACTGTTTTGGAATGTGTTGGAAATGTGCATCGACTGGGGAAAGAGAAGGTTCCATAATCATCGTACCCTCTGGTAAACTAACGTAACTATGGAAAATCACCATTTTTGATGGGTAAATCAACCATAAATGGCAATTTTCAATAGCTATGTTAGTTTACCAGAGGGTAAGTTGCTTATGGGTGAGTCTCAGGATGAGTATTAGATGGGCACTAGATGGGCCCGAAATGGCTCAAATTGTTGTCAAGAGTATCTATTCCCCTGAGCTGGCTGGTTGAATCCAACACAAGACTGAAGTGGGTGGTCCAATATATATATATATGTATATAATATTATAATATATATATAGTAATATATATATTTATATATTATTATAATATATATAATAGTAAATATAATAATATATATAATAATATATATATAATATTATATATATAATTATACATACCCATAGTTATACATAATGTATATTATATTTATTAATATATATATATAAATATATATATACACATTAATACATTATTACATTATTATATTATAAACATCTATATAATTGATAGCAAATCCTTTAGCCGTGTCATGCCGTGTCTATATGTCTGACACCTGCAGCTACAGACAATGGCTTGAGCTAAACGATTCCCACGCCACAGGCAATGAAGATGATACCTCCAAAAAATGATTTTACTCTGAAAGATGAACATGCTGAACTTCTTCCCCCCAATCAAGACGTGTCTGCATTTGGCCACATATGAGCACCTCTACTGATGCCAAGTTGGTAAGATTTTTTGAAATCAGCTATCGACATCAGCATCCTGCCACTATCGACATCAGCACCACCCACTTGGTCACTCGACATCACTTCGACTTGAAGTGCTAAAAAAGCCTCCGGCACCGCAGGAGCTAGAGAAGTGTTATATCCTTTTGAGTATATCTACAGCAACGTAAAACATACGTCTTGTATTTAGTACTCAACAAAAAATGGACCTGACTTGTTTTCCCATTGTTTTTTTAAATAAACTATACTATACTTGCACAACCCATACGCCAATGCCGTGGTCCACCGCACACACCGCCTCCGTCTTGGCGCTCTCCAGCGTCTCCTTCTTGGCGCTCTCCACCTTTCTCAGCCGGCGGCGGGAGGCGCGGCGTGACATGGAGCGACCAGCAGTGATGATCGGTTGATGTTGTACTTTGGCCACAGAAAACCATCCAACCTGTCTATTTAAAGTACGTTGAAATCATTCATCGAATCAATGCCAACATGTTCCATTTTTCTATGAGTGTATATTTAAAGTTGGAGTAGATAGAATAATTCAATGTTCGAAACGAATCCGCACTAAACTGGCAGTACCATTGTTTCAATCCCATATTCTACTTCAGGACTACTAAATTGTCCCATACTGAGCCGAGCAGCAGGGGCCTCACCAATTAGCAGGACTCATGTGACCCAGTAACCAATATGTGTATGAAATACCCATGATATCCAATAATGTGGTTAAACACAATGCCATAAACCACACAATTGGGAATGGGATTTCCATACCACCTATTAAAATGGTGATGACTGGGGGATATGATTGTTTTACCCACATTAGGTGATATACCCATTCTTTCCCAATATGTATTGTCATACACACACAGTATGTATCATCAATTATGTCCCTATAATTAACAAGTTTCCTATAGTTATCAACCATTACTATTCATCAGTAATATACTGTAACTACAACTATTCTTCATAATCATAATCAGTACTTAAAAAACGAACTACTATTAATCCGGTTCCCATGGATCGTAATAATGATCCTGAAATACCCCTTAGTAATTAGCTCATGAACCGGGAATCATACTAACCATTATTTATTAAATAGCTATTACCACTAGGAATCATAATCATTACTCATCATTCACCATCATTCACCTATCATTTCTCTATTATTATTTCCCTATGATTGTGAATTCTATTTTTCCCCTCTTACTCGTATTATTCACCACCATTACCCTATGATTATTCCCATCATCATTTTCCTATGATAGGTTATTGATAATAAAGGTCAATAATCATCATAATCATGCAATTTACCTCCATCATCATCATAATTCCCACCATAGGGTTATTTTCCTTTATGATTCTTGACCTCCCAGGGCCCCCTTCGCAAGGCCCACGCCTCGCGCCTGGCGCGCGGTGGCGCCTGGCGCGCGGAGGTCCAAGTGGCCGTGCGGCTGGCCGTGGACTGCGGCAAGGCTATGCGAGATCCTCGGAGCCGTTGGGGTCGTCGGGGATCCCGGGAAAGTCCAGCCGAATGTTAATGGAGGGGAGGTAAAAGCACCAGTTTTAGACATGTTATGGGAGAAATGTATTTATAATATATAGAGAGAGATGATGAAGAGAAAGAAGTGTATATATATATTATATTATATATATACATTTGACCACCAGTTTAGGATTTGTTTAATGAGAGTTTTCCAACCAGATGATAGATACATTATTATATATACATATATATATACACCCATAAATCATCATAAATCCCCATTGATCAATGGACCATTATGGAACATCGACGGTACATCGAAGTTTGAAACCAGTGTGATTTCAAGTTTGGAATGTTTGGAGCTGGTCGGAGACTTCCAAGGATTGTTTGCAGAAGAAGGCGTCGGGTCGGATGGGCATTAAAGAGACAGGTTGATGAGCGGAGGATTCATTAATGAAGTCTGACGGAAGGTTGTGTTGTCAATGTACAGTTGGAGCCTTCAGACAAGTTTACTACCCATCCTGAAGTAGATAGACGATCAAATTATAATAAATTATCATTAATTTGATCCATCCGCAGCAATCCTTCTTATTCCTCATGTGGGTTTCTTAGAGATCACTTGATTTTGAACAAAGGAGTAACTCCCCAAAAAGGTGATGTTTCAAACGTGACCAATTCTCCACAGGCGGAGAGGCGGTAAGATTTATTCTAAGTATCAGAGATCCATGGACATATACAGGAAGGAACCTCCAGCTAATGAGTTGCCTTCATCACCGCATCTAACCAAACACATACCTACCATTGGTAACAATTTTTCCTTATCCGGGTGGGCCCTTCCCGTGTTTCAGGAGCCTGTTAAACTGTCATGTTTTCCCCCAGCTATCTGATGCTATCTGCAGGTGGTTTGGAAGGATGACTCCAGCATCGACCCTGTAACGGCCACGGACAAAGAGAACGAGCAGCGCGTTATCGCAGGTGGATGAACGGTGGGTGATGCCGATGCCCAGTTCAATCGAGGGCGGAAGGTTACCTAACATAATGGAGACATTGGAGGTTTAATCAACCAAAAACTTGGTTTTCTTTTGCAATCTTAAAAGATGTTGGAAATAAGCGAAAATATACGATAGGTAAGTTTCTAATTCAGTTGATGGGGTTATCGGGTTTTTATCGGATTTGTCGGTTTCCACGACTAGCTATGATGCTGGTTCTGGAGGGCGAGGCACATGGATGGAGTGAATGGGACATTGGTTCTTTGACAGCCCTACGTGTTGCCAGAATTTGATGAATTTACACCAAAGGGCGGGTTTGTCTGAAAATGATGGGAAACCATGGGAAACATGGGAAAGCATGGGAAACCCCCAAATCCAAAAGTGTATCATCATTAAAACAAATAATGTGCCCATAAGTTGGAGGCGAATTCCCCATTGACAAGCCTGTTTACTGGAGGAGCTCCTCAAGCTGTGGGTGAACCTATGTTACACCCATCTATGTGAGCATACATAGCTTTTCCGCTAAGTCCGTTCCAGTGATCCTAGATTTCTTACAACTTGCAATTGAAGAGTGGACCAATATAATTCATAGTTTAGTAGGAGGTACTTGTAAGATGCCTTACTTGAATATCTCACCAAACAAAACGCCCCAAACAAGCAAGCCCTTTCCTTCTTTTTGCCAGTTAAAGATCTTAAATTCATCCAATGTGTTAAAAAACCGCAGTTACGACATGATTCCGTGGACATCAGAAAAAAAAACTGGTGATGAACTTTAACCAGCCAAACTATGCCAACGATCTCCAAACAAGATATCATTCAGAATCAGAATTTCCTGCCATGTTTTAAATGTTACTGCAAATCCCACAAATTTTCCCATTCATTGTCATGGCATGTCATTCATGCCACATTTCCTGCCACTTTTCCCCAAGATTTCGCCAAGGGGGGGCCAGGTTTGCGCGCTGCCTTCCCCACGCACGAAATCATCGGCGAGGAATCTGCCGCTGCGCGCGCGCAGCAGCAGCTGCCGCCAGCCACGCTGACGGTGGAGGATGGGGGAGGTTCCAATGGATGGTGACTTCATAATGGAAATTGCTGGTTGAACCATCCAGAAATGGGGATATCATGGTGTCATGATGTGTCATGGGGATGATATATGATTTAAATCATGGTGAATGAAGTCATATAATTTACCAGCAGGTATTGAAGTTCTATATTTTTGCAATGGGATACAAGAGGGATATAACCGATTTGATATATCGTGTTAGATGTTTTCAGGGAAAAGACTGAACATGAATGAGATGTGAAGATTTAAATCCTAGGTTTAGGGTTATTACACCCTTCATAAAGATGGTACCCCAGTTATAAGTTGATTTATACACCCCATTACATAACTATGATAATACACTGTAATACATATATATATATACATAGTTAATTAACTTACACTTAATTTATAAGCCAACAACTTAGCTAATTTTGTGGCTTAGACTCCCATAGAAAAGCTGGAGGATGGAACTGCAAATGCAAGGCAGCAGTATTTCTCAGAGAGAGAGAGAGAGAGCGAGAGAGAGAGAGAGAGATCTTTTAAATAAGAAAACATTATAGAACCTACCCCTAATAAAACAAATCTGGAACATGAAGCGTTTGCCAATTTACAGTGGATCAAAAATCAAAATCAACCAAATTAACGAACAATCTAAAAATGTCGTACACCCAAATGGCACTTTTAGCTAACATGATGATATGCCCGGTATGGCCGTCGCAGGATGCACCCACTTGGATCGTCGAGTCTCGGTGCACAGAGGGTGGCATTTCTATGGCATTCTCCTCTTTCTCCAAGTTGATTCTCTCCTTTCCCAATATCAAACACCCCAAAATCCTATTGCGGTCCGGGGAAAAATTAGGGTATCATGAATATTAGGGGGATACAATTCCATCTCCCAGATCCACAAACCTAGTGGATCTGTTCATGTTTGGCTGCCATTGACAAACAAACAAAAAAATAGTGGAAGGGATAAGTTGTGCGTCATGGATGATTCTGTAACATGGCTTTCGCCCTGCCATGTTTAGCTGGACGATTCTTTATCATGTGTTTGTTATTTTCTCAACCTATGGTGGTCTGTTGACTCAGGATCCAATTGATGGGACCACCAACTTTGTCTACGGTATCAAGCTGAGTTGCGTCGCCAGTCTGCATTTTAATTTGTGTGTGTGCGCGTGTTGGTTCAGCTTGGCTGTATCCACAAATTGTTAAAACTGGCATAAAAAAACCCTCGATGTCTCTGGCCCATTCCGGTGAGTTCAGATACGCCACTGACGTTCCCAGCGTGTTTCACTGCTGTTGGGTCACCAGCATCGGACGCTGCGGCCCTTGACCTCGAAAATCCTCGAAATTCAGGTCCGAAACCTGATCCCAGTTGTAAGCGGCCCACTTCTTTAGGTCAGTACAACGGTATTACGTGTGTAGTAGCTGCCTTATATTCCCTTGATCTATCTCAGTACGGTGGGCCTTGGTCATAGCCTTGGTTTTTGGATGTTTTTGGTTTATTAAATCTCCCATGGATCCGCTCAAATTGTGTGACTGGGGTATCGTGATTGGGAATGAGAACTACCTTCTGAGGAAGCCTTTGGATCGGTAGGATACACATATGACTTCATGGCATTAGGACATCAATACATCATGAATAGATCTGAATACATCATTAATACATCATTAATACATCACAAATACATGATGCATATATCATTTAATATTAGTTGATACATATTAGTACTTACAGAATCTTACAGTACCTTACAGTATTAGTTGTATTGGTAATCAGTAGTAATCAATATTAATCAGTATTTATAAGTATTAATCAGTATTAATCAGTATTAATCAGTATTAGTCATGTTTGTCCTATTGAGATTTCATAAATCTTCTTGGGCTTTCATGATGTTCCATCGCTTGCGATAAGGTGAGCCTGGGATTCTGCGTGGGTCAAGGGGCCTCAGTTGGCACTCGTTGGTTCCAAGGGACAGATTGCAAGAAACCCTGGCTGATTAGCTGTAAATGGTTGGGTATGATTAGGGAAGGTTTTTTTTATTCTTACTATATTTATATAGATGAGTTTTGATTATACCCTCTTCAATTTGCAATTGACTGGACTGGTTGACCGGTTGATACAGCTCAATCGTCAGAATCTCAGCATCACCCATTTTTGAGGTAGTCTTCAAATTCACTGGCAGGGTCTATGGTAGTTGGAGGGAGGGTCTACAAATTGCTTAAGATTACCTCTGTAATTGTGCAGTTGATGGATCGTTAATGTATTTGAATGTATTGTTGGTAAGTTGAAGCCAAGGTTGTTCCCGCGATTGTTCCAATTAGATCCCGCGATTGTTCAAGGAGAATTAATGCGGTCACCTTCTCGCTTTCATCAGGGTTGTTGTTTATTGTTTGGGTATAACAATATATAATATATACATGTATTATTTAAACAGTTTGTTGAAAAGAGTGTCTACTTCATTCTACATTTGCACTACTGTGCATCGAACACAAATCGTGCTTTGAACATGTTCGCCAACAAGTCTCGCCCAAATGTGGTGCCTCATTGGTCAAACCGTGGCAAGGAAAGCAAGGTTCGAGGCTGATGACCCTTGAAGCCTTTCATCGTAATCATCCTGGACTAGATAGGATCAGGATTATTTCAAAATCTCCTAAGAAAACATGGGAATATTGTTGAAATGTTGATTACAGTGATGTCTTTCATAATTGAAGAAAATTATAGAAAATCTAATTTTGCCATATTTTGGCATAGTATGGCTACTATGTACTTCAGCAGGATGATGATATCCTCAGAGCCCAGGTCGGCAGCCGGTGCTTGGAGTGGTCTACGATCCCTACGCGGATGAGCTGTTCGTGGCAGCCAAGGGCGAAGGAGCGGTTCCTAAATGGTGGATTTCCATGGTGGTTTAAGCAACAAAAATGGTGGTTGAACCAACACAAATTGGAAAATAATGGTGGTTTAACCAAGAAAAATTGTGGTTTAACCAACACAAATTGTGGTTTAACCAATAAAACAAATGGTGATTCCTGGTGAAATGTCACCATCCAAAATGGGAAAACCGCAGGGATTTTCCATGGTATGTCCAGGTACCATGGAGATTTACCATGATTTTCACCATCCAAACTAAGGGTATAATAGTGGCTGGTTGGTGGTTTGGAACATTTGTTATTTTTCCATATATTGGGAATAGTAACCCCAACTGACTAATATGTTTCAAGATGGTTAAAACCACCAACCAGATGGGGATAGATTACCAATGATGATGTGGTTGGTGGTCACGGCGGACATTTTTTTGGGGGGTTGAAACCGCCAACACATATACAGCTTCAAAGTCACTGTTTTTGAATTTGTTAGATTATAAGGGTATGGCTTATCTCCCCATACTATTTGTATTCGTCTCTCATTTATACATGTTTCATATGTTGTACTATATATGATATATGTATATACACATACGATCACATCCGCATGGTATGGATACACCAACCATATCCCTTGATTGTCGTGTGAGATCCCACAATTGGCGACAACCACAAACAGCTTTTGATTTCCAGGAGCCTATTTAAACGGAGCTCGTTTGTGCATTGATCCGGCCAAATCATTGAAGCTTGGCCGCCTGTTCTTGTCCGCATAGGAGCTACTTTTCGGATGATCATTTATTGTGCTGAATAGACACGTTCATCATTTCCTTTATAGGTCAGAAGTGTTTTTGTTGAAGACATGTTCTTTCAGTACACACATGTATAAATGCTGAATTGCAACGAGACAGTGTGTAAGGGAGGCGCCGTAGGTACTTTCGTTGACTGTTAGATGGACCCAGTACTGAGCTCAGCATGAGAATATATCAGAACATGAAAATCATGCGAGGTTGCACTGCAACAACTTTGCATCACGACGGAGATGGGTCAAAGCTCAAGACCTATAGTCCTATAGTATAGAACCACTTATCATCAATATATTCAAGAGCTTGATAATCTTGGGTAACAGCAGTTAAAGATATGTTTTTATACTCCTCATCAGAAACTTTTGGGATGAACATGGATGAACATCGAAATCCCAATTTGCTTGATGTTCACCAGGGCGCCATTGGCTGTTGACGGCCCAGTCTGAGATATCTCGGTGGCTGTGCTGAGGAAGGAATCCATGGTTCTCTTCGAGCTTGGCTATGAGCGCTCACAGGACAGGATGTTCCATGGACTTAGGTGGTGGATCAACAGTTTTTTTTTTTGGCCCTTTCGACTGGTACATCACCCGTTCAGCCACTGCTAACTTTGGGGGCTCATTTGGGTGTACATGTCACAAACTGCTTTTCTATTCAAGTGCTATAGCCTATAGCCTTTTTTATTTCTGGAAAGTTCTCCTTGTGATGTGTATAAGAAAATGCAGTCAGCAGTGAAGCCCTACATTACAACCAGTGTTTTGATGTTAATAATCATTTGGAATGAGCATTTTCAGGTTCACCTTCTAGTACAACATGACCAGTCTTGTTTGGTAGTGCTAGTGACAAGAGTTATAAAATTGCCCAGTTGTAAGTCGCGATATCCCCCAACATTTAAGCAGCAGCATTGGCCTCGGCTGTCACCCTGTGACCTTGGCATGAACATCCATCCATGTTGATAGGGAGTATCACAACCACCTTTCAGGAATTCCATTCGGGGGACCATGTTTTTTTGTCAGCACCTGAAGTATACGGGGTTGGATGTAAACAATGGACGGATCTGGTCAATGGTTCAACTCAAGGATTAGCAAGCAGTAAAAGCAAATATGCACAAGTGGTTCCAATCCCATCAATACCCATTCAAACACATACATATAATTACATACGTATAATTACATATATATATACACACATATTCTACACATACATACACATACATACACATACATATATATATATGTATATATACATATACATATACGTACCAGGGTACAATCCCACTGGAAGCATCTGGAAGCCATCCAAAATCATGCCCCCAAAACTGCATGCTGCTCTTCTTTTCATAATTCTTCATTTTAACAGCCCCAAGTCACAAGGGTTTCATGATATTTTGATATATTTTTGATATGTTGAAGTCACCAATCACCATGGCCCAGCCAGGCTGGCCTGGATCGGATCCTGAATGGCCTCAAGGCTCTACTCCTCCATGGCACGCGGGCCACCCGCACCCTGGGTACTGCCGTGCTCTCCCTGTGCTGGGTGGCCAGTGGCAGGGCCAATGCTTACTACACAGGTGGGGGTGAACCAAGGGCATGTGGGACTGCATTGGGGCTGCTGTCTTCCCCCGGCACCTTTGGGTTTTTTTAGATGTGGAAAAAAAACGATGTGAGGTTTCCTGGACCACGAATTTTGATGGATGTTTCATTCTTGTTCCTATTCATATCCATTCATCCATTTTCTGGGGGGAACGATTTCTGACCAATACCCACAATGGGGGATATGAATTGGGGAATGAACAGCGTCCACCGCAGCTATTTTGATGGAGAGTTGGGTCAAGTTGGGTCACTGCGCATCCCAGCAGTCACCAAGCATGGCCTATCAAAGCACCGGCATTTCGTCCAATCACAAAATATCAGGCAATCTAGTAACCGCCTAAAAATATATAAAAACGTCAGTTATCTCATTATATGATCAGTCAATGCATCTCATATTATCAATATTTGAGTGAAATGCTCCACCTTTTTCTATCCAAAATTGGCCCATTTTGACGATTCCCATCTCGTTTCAGCTCCAGGCCTGAGTGGCGAAGGTGGCAAGCCTTGGGACTATGCTGCCGGGACCATCATCGCCATGGAGGCCGGCGCGAAGTTCTGCAATCTGCAAGGCGCGGGAACGTGGGTTCCACGCCGGAGGACCGTAGGGAGGGGATGGTAGGGATGTGGTTAAGGAAGTGGTTCTAGGAACCCATTAAAAGATGCTGTATCCAATCATGTAGGCGCTATATTATATATATATATATACCTGAGAAATCCGACTGTGTGAAATCAATGCACACAAAGCTTGGACCATAAAAGCACACCTTTTGTTGGCTTTGTCCCACCGCTTCGTCCGTTTATCCAAGTCGGATGAGGAACCAGCTGGGCTAGGTATCTTCAATGGATTTGACGGGTGGTTGTAAGCCACCAAAAAAAAACCAGTGACAATTTGAAATGCCGTTGTTTCAGTTGCATACTGGACCACGTTCCCATCTGGCAGCGGAGTTCACAAAGTCCGCCTCTATTGTTTTGCAAGTAACTCTGGACGCTTTGACGTGCTGGTCAAGTGATTCCTGGAGTGGCGCGGTAATACATGGTAGAAATGCGCCATAATGCGCCAGAAAGGCACAATATCACAATCAGAATCAGATGTATGTTTTCCCACCAATTTTTGAAGGCATGATCCAAAAACGAAACGACCACCTCCGTGCTGTTGGGTAGGGGGACCCTTTGACATCGAGGGCCCAAGCTGCCTATGTGCTTCAAGTGGCTTGGACACGACAGGAATATATCCGGAACAAGTTGGTGGATTTTCTGATTAGTGGTGCAGTTGGTAAGTTTTTGTTGCAACTTCTATATGATGCGTTTGGTGGGTTCAAAGGGTCATTTTCTTGCAGTTTCTATTTACAAGACATTCCCGCCAAATTATCAAACTGAAAAGTGTTCAATTAACGCATAAAGTACCATTTCGGGATGTGTGGCAAGAGCGTAGCATTAGTGGAAACAACTGGATGTTCCGTGGGGCGACATTTGCCCTGCCCTGATTTGGTCACCATCAGATTGCTGCAGGCAACGATTTGGCCCAGGAGATTCTGTCGGTGCTCAAGAGTGTTTGAGTTTGAGTCAGCTCAAAAGTGATCTGGTTGGTGGTTTCAAACATGTTTTGTTTTTCCATTCAGTTTGGAATGTCATCATCCCAACTGACGACGTCATATTTTTTGCAGAGGGGGAGGTCAACCACCAACCAGTGATAGTCTCACATGGCCAGTGGGCCATGTGATGCTTTGGTTGGTGGTTGATGGTGATCCACGAATTGACCAAAGATTGGGGGTTTCGGTTGCAGTTTGCACCACCAACCACTTGTACATACTGGATGCAAACCACTCGTCGGGGCTAAGAGTTCCATGTGACAAGCAGTTGTCTGGTGGATACCATAGCCAGTACCACATTTGTTGTAGAATAGAGTCCTGAGGTGTCATGGTTTTGATGCGCTGAGGAAAAATGATTTCTGATACTGGTGCTGCTGATGCCGGTGCTGATAAGCGGGGTCAGCCAACTGGTTCGGCTGATCCATTTGTATGTGTAACCCCATGTACGCTCCATTACTCATTACTCCATGATCAATTTGTTTCTGGTTGGTGGCTTGAAGTATTGTTTATCGTCCATGCATGTCCATGCTATTTGGGATGATATATACATATATATATAATTATAATATTATACATGATCCCATTTACTGACATTGTTTCCATCATGGGCATTGAAACATCCAATCAGATGAGGTTGAATCATTTCGAAGTACTCATCAATGCAATCAACACATGGCACATCGACATACAACAGGAACCTTTAGATAGGATGGTGAAGATCTCCGGTATGATTCGTGAGCATTGGTGATATCACCTGTACTGGCGAATGGACTTGGCCCACCGTGTTTATTCACTTGGCTATATACATCTCCAACTGGATAAAAAGCATAGTCAATGACCCAGTATGCCATAGTGTGCAAACATCATATTCAGAGTGTTTTCATTAATATATCATATCCCTTGTTGTTAGTTGGTTTTCTCCAGATTTCTTGATGCATATCGTCATCCCCATCAATGTCAACTGAGGATTGATCAATATGCAGTTCATTCATACTGGGGTCCTATTTATGATTGGAATTACATATCAACATGTTGAGGACCCCCCACATTAGGAACTAAATAAACCGGTTGATCACGAAGGTCCTCAAAATCATGGCTACAACCCCGACTACAACCCATATGAATATCTCTATTGTGGGTTCTTAGTGTCTGAATCAGGAACTGCTTGATTTACTGCACACACCACAACCGCCACAACTATAGCTACAGTGATTCCGTTTTCTTCCCATAATTATAACCTCCATGGGATATAACCCACCGGTAATCAAACATGGCTTGCTGAAAAATCAACCATGTATAGATGGTTTTCCGTTAAAATATCGATTGACAGGGACTTTTGAATTGCAATGTTTGATTTGCAGAGAGTATCCCCATCATATCCAATTATATATCCAATGGATTCATCATGTTTCGTGGTGAAATATCGCCATGTTTCATGCTTAAGGCAGGTTTTTGCCCCACTTTCACCTGGTGAACTCATTGCGACATCGGAGGCTGTGTTTCCCATGGATTTTGCTCAGGCCAGGGAGCTGTGGATTGTTTGATGCTCCACCGGGCGCCGGAGAAGGAGAAGAACTTGGAGGAGTTGTGGGCCGTCCTGGAGGAAGAGGCACCGGGCCGCTCTTTGTGGATAGACAAGGCATCCTGCAGCATCCTGCAGCATCCTGCAGCAGTTGGGAAGTAGATTGGTAACTGTGAAACAGTACAATAGTTACCAATGGGATTATTGTAATGGGATTATAATACTGGTAACTATATGTCACTATTGCAAGTGTAAATAATGCGATTGTAGGGGGATTTCGTCCATCCACGTTGGTATAACTATTGGTATAACTTTTGGTACAACCATGAACCACTGTAGACAATGGGATTATATATAAATTGGATAATGGGATACTATAACTGTAGCTATTTTAATGATAACTGTAATGGGATATTGTCTTAATTATTATATTATAATGGTAGCTAGTGTAAATAATGGAATAATCATGGGATTTCTTCCATCTACCAACTGCAGGATTTCGCAACCACAGAAAACCCGTGGTACCCAGATCCGCGAAATGAGTAAATCCGGTAGTGAACCAAGGGCTGAGGTTTATTTAAAATGGCCCATTTATAGTGGATTTACCCATTGAACATGGTGATTTTCCATAGTTATGTTAGTTTACCAGAGGGTAGGGGGAAAGGATTATTCGGGTTTTGGTGATTTTAGCATCGGACGGGAATATATTTGGCTACCCTGATATACAACAAACCATCATTTATCAACTATATATCCCCATCATTTCAAAGGGTTTTTGAGCATCAAACATATGGAGATATAACTGGTAAATGATGGTTGTGAATTATAAGGAGGTATACTCCCTGGTTTTGGGACTCAAGTGTCTCACAATTTCTTTGTGAATTGAGGCTGATGAGTATAGAATGCGAGGTTTCCACGTATTTCCTGATCCGCTTAAAGCAGCTCTTCCAAAGCCTGGGCAGTAAACAATATCCATCGATATCTCTGCACACAAGACATGCGTGCAAATTAATTTATGTGTGGTTAAATAACATAGTTTGATGATGTTCGATTGTTAAATCACATTTGTTGATGGTTAAATAAGCATAAATAAGCTATAATCCCATATAATCCCCATGTTCACAAGTGAAATAGCTGAACCCACCATCTTTCTCTGCCAGCTGTGCACCTATCCGACAGGTGCAGACGGGGCGCGCCAAGATGCTGGGAGCTTCCAACATCACCGCAGCGCAGCTCGAGGCTTTTGAAGAACCGGAACGGGGCTGGCTATTTAGCGAAGTTGGTAAGTAGGTTAACTACGAGTTATGGTATTTATATATATATATTTATAGTATATATATAGTTGGTTTGGGGTAACAAATCAGTTGAATTCTGGGCTTGTCCTGCGCCATACTGACAATATTCATGAATATGATCTATTGTTCAAATGGAATTGAAATGAATGAATGCTTAATGGGATGTATAACCAACAGTATGATGATGTGCCCAAAAATAGGAATAAATGCAGGTTTACGCTACAAAAACAATAAACAAGATGATATAATATGATATAATAATATGAAAGAACAGGGATCGCATGGGGATTTGATGGGGATACAACGGAATGTACAACCAACTTTTGAGGATATGTTTGGTTTGTGAAAGAATGGGGGGAAACTCTAAAACAATGCCATTGTATGCCGGGAACATGATGATCAAGTGAGAGATTTTGAGGTACGTTTTTCTATTCAGACAAACCCAAGGGAAGTTGGGATTTATTGCGTGGTTGGTTCAAAGTCCAAAGAACATATTTGGGGGCTCAAACAGGCAGCAACAACATCCAATGATGGAATAGCAGGGACCCCAACATGGAGTCTGCAGGACCCTTACCGCAGTAAAGGCCCAAACAGCTTCATGCCAGCTGCAGCTTTTTCATTCCTTCCAGGATTTATTGGATTGGACATGTCGTAGGTCACCAGGATAGGGCCAACCAAACGTTTGGTGGATGGCAGCTGGGTATCCTTGGCTAATCTTACATAGTTACATAGCTATGGAAAACCACCATGTTAGATGGGCAAATCACCTACAAGCTGACCATGTTGAATAGCGATGTTAGATTACCGGAGGGCAGATCGAAATGTCTGATAATGTTTAGTCAAGCATAGAGCTTCAAGGTCAGACAAAATCTTGAGCCACAGCCATCTACCCATTTTGTGGGGGATCGAAGCCATGTGTTCACCAGTTTAATCATGACCTCTTACGATTGAGCGTAGTGAAATGACTTGTTGTAACACAAGTTGACCAGTTGGAAGGGACCTTCTTTGCCCCTGGCTGACAGTGACTTAATCCCTGCAATGATGATTTGAGCACAATCCCGAAATTGTCACCTTGAACCGCCAAATATGGTTATATATATAGATCAACACTTGCAGTACCATCAGGAACAGGGGGGATGAACGTCGAAACATCGATAAATCCCAGCTTTTTTGGGGTTCACTTAGGTGCCAGCGTTTGGACCCATACCGGCTGTGGTTGCAGGTGCTTACGAGTCGCCAGCGACCAGAATCCCTTTGGTGCTGTCCTCATAATTCAGTCGAGGGGTCATAGCGGAGAGAGGTGAGATCAGTTTGAATGAATTATTTGCTTACATTCTGGCAATCAAACGTGGCAATGGCAAATCCACCATTTTTAGGGATTCGCATGGATTTTCCGAAAACTACTGTAATATCTATAGGATTGTCAATTGCCACTTTTGAGTACTGGAGGGTAATCCAGTGGCCCCTCACAGCAGTATCCAAGCATTTGATGAGGAAATTCTTCCCACCTCCCTCAGCTGTTTTAGTGGAAAATGCTGATGATAACTCGCCAGATTTCCCCGTGGGTTCTTGTGACCCAACCACTGACGAGTCGACTTGCCAGAACCTGGGGGTTTCCAGAAATGGAAGATCCCCAATAGCTGGATGGTTTATAATGGAAAATTCTCAAAAAAGACGGATGTTTTCTGGCTACCCCCATTTTCGGAAACCTCCCAATAGATAGAACAACCGGTTGATGGGATTTCCTGAGGCCCGCGGTGGTGCAATTGAAATGCTCCATCTTCCATCAAGGCAAGTCGCGGCCTGGTCCAGGTAAATGTTGGCAACAAGCCATCAAAAATACTGACGGTGATGGGTCCTCATCTATGGTAACCAGAAAAATCACTGATCATAGTTGATCCTCCAAAGAAGTCGTGGCATGACTTGACTGGCCCGGGTCATCCCTGCCTCAACCTTGGTCGGGTAGTTTGATAGTTAATCATACATTAACATGTTGCCACACATGTGGAAACATACTATCTGGATGAATTGTAACGACCTCATGGTTTATATGGGGAATCATGCCCAAATGACCGTATTGTCACAGTTATTTTTCAGGTTGGTGACTTAGTGTAATTCAGCCAGATATATTCCATTATATCCATTAAAACCCATTCAATCCCATGAAATCTTCTAAACCCGTATTTTTTATTGTCAGTTGATGGTCAAAAATCCCATGTCACCGAAGAACTGGAATCTGTTGCAGTTTGTTTTTCAGATTACCGGTTGGTTCCATTCGCTGATGCAGGTGGATATTTCATCGAGAATCCTTCCGCACTGTGGAGGATCTTACAAACCAAACGCTCCATGGCAAAGCCTGGGGCTATGGAAAGTTATTGGGATTTCCGTCAAAGTATTGAGCTGGTCTTGGTTTGTACAAAAGAACTTGCTCGAGGTTTCAACTACAGACATGTTGTTTTTTTGCTTCTCACCAGATAAAACGGTGTTTTTTTGCTTTGGAGATGTCCTCTTTGCAACGCCCAGCGGTGGCCATTTTCCCGTGGCCTCCAAGGAATTGTGCCCGTTGGCATTTCCCTCTTCAATCCCTTGCACTCGTGTATCAGCCCGTGGCTCGACTTGGTGAGGTAACTGGGATACTCGTAATTTGAGATCTACGGTACGGTACTGTGTGGTACTGTACTGTACTGTACTGTCCTGTACTGTACTGTACTGTACCGTACCGTACGATACTGTACTGTGTTGTTGTGTTGTTGTGTTGTTGTTTGTTTGTTTGTTTGTTTGTTTGGTTGGTTGGTTGGTTGGTTGGTTGGTTGGTTGTTTGGTGTTTGGCGTTTGGTGTTGTTATTGGCGTTTGGTGTTTGGTGTTTGGTGTTTGGCGTTTGGTGTTTGTGTTTGTTGTTGTTGTTGTTGTTGTTATTGTTGGTTGTTGGTTGTTGTTGTTGTTGTTGTTGCTGCTGCTGTTGTTGTTGTTGTTGATCATATACTCCCCCTTGGAATTTTCTCTGGGAAATGGTGGTCCGGGACCCCACGATTCTTTAGAGATCTGGGCTTTAGGGTTTTCAATGTTTGACCACTTGCATTCTTTTAGAGGAGTACCGGTCGCTATTTGACCTCATCTGGTGGAAGCTGGAGGTTCCATTCTATAGAGTTCAGGGTTATCAACCGGGATCACCTCTAAATTTCGATCTCCCATTCTTTAGACACCAGTTGTGTGTTTCCAAAAAAACGAAGTTACATTTTTTATTTTAGAGTTCATTGGTTCAATGACTCTAATGAATGGAACTTTGAAAACTTTCAAGGTCGACCAGAATATTAAGAAAATCTCTAAAGAATGGTATTCCCAGAGCCCGCAACATAAACAAGATTTTCACATAATTTTACAATTTCTGTGTGTATCATTTTTTAGGGAAAATTAAGGGAAAAAATGAAATTAAGCACTTTTCAATACTTTTCAAACCAATCACCGGTTCCTCCATTTTATAGACATGTCTCTGTTTGTAAGACCCTCGGAGGTTCCATTCTATAGAGATGGGGTTCCATTTTTTAGAGATTTGGTATGATTTGGTCGTGCAGGCCCTCCATTCTATTGCGCGCGGGGTTCCATTCTATAGATGTCCCACTTCTAGCCCCCCCCCCCGGGACCACTAAAGAATGGTGACGTCCTCCCTTTTTACTTAATTCAAAGGTGGATATCATATATGCACCAGGCCCTGCCACCCCCCCCCCCTGTGGTGTGGTACTGTCCCCCTCCCCCCCCTGTGGTGTGGTGGGGGTGTGGTATGGTATGTTGGGTATGTATGGTGTGTATGGTCTGTCTGGTTCGGCATATTTGGAAAGTATGGTATGCTTGGTATGCATGGTAGGTATGGTATGTATGGCATGAATGGTGGTATTGTATCGATGGTAGGTGTGGCAATTATGTTGCATATGTATGGTATATGTGGTATGTATGATAGGTATGATAGGTATGGTATGCATGGCATCATTGGGATGTATGGTAGGTACGGTATATGTTAAACACATGTAATGTTGTCAGAGTACACAGGTAATAAATAGGAAGTAGATACAAAGCACATGTATATATGACTATGTGTACCGGGTAGCACGTAGGCGTCACGTGGGTACTTTGAGGGAGTATGCGTGCTGCGTAGGTCCGGCGTAGGTCGCCGAAAAGGTAGCATGTACCTAGTAAATGCAAGGCTGGTAGTCAGAAATGCTGCAAAGACCTAGCAAATACGAAGCTGGACATCAGAAATGCTGCCAATAGCTTGCAAATAGAAGGAAAGGGGGGGTGGTACCTGGGGACCCAACCCATGGGGGGGGGAGGGGGGGGGGGAGAGACGGAGGATGGCACCATATATAATCATATGACCATTTGTCAAAAATAGTTGTTTAGAAGTTTAGTATTGGTTGTTGATAATTCATCTGGATCTACTGTTTTTTCCTCTTCGTTATGAGGCGGCACGCAACTAAATTCAGCAATTCTGCAAGGCAGCGCTAGCAAACCCGCTAGGTTTGCGCTAGGTTTGATTGACAGCCATGGCCTCCATGCCGTGAATGTCTTGCCAGCTTTTCTTACAAGTCTGTCAGTTTCCACATATTCCCAAATTTTCGATTTTTTTTACGTATTTTACGCGCTAGATCCCCGCTAGCAACGCGCTAGCAAAAATTGCAAATACATGCCCCGGTCCACCCACAGCCCATTCAGAGGCACAGCCATGTTCACGCTTTGGTAGCTTACAGTAAGGAAACAGCGTTGATCAGGAGGCATGTCAGGAAGCATATTGCATTCAGAGAGGCACACACACAGAGACACACAGTTCAGGAGATAGTACCAGCGACAGCGAATGAAAATCGACGTGCGTTAGCCGATTCCCGTGGTTTTAGAAAGATTTCCAAAGGTAACGAAGAATTTTCACGTTTTCACGTCATCAAGGTAGGTCATGTTTTTTAAAGGCAGACATGAGGCGGCACGCATGGAATTGCGATTTATCAACAAAACCGGGAACAGACATTTTGACAAATCGTCATATATATATATACGTGTGTATATATCACGAAAGGTAGCTCCAGAGGGGCTACCTTGAGTTTTACTTTACGAAGTAAAGGGGAGGGCGGCCAGCCCCGTTACCTGATTCTTCAGGAGATTGCTAGTCATTTTAGTAACCCCCCCCCCTCCACACCTCCCACGCACCCTAAGAGCAGACTCAAAACATTGTAATTTACAGTATTTTTGTTCTTTTCGGATCAAGAAACCACATTTTGCTACATGGTGAAACCTCCGTAAATACCAGTGTTTTTGCTAGGTGCTGGCCAAAAAACACTGTAAATACCGTGCTTTTTACTACCAGAGGCAAAAAACATCGTAAATACTGTGGTTTTGGGCTTCCGACCCGCCAAAAACATCGGTATTTACGGTGTTTTTTGCTCCGAGAGTTGCAAAAACACGCGAAAACACCACCGATTTGACGATTTTCGGCCACTACGGAACCGAGCAAAAACGCTGCAGGGGTAACACCAACACCAACAACAACAACACCAACAGCAACAACAACAACGACGACAACAACAACAACAACAACAACACCAACACACAACGCACAATGCAACAACGCAACAACAACGCACAACGCACAACGCACAACGCACAACACACGCAACAACGCACAACACACACACACACACAAACACACACACAACACACAACACACACAACACACACAAACACACACGCACACAACAACACACAACACACACACAACACACACACACACAACACACACACACAACACACAACACACACACACACACACACACACACAACACACAACACACACACACACAACACACACAACACACACACACACAACACACAACACACAACAACACACAACACACAACAAACACACAACAACACACAACAACACACAACAACACAACAACACACAACAACAACAACAACACACACAACACAACAACACACAACACACACAACAACACACAACAACACACAACAACACACAACAACACACAACAACACACAACAACACACAACAACACACAACAACACACAACACACACACAACAACACACAACAACACACAACAACACACAACAACACACAACAACACACAACAACACACAACAACACACAACAACACACAACAACACACAACAACACACAACAACACACAACAACACACAACAACACACAACAACACACAACAACACACAACAACACACAACAACAACAACACCATCAACAGCAGCAGCAGCAACAACAGCAACAACAACAGCAACAACAACAACAACAACAACAACACGAACACGAACAATACCAACACCAACAACACGACCAACAACACCAACACCACCAACAAACCCAACCACACCAACAACACTAACAACACTAACAACACTAACAACACCAGACAACACCAATACCAACAACACCAACAACACCAACACCACCAGCACCACCAACACCACCAACACCACAACCACCACCAACCCCAACCACATCGCCGAAGCCTTTCAGTCGCTTTTAGCAGACTCCCCTTCATATTTTTGGAAAGAAAATGGCCGCGTCGCTTTTACCAGACTCCACTTTATGTATTTTTCCCTCCCCTCTCCCCTTCATTTTTTCTTCGGTTCCTTTCTTGCTTACCTACCTTTCGTGTTCCCCCTCTCAAGTCTATATATACGTGTATATATATATATATACGTGTATATATATATATATATACGTGTATATATATATATATACACGGGTATATATAGATATATATATATATATTTAATATTATATATGTTGAGTTGAGGGCAGCTAGTCTACACCCTGAAAACATTTTGTTTTCTGTAGTTGTTTTGGAAGGGGCTCAGTCGTTTTGAAACGATAACGATTGGCAAGATTAGAGGACTCTGAAGAACATGATTTGACACGTTTTCCCTGTTTTTTTCAATGTATGGCTCGTCAAGTACTTGTGAATTGCAGCTTCAAGATGCTTCAAGCCATTGCATGAGGTTAGAAGAACCTCTGTGCCGTGCTTGGGCGCAAGATCTATGTTGTTCACCGGCAGAGCTGTCCGGAACCAAGTTCGTGGAGTTTGTTCTCTTGATCAGAAACACGATGCTCAGACAATCAGAGACTTTGTCACCTTGGTTTTTGAACCAGAATCCAAACACATCAATTTTCAACTCAGCCTATTTCAGCATGGATACTTATTGGTTTGAAATCCCTTTTCAAGAAAATAGTTTTATAACAGATCCACAAACGTTTGACCCACGATGCACATCCCACCGGATGTTACCCCCCTAAGCTGCACGAGGCTTGCCCATTGGGCCTGTGCCATGGGTGTTTGCCCAATGCTTCGCTGCGCGCCGCACCATGTCTCGTGCTTCTCCAGCAACCTGAATGTGCCACCAGCAGTGGACGCTTGGGCTGGGGTTGTTGGGATTGGTGAATCACCATTTTCCCCAGGTCTTCCAGGTCCTGATTTTGCTCATTTCCAGGCAGATCAACGGTGTTGATGCGCCATAAAGTTGTACGCACTAGGCCAGTGATGGATTGGTTCCTTACAACTTCAACCACAGGTTTCTCAAGTTCAGTCTGTTCCGAAGGTATTCAAGTTGTAGTCGTTTGCATGCTATTGGGGTATCTGCACCGTAAATATCCTTAAGTTACCCCAAACATCCCTGAACCCTAATAACTATAATATAATTATATAGTTACTATTTAGACTGACCATTTTTTTGGTTATGTTTGGCTTGAAGTCATCAACTAAGAGGATCATTTACCCCGGGCACCCCTGCGCATTGTCACCAGAGGTTGGAGCAATGACGAGTCTCTCCAATTTGACCGAGACGTGACTTGGTTTTACGATGCGGGGAATCAAACATGGCAGTGGATAATCCCATTTTAATGTCACACCAGTATCTTGACATGTTTTTTTTTAAATACTCTCTGGTAATTTAACCTAGCTATTGAAAATCACATGTTTTAATGGTTATATCATATACATATATATATAAATGACCATTTTCCATAGCTATGTTAGTTTACCAGGCCGGGTAATTGCAAAATCATCAATAGTCTGGGGATGTTCTGTTGGGTCAAGTCCTGGGGTACTCATCGTCATCCCTCATTTCAAGATGGGCTTGTCTCAAAATAACTCCCAAATCCCAAGGGGTTATGACGACGAGGATTATTTTTCTGATTTTCTGATGATGATGATGATGATGGTGATGATTCCTTTCTCCCTAGTGGAAGGGCCATGACTGAGGGTATTTTCCTTCAGGTCCTTCTGCCCATCGCTGCGCCCCATGCTGAACCTTCAAGCCTGCGCCCATCGAAGAAGCATCCGCAAGGGGGACCACCTAACAGGGCAGCAGGTGGAGGCGGGGGTGGCAGCCATAGGGCTGGATAAAATCATGGATGGATTTTGAGAGTTTTTTGTTGGTTGATGTTCATGAATGTTCAAAGTTCCTTGTTGATTGTTCATTGTTCATTCATATGTGTATACATATATATAATTATATTCATATGTTGTTTCTTGATTTATGTTTATTATTTATGATTGATTGTAGTTGTGTTTTGTTGATTTGTATGAATGTTCAAAGATGTTCTTAATGTTTGTGGTTTTTATGTTATGCATGTTCAGTGTGAATGTTCATATGCGTCATCATTGTTTATCGATTCGTTCAGTGGATTTCTTCAGTGGATTGTCATACTTTATTGGATGTTCACCGCATTTCACAAAGTTTGGATTGTCATGGCATGGTTTCAGGTTCCATGAACGTTCCATCCCATTTCAGTCTGATGGTTCCATGAATCGAACGGTGCTATTGAAACGGACCAAATTTCTGATTGCTGAACAATCGGAATAAGAATTGAGGATATCGAAGATGATACATGATCATATATTATATAATGTATAATAATCCAGTAATATGTACTGTAATATGATAGTCATCATGATACGTAACATCCATTGATATTATCATGTATGTGTTGATTGTGAATCATTACAGTCACTTTTCAATATTTTACTTGGAGCTAAGGAGTTATGTTATTCTCCATCACTGATAAGCCAAGGAGCTACGAATAGAGTTTCCCCCAATACTGTTGTTTTTTAATTATTGTATAAACGATGAGTAAGACTTGCATTAACATTATGCCAGGATGACTGCCTATTGTCATGCTGATTCCAAAGTAAGTTGGCATTCATATGATTCATATAATTTCTTTGTAAGACTGGCTTAAAGTAATCCGTATGTACTTATAATTACCCTTTGGTAATCAAACATGGCGAGCCATAAAATCCCTGATTTTGAGATGGATTTCCAAGCTATAAACATCCATTTAGTTCGGAGATGTCCAACTGTCACGTTTGATGACACCGGAGGGTACATCATCCCATTCATAGCTCATTGATACCACTAAATAGCCTTAGATAGTCCATTGATCCATTGATATTATGATATGCCTATCATTGGTAATCCCTCTAAATCCCTGGTAGTCCCTTGACTTGAATAATACATATTAATACTAACTAGGGAACGATTACTCGTAAATCACTACTAAATTACCATTGAATCACTTTTAATTAGTTTATTGTCCTTTAAAATTTGATTTCCTGATTCCTGCTATATAGTCTCTTTGGTACGGAGACGGACACGCGTGCTTCCTCAGGTGCACAGCTTGAAATCCGCTGAAGGGTTTGGAGCCCCAGGTGTGTGTTGCAGAGGTGCCGAGGATGGTTGTGCGGAGACAACCTGGAAAAATAGGGATATGGCCAGCAAACATGCGGATTTTTCCCAGCAGATATTTTTTTCCAGATTTATAATGTATATCAACTCCAAATGTATAATATTGTTCCAAAACTAGTTGATCCCAATTGCCTTCCGTTTGAATTGGCTTGAAACCATCTCCAGGTCGCCTTGATTTTTGTTGAAACCCTCCGTGTCGTTCGTGTCCAAAGGCAGAAACTCAATGGGCAGATTGGAATCTTGATGGACTTTGAAGAGGAATCCATGGGATGTGCGGGCCCCACGAATCGGATCCGTGGTTGATGATCCATAATAATCTGGGTATATCTGGGTAAATTATAATGGACATCATCCCCAAATGGCTTTATTTCAGGTCCGTGAAATATTATAATTTACCCAGATAATAATTAATAAGCTCTATAATGCCATTTATCAGTGGAGATGTTCCATGTATAGGTGGGGATATAGTTTAACCCATTTACTAAGTGAGATGCACCCCAAGTCGTTGCACATGTTTTTTTCCCATCAATCACCTACTAATTGACTTAACTGGTATGCACCTCCATGTGCCAAGCTGTGTTCTGGCACAGAGTAAGATATGGCGGTTGGCTTCGAATTGGGTTCGTCACCGATTTGGGGTTGGGTCAAAACCTATGACTATCAATTTTAGTGGAATGAACATCTATTTACCAGTTATTTTGAAGTTGGGTAGGTACCAGGGTTTTGACCCACAGCCATTCGAAGAACTGACTATCAGCGCCCTAAGTCAAGCTTTGGGTGCCCCAAGTCTTCATTGTTAAGTTGGCAGCATTTCGAAATGTTCAGCCTACCCTCACCTCGGTACTTGTAGCCAGAATCCCATGGATCCAACATGATCCAACACGGTGTCGTTGATGGAAAGGCAAGGTACTGCAAGAAATAGTGCATCAGTTGGTGAACCAACATGCTGCAGGTGCCAGCAAGTGGACAAACATGAATGGATAATACCAAGATGGTTCTGATGTAATGGTGAATAATCTATGACATACATGACAAGCCACAAATAAGTGCCTCACCTCACCTTTTTAGGCATGGTGTATACCTTTCGCAGGAGACAAGTCGATGGCAAGTGGCCACGCCTGGTGGGGTCCGCAAGATACGCAACTCGTCAACGAAGCTTGTGATTGGTGGGAATCTGAATATGACATCCATTAAGCCATATTTCTAATAAATATGTCAAGCCGGTCCAGAGCTACACTTTTGTGTGTTTTATCTCCCTTAGAGAGTTACTGTTTGAGGAAAGTGCTAAGTTAAATATTGGTATGGCTCAAACATGGGGGATACCAATTGACCCAGGGGTCAACAATTCTGAGCCACACCGAGGGTCCGATACTGTTCCGTTATCCAGTCCATCCAGTCCAACAGACTCGAGGATTGCATACCCATTCTTATTGTATAGTCTTAGGCCATCTTAGGTCATCTTTTATAGTCTTATTGTATATTCTTATTCTGTATACCTATATATACCCATTCTGTGGTCGGCAGACTGGTACTTTTATAGGGGGACAAGTTTACCACAGAATCGGATCGGTCGTTGGAGCCCTTGCTGTCTGGAAAAATCCACAATGCTTAGCGCTTCATGCGCTCAAACCTTTGCTGAAACTGTTGCAAGTTAATAGCGGAAACTTCGCTTATACACTATACAGTTTGCCATGCCTTTTATTTTAGTTGTATTATGATGTATTATGTTGTATTGGTTTATCTTGAACACATACCAAGTGGTGAGCATGTTGAACGATCATGGTTGGTTCACCCAGTTGACAGTTATAGATGGCATATGGCTGAACATCCACTGTGACTGTACCTTCACGTACTCACCTTGAATAGCACACTGCTGTGTGTATTTATACTATATTAGAACATTTCTAATTCCATAATCAAATATAGAAGTATAATATATATTAATATTATAAATATATATATATATGAAAGTGAACAAATTAATACGAATGATATGTATATTAATGTACAGAGATACTCTCTGGTAAACGTTTACATGACTATGGAAAATCACCATGTTCAATGGGTAAATCCACTATTTCTATGGTCATTTTCAATAGCTATTTTGACATAACCAGAAGGTAATTATGGATTAATTACCATTAATCACCATTAACCCACTTGGTGAACTCCATTTTTGCTGCTTAAATCACCATTTTCCTATGATTGACATACCCAGAGGGTAATATTAAATGAACCTTTTCCATAATATATGGGATCATCCCAGTGACGTTCATATTTTTCAAGATGCGCGCATTGCACCACCAACCAGGTTATTATTAACCATCATTAACCATCATCATAACTATATTATAACCATATATTAACAGTATATTAACCAAAATATATATATATATATATATTAACCATCATTAATCACCATTAATCACCATTTTCCTATGTTTTGACACCAGAGATCAGCGTCCAGCGCTGCCCAGTGAAATAGGCTGCGAACATCTCTCCACGGTCCCGACGCCGCTCCACGAAGACCTGGACCCGGCGGAGCGCTCGGGGCAGTTTCTCAAGGAGCTCCTGGCCGCCGGCAACGCGGAGGACCGGGATGTTGCGGCGCCGCGGAGCCGCCGGTGGGTGAAGAAGGGCGAAAACCATGGGAAAACCATGGGAAAACCATGAAGAATTTGGGGAAATGATGAAAAACTCTGGAAAAACAGGAGAAAATCGTGACAAAATGAGTTCGAACCATGAAACTGATTTAATACGATAGAATGGAAGGTAAATAGCCACATGTCACCTAGAATCATTTAAAACATGTTCATATTCCATTATATTATGATATCAGTTAATTTCAATGAATTGGTATTGTAGGAAAAATCACATGAAACCTTGGTTTCCAAATCTAAGGCTTTCCATTCGACCTCCCCAAAACCAATAGCGCCAATAGTGTTTCCTGGAATTTTCCCTCAAACCAATTCTGGGAGAACGACATTCGAGGATATCCTCTGGATTTATGGATGAAACCTCGGGGATTTCACAGCCAGCCATGTGAAACAATTGCTGGTGAAACCACCAATAGTGGCGTTTTAGTATATAGTTTTTTTTAAACAAAAGGATATATAGCCGACTTGATATGATACATGGTATATGATATAGCTAATTGGATATACTGGTACACCTGCAAAATAACCAATCAAATAGGGAAAATGATGATTACGGTAACCCACAAATTTAGGGCTACCCTAGTTTCAGCCAAACCATTGCTGTGTCATGAAAGCACGTGAAACATACATTGGTATATAATCAGTGAAACTAGATTACTTTTCAGTATGGAGAAAACAGACATCAGATGTTCCATTTACAAGGAGTGAACACAGTGAACTCACCCACACACCAGACAGTCTAATTTGGTAGTCTCAAACAGATGGTATAGCCCAAGCCATGATGCTCCCAAACAGAGTGCCATGGGGATATTCCATGGAAAGCCATGGGGATGGGTCAAGTTACCTATGAAATTGCCCATATGACTGGGTGAAGAAACAGCCATGAACCAGCGGCATGACTTTGGGTACTGTACCTAGGATACCGGGGTTTTGACCCATAGCCATCTATCATTTGGATTTCATTTGGGACAGTCCATATATCATCCATGTATATTGTTGTTTGTAGTGAGATCTGCCATTTTATTTTTTGGGGTGGGGCAACGGAACCGGCACCAAAACCCATGGATTAACCAGGAGTTTGTTGGTAGATGCACCTGTTCAGATGGGAAATCACATTTGGTAATCAATATCTATGAAGCCATGTGGAGGTTTCCTAAAATGGAGGTACCCCCGGAAATCATCTATGTATATATAATATATAAACGGTTTTTCCATGAAATACACCCTCTATTAGACATCCCCCATGACTTAGGAAACCTCCATGATTCTCCAAAATATTTCTGGAACATCACCGTTTTCTAGTCTGAAAAACTATGTATAAATCGGCCATGTTCCACATCTATAGTAGATGATTTATCATATGTTCTAGTCTATAATCATCTATAAATCATCTATAAATCATCTATAAATCATCTATCAATAATCTATAAATCATCTATAAATCACCTGGATCATCTTTATCCCAGGGGATGTCTAAATTCACAAAAGAGGCCACCCAATGACCAAATCCTCAGCCACTGCCAGGCCATGATGTCGCTGTTGCGCCAACGAAGGGACGAAGCAGATTGGGCCTTGCTGGAGACAGTGTGGCCTGGCGGAATCAAAAGGATGTGTCATGTTGTAGATGGTAAAGCCTGGTCGTGTAATATGGTTTTGTTCAATCCAATTTATCTTTACATCATATACTACACAATGACTGTACATACAGATAGATATATTAGATAGATAGATATATTAGATAGATAGATAGATAGATAGATGGATAGATAGATAGATGGATGGATAGATGGATGGATGGATAGATAGGATAGATAAGATAGATAGGATAGATAGGATAGATAGGATAGATAGATAGGATAGGATAGGATAGGATAGGATAGGACTAGATTAGATTAGATTAGACTAGATTAGATAGAGACTCAGAGATAGAGAAATAGATAGATAGATAGATAGATAGATAGACAGACAGATAGATAGATAGATAGATAGACAGACAGACAGATAGATAGATAGATATAGGTATAGATATAGGTATAGATATAGGTATAGATATAGGTATAGTTAGATATAGATAGATATAGATAGATATAGATAGATATAGATATAGATAGAGATACATAGAGATAGATAGAGATAGATAGAGATAGATAGAAAATGTCACACGTTCACAAACATCAATTGATTGGACTATACAGTCAAATCACTTTCCGCCTTGCGCTTGCATTTGCCCATGTGTACAGCGATTGGAATTGTGGAGAAGCCATCAGAGTTGCTCCAACCCGTGGCAAATGTCCCAAAATGGCGGTGGAAAGTTGCTGATTCTACTTCTGTATTTAACTATAATTCACCGCCCTACAGTTATGGCCCAACTAACAGTCTAACAGTTTTAAATGGGATTACAAGTACTATATGTAACTAGTTGAGTAGTTGGTTACATTTGGTAACAGTAAATGGGATTACAATTGTCTGGTTAGTAGTTTCAAACATTGTTTATTGTCCATTTCATATACGGGATGTCATCCTTTCCATTGACGAACTCCATCATTTTTCAAGATGGGCACATTGCACCACCAACCAGTACAGTAGTTACATAACCGAGTCAAAAAAAAAACTGGTTGGTCATGGGATGCCACCAACCAGTAGCTATACAACCGAGTTATAACAACTGGTTGGTCATGGGATGGGAGCAATCACAGAGTCGGCTCGGCGACGAGTCGGCTCTTTTGAGGTCCGCCAACCTGTCCTTCGCAGAATCCAAGGGCTACCAAGTGCCACTTTCCGAAGACTTCAATGGGGACACCGAGGGATTTTTGACATGTCCTAAAAGTCCAGTGATTTTATAGTAGTGGACATGGAAAAAAATGAAACAAAACATATTTTTAGGACATGTTAAAAAAAAAACGACTTTTAGGTCACGTTGATCCCTGTTTTTTTCCTATGGTAGTCAGGGATTGTCCACCCATGTTTTGGGGGATTTTCTGGGATGATCGACCAGCAGGGAAGATCAGCAGGTCGACCATGCATTTTTGTATGTCACATGCATATACAGTGCATTTTACATAAGATATATGATATATATATATATACATATACATAACAGATGTAGGTATGATTATAACAATTACATATAGGCACTGCTTGCAGGATGTTGGCGGACAGGTGATTGAGCACACTTCCTGTGCCGTCTTATCTCAAGATCATAATGCTGTTTTCTGTCCCCTTGCCATGGATTACACCCCTGCCATAGTGGTTGGATCGTTTTTATCTGGTTGGCTGTCAAGGGATTGGATTTCAACAAAACCAGAGGTGCCCGCTTGCCAGTGTGTCTGCAACTGGACAGGGGAAAAGGCCAGCACTGGTGACAGTGGCCATTATAACCTTACTTGGTTGCTGGGATTTTTCGTCCTACTGTTTGCCCTCGTCACCTTTTCCAACGCGGCACTTGCACTGAGGGTGTCGTATCAGGACAGCTCCACGGGAGCAAATCGTGAGTGGCAAGTTGGGGTGAAGGGCAAAAGTAAGGGCGTTTTCAATAGCGCCAAAGGTCTTGCTATCACTGGGTGACCATGGCTACCATTCCTGTGGGTTCCTTGGCATTCCTCGACTACGGGGAAGTACCTCGATGCATTCACACGCGGCTGATCGTAGGCCACATACAGGGGCAAGAGTACCAGGTGTTGACGCCAGACTTCGACTGTTATGTTGAAGAAATTTCAAATGGGAACACAGACTTAGTGCAACATTGGTTAGGTGCTGCAGGAGGTGGCATTCCACCAGGGGTGCCAAACAGGAGTGTTTACGGTTTCCGACCAATGTCAGCAAACGAATTCGCAAATCGTTTAGCTGCTGGGGCAGCGCTGGCAGATGCTGAGCGAGCGTGACGTGGTTTGAACCTTCCAGCTCCTGCAGGGGGGGTTGCTGCAGCAGCTGTTCCGGCAGCTGCACCGGCTGCTGCTCCAGGTCCTGACCAGTTTTGGGTCCTGGCCGAACATGTTGAAGGTCGTAAAGTTGGCGAACGAGTGGTGCCGCCTGCTGGGCATCCAGTTGATGGCGATTGGGGCCTGATGAGGATCACCGATTCCAAGAACGTGGAGAGGCCGACTTTGATTTGCCGGATCAGTGAAGATGGACTGGCCCTCTTTTGTGAGCAGCGGGTGCAAGCTGCCCGATCCACTGGGGCAACTGAGGGCGACGATGTCTCTGCAAGTGATGACTGCAGGACCTTGGAAGTCACATATGGCTTGAACGGAGAGAGACAGAGGGGCTTTCGTGAGAGTGTCAAAGAGTTGCACCAAACCGAGTTCAGCGACTTTCCTCTGGAGCCTAGGACTTGTCTTGAATACGTTCGAGCTATCAGCAGCATTGCGGAAAGCTCTACAGCCCAGCACCGCCTTTGGGTAGGTGCCTCCAGGATTCCTGAGGGTGACCGGAGCATTCACGAAGATGAGGTCTTGGCACGCATATTGGATGCGGCATTGTGCTATGACTGCCTCAACATTGCGAACCTCAGCTGCATGGAGTTGGTGTGTCGTCGCAGGCAACTACTTGCTGAAGCGCATGCCCACTCACCTGCTGCTCCGAGCTATGTGGGTGCGGAACATTTTATGGGTCAGACCTACAAAGCTGGCGGTGGCGTTGTTGTTCCGAGTTTGTCTGAGCATGTTTCCCGTCAGCTACATGCTCAGGCCCAAATCCTCAAGGAGAAGCGCAAGATGACTGAGGTCAAGGGCGGCAGCAAGGGAAAAGACAAGAGTGCAGCTAAAGCCTCCGCCAAGCCAGGCGGGGGTGGAGGACAGTAGCCGTGTAACTTTGGCTGCGGTGGTTGGCAGGACACCGTAGCTTGTGGAACTCTGCCATGGGGCGGGCTTTGTGGGAATCTCAGATTTTTCATGCTCCCCGCCATGATGACCGGCAACGGGATGTTTTCCCTTTGCCACGGCTACTTGTGGACAGCTTGATGCAACCTGGCCTGTCCCGGTCGGTGAAACGAAGACTGGATAGGCGCAACGCTATTGCCAAGCGGGTCAATCATGCTGTCGATGCTTTGAATTTGCTTTACAGTGGGAAGGACGATGCCATGAAGTCTGGTGTGGTGGATTCGATTTGCAACCTGCCGTTAAATCAGCAGAGCGCTTTGAGATGCATCCTTCAGAATGTGCAGGATCTCGGCAGTCCTCCCGCTGGTGCATGTGGTCAGGGAGCCCTGAAGGCGCTCCGGGCGGCCCCCAGCCTGTATGAAGACTGTGCTGGTGGCGTGGGAGATGTTGTACCTATGAGCCTTCCTTGTCTTTCGCTTCCAAACGAGGTGGTGGCCGGGGTCGACTTACTGGGTGCACTTGAGGAGCCCGTGAAGGGCTTGGTTTCACAATTTGAGGATACCATGTTGCAGGATGCAGATGTTTGGACAAGCATTTCAAGTAACACCTCCGACCTCACTCCCTACAATGACCCCTTTCTGCGTGATCGTAGACAGTACCTCGCTTTTCTGCAGCACCTATACAGCAGGGGAATCCTTGATTTTGCTGATGGCTGTAGAGGCAGGGTAGGGGCCTTCACCGTTTCTAAGAAACCAAAAGAGATTAACGGGGTTGTGCAAACTCGTCAACGACTGGTATTGGATTGTAGGCAAACCAACCTTCTTTTTCGCCCTTCTCCGCACACTCAACTGGGTTCATTAGCTGCTCTGAGCGACCTGATCATTCCGCAGGGGCACAACATGTACATGAGTGGCTCCGATATTCGTGACTGCTTCTACGCGGTCAGGTTGCCCAGGGAGCTTGCAGCTTTCTTTGGACTACATTTGGACATCAACGCGCGAGAGGCATCGATTGTTTCTGGTCTGGGGGAAGGACATTTTGATGGTTGGAATTGTATCACACCGGTCATTGCGGTACTACCCATGGGATTTTCATGGTCATTCTTTTTGGTGCAGCACATACATGAGTCTGTGTCTCTAAGAGCTTTGAACATACCACGTACACAACTGGTCTTAGAACAATGCCCATTGCCTACTTTGCAGCCTGGTAACATATTAGCTATGCCGTACTGTGATAATGTACACTCTATTGGTTTGAATGAGAAGCTCACCAACGAGGGCAAGGAGGCTATTTGCAACTCTTTGTCCGACATTGGGTTCTCCATGCATGAAGATGCACCTGCCTCTTCCACTTTTGCTACCTTGGGGGGAGTGATCGATGGTGAGATTGGCCAGGTGCGGGCTACTCCGGCGCGCATGTGGAACCTCATTCTAGCCTTTATGCACATTAGGCAGGGAAGCGTTCATCCAGAAGTTGTTCAACGTTTATTGGGGCACGCGATGGTTGTTGCTGTACTAAACAGGGCTGGTATGAGTATTTTTCATCGGTTGTACAAGTTTGCGCAGAGCACTTCGGGACCACGCCCACTCAACAATAAGGAGAAAGTCGAGTGTTTTGTGTTTGCAGGGATCATACCACTTCTTTTTGCAGACCTTAGACGTGATTGGAGTGATGAAGTACACTGCACAGATGCTTCACCAGATGGGTTTGGCGTTTGTTCTACCTTTGCCAGCGTCGATGAAGTGCAAAATGTTGGCAGGTGGAATGAGCGCTGGAGATACAAACGACTGCCGCCGCAAGATTGGCAGCCACGGAGGCGGGCTATGGCGTTGGATGTTTTCAGTGATGTTTCAACCGTCTCCGGCACTGGTTTCCATGAGATGAGCTACGACAATTACATTGAGAACCCATTGTTTGAAGAGGTCCCCAATGGTTTACTTCATCCTTCACGTTGGTCCACCAAGATGATGGGTAAGTGGGAACATACGGAAGAACACATCACACTCAAGGAGGGTAGGGCTTTGGTTCTTTGTGCTAGGCGTTTATCTCGGAGCTACAAGTATAGAAACAAGCGGCATGTTATCCTGGTTGACAATCTCGGGTTGGCTTTGGCTACTTGCAAGGGACGGGCTGCTAATTTTAAGATGCTCCGTATCATGCAACAGTTGGCGGCTATTTCACTTGCTTGTAACTTTTCTCTCAAAGTGCGGTGGATACCTTCGGAGAAGAACGTTTCAGATGGTCCATCGCGCGGCCAAATCCTCCCGGGTGCTTTCAAGCCATGGGGTGAGCAAGAAGAACTCGAAGCCTCAGCCAGACAGAATGCTGAGGACTGTGAAGAGTCAGATTGCACCGCCCATGCCAAAGAAACAGGAGAGAACAGAGAATGTGAAGAAGAAGACTGCAGTGCTTCCTTCCAGTCATTGGCAGAAGAAGGCACCACCAGCCATGAGACAGGTGGGTCGGTTGCCATGCAGAGAAGAACCGAACATTGGGAGGAGAGCGAGAAGCAATCAACTGACAGTCTTGGAGCAACGGAGTGTGTCGAAGGAGATCCAGCATCAATATCTCGGGTACTACAACAAGTTCAGGAGCTTCTGCCTTCAAGAAGGTTTGGCGTGGCCTCCTGGCGACGAGTGCGACCTGGTGATGGCCGACTACCTAGACATCCTCTTTCTCGAGGACCGTTCGGCAAACGAGGGAGAGAAGTTGTTGGCGGCTCTAGAATTTCACCATGTAGAGTTGAAGGGCAAGATGTTTCGTTCCAAAAGAGCGCTGAAGGGCTGGCGAAAGGAAAAACCACCGAAGAGTCGGTTGCCACTGCCAGCTTGCATCGCCTATGGGATTGCCATGGACCTGATAGCTCGAGGCAAGAGAGTCATGGGTTTGAAAGTGCTCATGGACTTCGATGCATACCTACGTCCTGGAGAAAGTTTAGGGCTCAAGGTGAAAGACATCCTCAAACCAGTCAGGGGAGCCGGCCCACAGTTCAGGTTTTACTCCATCATCATTCGCGACCAAGAGGACCTGGTCGCCGACAAGACCGGCATCTTCGACAACACAGTGTTGTTCAACACACCGGGTCGGGAGTTTGTTGGCGAGATGATGTGGAGTCACAGTCGAACCAGAAATCATGTGACGGACAACCTGTTCAGCTTCACAGCAGAGGACTTCAGGAGGGAGTTCCAGCTGAGCGGCAGTCGTCTGGGAGTGCAGAAGCTTCACCCATACCAACTCAGGCATGGGGGGGCGTCGGACGATATGAATGCCAAGATCCGGGATCATGCAGCGATCAAGCAGAGAGGCAGATGGCACACGGACCAGAGCGTCCGACGATATGCAAAGATAGGCAAGCTTCAACAGATGCTCAACCAACTGTCACAAGAAGCGCTGGAGTACTGTCAATGGTCGAAAAGCAACATGGAAAAGGTGGCACGAGGCAGTCTACCTGCCAAAATGCTGTGACAAGTTTGGGTTGGGATGATGTGTTGAGGAAGAAGCCTCTTCCTCCTCGTTTCGCTCTTGAGATTTTTGCAGGTACTGCACGTATCACCAAAGCATTGCACACTGTAGGTTTCTATGCCTTCCCCATTGATATTTGCATTGCAGAGCATCACAATCTTTTGGATACTTATGTTGAACATGATATTCTTCACCTATTACAATCTGGTCGGGTTTCATTTCTGTGGTTGGGTATGCCATGCACATCTTTCTCACGAGCTCGCAAGTGGGACGGCCTTGGACCTGGTCCGTTACGGGATCTGTTCCATCTCAATGGCTTCAGTTGGCTCAATGATGCTGACAAGAAAAAAGTGCGAACTGGCAATGACCTTCTCCGGGTCTCCCTTCGGTTTTTACAAGTCTGTGAACAGCTTTCTATTCCATATGCATTGGAGAATCCTAGCAGCAGCTATGCCTGGGAGATGCCACAGATGAAACGATTCATTTCCCATTTTTCACCAAAGTTTGCTTGGCTGGATTTTTGTCAATACGGAGAAGATTGGAAGAAACCGACAACTATCATGGGAAACTTTTGGTCCATTAGTCAACTTTCAAAGCAATGTAGCACACTACATGGTTTATGCTCACGCACTCAGCGGCCCCACTTTGCTCTGACAGGCACCGATGAGAACAACATCTTCTGGACGTTGAGGGCGCAACCGTACCCTCACGAGCTCTGCCAGAAGGTCGCTGCAGTGTTGGCCAAAGACATGGCCAAATAGGCCAAGGGATATGGGAGGGGATGACCAGACAGCTTGCTGCAAACACGCAACCTTTTGTGGTATCCCCTTTTTCTTCTTCAAAGAGTTTCTGAACTACTCCAAGTACATGGCGAAAACTTCGCTTTCCATGTCCTACAAGCCGTTGGCTAATGAAGCAAATATGCTGGAACAACCAGCATTCTCTGGCAAAAAGTGAGCTGTCAGTGTGCGAATCAGGGGAGTCATAGGCACTGCTTGCAGGATGTTGGCGGACAGGTGATTGAGCACACTTCCTGTGCCGTCTTATCTCAAGATCATAATGCTGTTCCTCCTCCTTCCCCTCCTCCACTTTTTCCAGGGGAGGGGATGACCAGACAGCTTGCTGCAAACACGCAACCTTTTGTGGTATCCCCTTTTTCTTCTTCAAAGAGTTTCTGAACTACTCCAAGTACATGGCGAAAACTTCGCTTTCCATGTCCTACAAGCCGTTGGCTAATGAAGCAAATATGCTGGAACAACCAGCATTCTCTGGCAAAAAGTGAGCTGTCAGTGTGCGAATCAGGGGAGTCATAAATATATATGTACATGTATGATTACTGACGTATTGCAACTATATACATATCTTCAACACACATAGATCTAATATCAGAATCGCTACCAGCCTCAGCTCAGGAAGCAGCAGGTCTTGGGTCGGCTTCTCACAGAAGTCAAGCAGGTGGAGTTCGGATGGCTTCTGCGGATGGGTTTCCGTTAAAATCCCATGAGCAAATTGTGGAATTAGCATCTAAATGGTTTCAGAGACATTGCTTAAGAGGTTGATTTACCATTACTCAATGGATCTACCAACAAAACCATGGTTAGTTAAGTATAGGTCTTGCAGTCGATGCATTTCCCTAGGAACAAGATTTACAAATGGTGGGATTTACATATCTATGTTATTTTTGTTGACGGGTAATCTATATAATTAATGGGCAAACTACAAGGCACTATGAGATTGTGAAACCAGACATAGGACATTGTGTTCTCCAATTTTGCAGACAAGGCAACTTTTGAACATGTGGCTATGGATCAATACCTATACATACCATTTTTAGGGGGATGAACATCCATTTACCAGCTATTTTGATGTTCACCAGGGGTACAAGGTTTTGACACACTGCCATGTGGGAATCAATTTTGGGGGTCTGGAAGGTAATATGTTCCGAAGAAAATGGCGACAGGGTTCCAGTTGAGGCTGCCTTGGAAGCCGAATCCGTTGCGGTGACATCCTGGATGGATCTATGGATTAAATTATGTAATCCCTTTCTCTGGATTCATAGTTTAATTATAACTATTTGACATGTTTTTGGACTATATTGGATTATAAAACCAGAATATAATCATTAGAAATCCTGGAGTCTTGCTTTTCCAATCTGTTTGTCATCGATGTTTTCCGAATGTTTTCCTGCAGTCATCCCATGGTAACCATGACCTCCATATGCTCCATGTTTCAGGTATTATGTGGTGATATTCTTCACCGTGATCCGAAGTATTCCTGTGGGATAACCTATCCATATTTGTTATAGCCAGTATTGAATATGAGTGATATCATTTACCAGGTATTCGGTGTTATTATGGTCACTCATATTCAATTTTTATCACTATAATATCATTATATATATATATATATCATTATATCATGATTTCTCCAGAATGGAATGTCAACATATATATATATATACTCATTTATCACTATATATATTTTTTGGAATGTCAACATCCCCCCCCACCTCCAAACAACCTATCGCGCCATGGCGCAGGTGTTGGCCAGTCGGGAGCCGCTGCCGCGCACCCTGCTGCTTCCTCCGCCAGCACTGGATGCGATGCTCGGCTTGGAGAGTGGGGATTGAGCTTCGTGTCATCAATGGATCATAATGTCATACTTATGGATTAATTATGGATTAATGATGGATTAATGATGGATTAATTATGGATTAATGATGGATTAATGATGGATTAATTATGGATTAATTATGGATTAATTATGGATTAATTATGGATTAATTATGGGTTAATTATGGATTAATTATGGATTAATTATGGATTAATTATGGATTAATTGTGGATTAATGATGGATTAATGATGGATTAATTATGGATTAATTATGGATTAATTATGGATTAATTATGGATTAATTATGGATTAATTATGGATTAATATGGATTAATTATGGATTAATATGGATTAATTATGGATTAATTATGGATTAATTATGGATTAATGATGGATTAATGATGGATTAATTATGGATTAATTATGGATTAATTATGGATTAATTATGGATTAATTATGGATTAATTATGGATTAATTATGGATTAATTATGGATTAATGATGGATTAATGATGGATTAATGATGGATTAATGATGGATTAATGATGGATTAATGATGGATTAATGATGGATTAATGATGGATTAATTATGGATTAATTATGGATTATGGATTAATGATGGATTAATTATGGATTAATTATGGATTAATTATGGATTAATTATGGATTAATTATGGATTAATTATGGATTAATGATGGATTAATTATGGATTAATGATGGATTAATTATGGATTAATGATGGATTAATTATGGATTAATGGATGGATTAATGGATGGATTAATTATGGATTAATTATGGATTAATTATGGATTAATTATGGATTAATTATGGATTAATTATGGATTAATTATGGATTAATTTATGGATTAATTATGGATTAATTATGGATTAATTATGGATTAATTATGGATTAATTATGGATTAATTATGGATTAATTATGGATTAATTATGGATTAATTAATATGGATTAATTATGGATTAATTATGGATTAATTATGGATTAATTATGGATTAATTATGGATTAATTATGGATTAATTATGGATTAATTATGGATTAATATGGATTAATTATGGATTAATTATGGATTAATTATGGATTAATATGGATTAATATGGATTAATTATGGATTAATTATGGATTAATTATGGATTAATTATGGATTAATTATGGATTAATTATGGATTAATTATGGATTAATTATGGATTAATATGGATTAATTATGGATTAATTATGGATTAATTATGGATTAATATGGATTAATGTGTACTAATATGGATTAATGTGTACTAATATGTATGAATATGTATTATTATGTGTGATCAATGATATCAATGATATCAATGACATCAATTGATATATTGTATATGTATTAATCAATCTATGGTATTGCCAGCGAAATGATTCATACTGAACCATTGGTAATTTAGCAATATATAATTTATGAGTGATCATTCCATATATAACTAGTATGAAAGAATTTATGGTATTACCAGGGATTCACGTGGTTTACCCACCGATAGGAATATCATACGGAATATCAATGGATGAATTACTATATATTTAGTTTAAGGTTATTGATGGCATATTTTGTGATATCAATACTATATCAATGAGATATGGGATGATGTACCCTCTGGTGTCATCAAACACGGTGTCATTGAACATCTCCGAACTAAATGGAGGTGTTGATGGTAAAACCAACTATAATGGGAGATGTTTCATAGCTATGTTAAATTACTAGAGGGTAGCTGAAATGTTGGAATTTAACCAGCAAATATTGGAAGATCATGGGTTTAGAATGGGACTTGCAATAGGATATATATTTACGGATATGTTCAACCATCATGACAAAATATGGGAGTACAGTTGATACATGATGGTTGCTTGATGTTATTTTAGGGAATTTAGAATTACCTTTGCATTTAAAAATGGAGTCAATGGAGCCATGGCAGGGGGTGACTCTCTGCATCTCTCTGGTAGAGGGAAATTGAAAATCATGGTCTAACGTGGCGATGGGAACCTATCATGTTTTTTTTGACAAACTACTCTATCCACCAAAAAATATGTGTTAGTTGATTATTTTTATTACCATGCTTGATGGCCAGAGGCTAGCTTTGATGGGTTGGGGTGGAATTAGGAATCCAGCTGATACTCTTTTGAATATGGAGTACGACACAAGCTTACTTTGCGCGATTGATTCCAATCCATCACAGGAAGCCATTAAGACTCATTGAATATATACGTACATGATATATATATATAATATAATATTCCACATAGTATAAATGTGTAAATATATAAATGTGTAAATGTATATACATACACTAAGGTACTATTTGGCCATATTTGGCCCATTTTGGCCCCATCAAACACCTTAACCCCAGCCACATGTCAGCCCGGCACATGTCAGGACAGCGTCATGGAACGGCACCACAGAGGAAGCACATAAACTGCTGACTTCGGTGTCCGCAGTGCTGGATGCGCAAGGCCGCTGGATCATCCCTGCTGGATGTTTGCGGTTGGTCCATCCCAGTTCCTTCCTTCACCCAGCGGCGATGGGGATCATCGACAACTGGGGACTTAAGATCACCAGGGTTACTGTCAAACTCCTGGGTTGGATCACCATGTTTTTTTCCCCCCGTTTGGAGGCTGGTGCGATGTTTCCCAAAGAATCCTGGCAGGGTCGTCCCGCTGGATCCTGGCAGGCTTCGCCATTTGCGATCATTTCGTATCTGCTGATGCGGCGCGGGGAGTGGAGCGTAGTGGAGCCATGGGCAGAACCTGTGGAGCCATGTTGTTGGTGTTTGATTGGAGCTCAATGCTCAGACATGTTTTTTTTCTCTATGATTGACGGTTTGGTTTCTGATACCCCATGAATCGGCACGTCATTTTGATGCTTAAACTTGATATTTGTTTGCAGCCACTTGCTCGACCTTGAACTGCATAGTCACATCCGTGTGATTCCTTTATGTATGTGTAGCTGGATTTGATGATCAGAATCTGTCCATGAAGGTGTTGTCAATGAGGGTAGCTGTAGATATTCACTGGACAGTTCTGGTTCTTACTGTAATTTCTTTAAGTCGATGTGAACAACCCTGAAACAACTAGTTTCTGCCGGGAGGACGCGCAAGCCAGCATGGGCATGAATGCACGCTGCCCATTTGTTGCAGTCATATGAACTGCTTGTAGGATCTGCAAAACACAAGAAACATCTGATGGTTTTCTTACTTGGCCCATCTTGGCCCTACAAAATGTACAATGTACAGCAAAATCCGACATCGTCAGTCATTTCCATGAGTTTTCCAGGGTGTTTCCGTCATTTCCAAGAGATGTGCCTACTATTCCTCACCCTTTTTCCATGGTTTCCCCATGGTTTTCCCACCTTTTTCGCCACCAACAGAGAGCCCCACCTTGGACTCGCCAGGTGCAGCGCTTGGCGGATGAGTTGCAGAAGTACGACACGGACTTCGAGACAGCGAAGATCTGGGTGGGCAAACAGGTGCGGATGGCAATTTTCGGTAAGGGATGGGTGATACGCTTCCCTATTTGTAGCTTGGTTGGGTAGAGGCTTTATGAGATGTGAAGGTGTTCATACCTTTGGGTGGATATTTGGGTCGATGGTGACCTCACTGGAAAGATGAGTATAATGTGTAACATTTAGATCGATGATATCGATGGGAATATGGGAGTTCGTCCAAATTGGTGAAAGATTGGGATTCAATATGATTTAAGCAACCAAAATGGGGAATTGACCATATGGATAATGGATTTGGGTTTATCTGAACATGGTGGATACCTCAAAGTGTTTTTTTGTTGTTCTAATGGAAAAAGATATGAACCATGGGAATTGGGAATAGCATATTTTCAAACATATAATCATGGGGAATTTTATTGGAATATATTGGGATCTTCAATTTTCAAGTGTTTTTTGTGAATAATGAAATTAAATTGCGGACAATAAGGGTAGGAGAATTGATGTTTTTCTTGGATATTTGTGTGTTATATATTTTGGGACATCATGTGGGATGATAAGGATTTTCAAACTTCAAGATTTTGTTGGGCTCTTTTTTGTGAGTTTTTTTTTGGACATTTTTGGGATAGGATTTTTGGAAATGGGAGAACTATAGGGGCCACATACGCATACTGTCCCTATGATTCATCGTCCCAGAATTGGATGATTGGATCTGGAGGTCATGGCTTCGATGGTAAAAAAGAAAAAAACATGGTTTCCTGTTGTTTTCCCAGCAAAAGCTATCCATTGATCATCATATGTGTTGGTTAGTTTTGTTTCAAAATCTTCCATCAAACGATGGTTAAAAACCCCATAAACTGCCTTATTGATATCCATAGTTGCTGTTTAAATCACAGAAAAAACTTCCATTCGTAACTTTCCCATGAAAACCTGCATTTCCAGTGGATTGTCCCATTGAAACCACCATTTATGGATGAGTTTCCCATATTTTTCCCCATATTTTCCCTTAATAAACACTATCTGGTTGGTGGTTTGGGACATTTGGATTATTTTTCCATATATTGGTAATAGTAACCCCAACTGACTTTCATATTTTTCAGAGGGGTAGGTCAACCACCAACCAGTGATAGTCAATCACCCCCAAAAATGGATTGATTAGGATCCTATGATTGACCACTTGTGTTGGCCTTAAACATATTTTCCCATAACCACTATAATGTCTTGATAGTCAAAAGCCATTTCCAGGCCTCTGGTGCTCAGCTTTCAGTTCCGACGGTTCGTTCGGATCGCATCTTGTGGGTGTCTGGGCGACCGGGCACCGAGGATCGGTGGGTTTTGGAGGTGTTATCATCATAAGCCATAAATATCATCATTATTTATCATTTTAATATATCATAATCCCATATAAGTGAGATCAAGAGGGGATATGGAATATCTAACTGAGGCTATGACCCATTTACTAAGTGAGGCCCACCCCCAAGTAGTTGTATGAATGTGCCAGTCTTGCTGTCCTACATGGTTTATTTATTATCAATTATGGTTAAATGCCTTCCCCCCTCAGAAACCATGGTTGAGTAGGAAATGAAACCACATAGTGGAGACCATAGAATGGGGGTGTTTAAGGTTAGGGGGAAGGATTCTATTGCTTCATCATGTTTTATCAAGCGTTTCATCATTTCACAGTGCATTTCCGGTGAGCTTGGATGGGTGGTTGCAATGCATGAATGACCTACATATTTATAGGTTGTTGGGGTATGGCTGACGGGCAAAATAAAGACTGCATACTTGCTAGCTAGCCAAACCTACGAACCATCACCAGCCATTATAATATATATATATATACATATACATATATATATACATCATGGTAGGCTGAAGATGGAACACAAATGCAATAGCTCGACTTAAATCATGTTTTTAGGAATCAGAATTGCGTAGATTCATAGTTTGATAATTCTCAAAGATCTATGGATTAACCATGGATTACCTTTCCTTAAACGCCTTGGAGTCTGCCGTCCTGAAAGACGAGGTCTGCGGCGAACACCGCACGCCCGCACGCGAGATGCTCTGGGATTCTGCAGGCGCAACCCTGAGGGGTCAAAGAAGGCCGCAAGTTGACGGTCAACAAACATGGATTTAGATGGGATTTTTACTGGGATAAATTTCTAATGGTTTTTAGCCTCTATAACCCCCCCTGTCTGTCAAAATTGACGTATGGTAGGAACTATCCCCAGAACTATGGAAAGAACTATGGAAAGAACTATGGAAAGAACTATGGAAAGAACTGTGGAAAGAACTATGGAAATATGATTCATGATGTAACTTGATAGAATTTTGGAACTATGGAAGGAACTTTTTTTAAATGGAAATAAGCATGTAGAAAATAGAAACATGTTAGCATATACATGCAGCATGAACTTATATTATAAATAACTTTATATATAATATATAATATAAATATGCAAAGAAAAGATATATTTTTTTTAAATACAATAAATATACATGCTAGGCTACTACTAGTAATCAAACATGGCAATGGAAAATACATTATTGACAGGTGAATCTTCATTGCCAGGGCACACCGGCAAATGCATCATCTTTATGCTGGGCTGGAGCCACAAAACCTGCACCCTTGAATCGCGGGCGAATGTTGTCATTGACATCATATCAGCATCATCATCATCATCATCATCACCATCAGAACAAGGTATAGCAAAACATCATGAATACATTTGTTAACCTTAATATGATATGTTTCGATACGATTCCATGAGCAATATTGTATATCATGATAGGGAACCCCAAAAAGATTGAACATTACTGTATAATAACAATAGCTGTAATCCATTGTGTAGGTTCTTAATTAGCTCACTAAGGCCTCATGTTTTCCATCTTTTTGGGTGTTACTATATGTACAGTACCCGTATTATTGTAAAATTTAGATTATATTTGTGTTTGTTATGTAATATAAAAAAAATATATTGTAAAGAAATTATATTATATAATTAATCAGATTAGTTATATATGATATGACATTACATATATATATATATATATATATAGTTGTTTAATATGTGATGATAATGATATGATTTGATATGATATAATTGATTCATGATGTTATACCAAGTTACATCATGAATCATAAATAACATTAGCTTACAATAAGTTCAATGAAGGTGTAATTTCCATAGTTTGTTTTTCCGTAGTTCTTTCCATAGTTCCTTCCATAGTTCCTTCCCATAGTTCCTGGTCATACGTCATGATGTGATAAGATCCACAGCTATAGAGGCTAAGAACCATATAAAGGGATATTAGTTAATTGTTTGGGATAATCGGACTATAAGAGGGATTGAATGGGATTTATATGGGATATGAATGGGATGTATATGGGAATTGTATGGGATATCATATAGGATATGAATGGGATAATCGGAGGGATTGAATGGGATTGAATGGGATTGAATGGGATTGAATGGGATTGAATGGGATTGAATGGGATTGAATGGGATACCCTGGTTTAATCATCAACAAATAGGGATTTCATGGGATATGACAATTATATATAATAGTAGTGTAATGAGTATTAATAATAGGATCATTATGGAGACTACGGAGATATGGGGATACCCGAGCTGGTCATCACAGGTGGCTTGCCATGTTTCATTACCAAGGAGTCAACAACCCATTGCCATGTTGGTTGAATCCTCAAATTTGCTGCTTCATTTTTTTGGTGACTGAAATTCACATTACTCAAATCCCCATATTCTGTTTGTTTGTTCTTACATCACTACCCTCTGGTAAACTAACAGTTTGCGAACTGGAAAATCACCATCTTTAATAGGTAAATCAACGAACTACATGGGCCATTTTCAATAGCTATTTTGACATAACCAGTGTTGCGATTTTCAAACCAACCTTGAATCCAAAGTCTTCCGCTGGATTCTTTGGGAATTTCACTTGGAAAGGAACCAAAAAAATGTGTATCATGTTATGCCAAGTTTATCCCATTCTTGTTACCCCCTGGTAAACTAACATAGCTATAGAAAATCACCATTTAATGGGTAAATCCACTATTCCTATGGCCATTTTCAATAGCTATTTTGACAACCAGAGGGTAGTATCCTCATTCTATCCCCATGTTCGTTGGTGTAATCCCATGTTGCTCGGTTAAATCACCATTAAGTCCCCATTTTTCTTGGGTAATTCCTATAAACCCACGTTTTTCTTGCTTAAACAATCACCATTGAGTTACCATTTTCTTTGTTAATCACCATTAAGTCATATTTTTTCTTGGTTAAATCCTAGTAAAGCACCACCATCGTTCTTGGTTAAATCATCATTAAATCACAAGTTTGGCCATTTTGCTTTGTGAAATTAGCATTGAAGCACATTGTTTCTCGGTTAAACCCTATGAAAACACAATTTGTCTGGGTTAAATCCTATGAAAACACAATTTTTCTGGATTAAATCCACATATTCTCCCAGTTTTTGGACGTTTCAATTCCCAAGTCGTCCGATAGGCGACCAGCCCTCGGAGGGCCTGGCACCGTGCCGCCCGGAGGTGGTCATGGAGCCTTGGAGATCCAATGTTGAGCCTCTGGTTGACCTTAAATTAGTGGTAAACAATAACTATTATGGGTAAGAACAAAATGAATAGTGGTTAATTAGTGGTACCAATTGACCAATTAATAGTGGTTAATTAGCTATTGTTAAGACTAAAAAAAAGTAACTACATGTAACTACTAAACAATGATTGATAATCATTCACCATACATCATTTTACCATTCATTAGTGGACCAATGGCTAATTTTGCTTTAACAATAGAAGGTTTCCATAAAATGAGGGTACCCAAAAATGGATAGTTTATAATGGGAACTTCCTATTAAAATGGCTGATTTGGTGGTACCCCCATTTCAGGAAATTACCCTCTGGAGATGGTCAATGGCAAACAAAATAGTAGCCCATGTTTAACAATTGTTCGTGTAAACATGGGGTACTCATGTTGTATCACACCCTCTAGTATCTGTTTATCCCATTATCTCTAGAGTGTTTAGACCCTGAAAATCACCAATTGGACTAGTGGAAACTAGTCTTCCAACCCCCCGTCTGCCAGGGTCTATGTTAATTTACTGGAGGGTAAGATGTATATCATAAGGAAAATATGGGGAATATGATCTGTATATATGTTTATTAATGTTTATTGTCACCATGTTCCCACTTGTTTTGATATTTAGTATGCGGCCTGACTGATAGGCTAATATAGGGAGTTTACTAAGATTTTATTGTGGGTTCTGACGAGCCATAGTAGGGAAACCCGACCAACTAGTATATACTGATGTTGAATTTTCAACACCAATCAATGATGGTTACAGAATTGATGGTTAATCAATTGATGATAAAAAGTGGATGGTTCTTAATATGAATTATAAATTAATCAATTAGTTAATAAATTAATTGTCTAGTTACTTAATTAATGAGAAACTATTCTGGTTATTTACCATTTAGTGGTTTTTCATAGCTATTGAACTTGGCCCATTTATAGATGATTTATGATGATGCATCATCAAGTTGTATCCATTGTTTATACAACCATCATTTCTTAACCAACAATTCAGTGTTTGTTGGTATATTATGGATGTATCTAGAACATATTTGCTCATCTCCCAAACTTGAATGTATCATATATAATGGATTATAATGGATTATAATGGTATATATATATACATGGTGATCTAATCATGAAATGATGACATTTGTTTCCATTCTAATGGGGATCATGGGGGATCAACTCGTCCATCGGACTTATCAAGTGTTGATGGGATATAATGGGGTACAATGGGTATATAACAAGGGAAATCTGGAAAAGATAACGACAATAGCGATGAGCCGCTGACAATCTCCCGCGCTTGTTATCCTTACGGATAGAAGTAACCCCCCAAACAGATACAACAGTTACTTACCATACGATTTACCCCAATTGCAACTACTCTTGAACTTGATTTTACTATCTAAAATGGGGGTTGCCTTACTAGGGGAGCAGCATTCAGCCATTTTGGAAATGGCTCCAAGGAGAAGTCAACTGCTGGATTTCCAGAGCTCCGAAAGATCATGAACCGTGTGGCCCTTTGGGAGCAAGGGACATTCCTTTCGTGTTGACCAAGATCACTATCGACTTAAATTTGGGTAATAGCTAAGGTGCTAGGATGCCTAGTCTTACTGATGCTTAGCAGGGAATGGATGGGACTGGGGGAATGGGATGATTACTAGTGATTATGGATCATTCCCTCATTCCCTACCAAGCACCAGTAAGTTGAGGGTGGGTCTGCATTTTTGGATACTCATTGTGTCTCTTCCTTGTTGATCCTTCTTGTTGATTGTGACTCCCTTGCTATTTCTCCCCATTCTGAACCATTCAGCATCGATGACATGAATTGTTCATCCCAACAAAACATCATGGTTGTCTGTGTGTTGTTTTTTTTTTGTGATTTTCCAAAGATATGTGTTTTTCTAAAATAGGGGTACCCCCAAATCATCCAGAATTAGACCATTTTAGTATTGAAACCTATGGTGACTTGAGGTACCACCATTTTAGGAACCCACCATACCGTTGATTGTTTGCGAAATCCTGCATCAGTTGATAGATGGTTTATACATGTTTATACCATTATTTATAGGCTTTCAACCATCCTTTGGTGCCAAGGTGGTGCAGGATTTCGCAACCACCATCCACTGGTGGATCTCCAACATCCTCGTCCCAGGATGACTTCATCCTGCTGGGCCTTTCGAAGCGCGTGCCGCGCCTGGCGAATTTGGTGGAGCGCTCGGACGCGATGGCCCTTTGGCCGCGCGGAAGCGGTGACGGGGGCTGATGGATGGATGTTGCAAGTAGGTTTTTAGGTGGACAATGTGTATATATATAATAATGACAATTGTAATAATACGCGCAAACACCCTGATTCGCTCACACCCCTTTTATACCCTACCATTGAGTTGACTTTACATGCAATTAGGAAGATAATGTCCCACCCCCGTTAAACTTCTACATTCAATGGGGAAGATCAACAAGGGTATTTAGGGAATATTAAACTCCCACCCCCGTTAAACTTTACATTCAATTGGGAAGATCAACAAGGGTATTTGGGGAATATTAAACTCCCACCCCCGTTAAACTTTACATTCAATTGGGAAGATCAACACGGGTATTTAGGGAATATTAAACTCCCACCCCCGTTAAACTTTACATTCAATGGGGAAGATCAACAAAGATTGATCAACAAAGGTTTTAGGAGAATATTAAACTCCCACCCCCGTTAAACTTTACATTCAATTGGGAAGATCAACAGGGTATTTAGGGAATATTAAACTCCCACCCCCGTTAAACTTTACATTCAATTGGGAAGATCAACAACGGTATTTGGGGAATATTAAACTCCCACCCCCGTTCAACTTTACATTCAATTCGGAAGATCAACAAAGGTTTTAGGGAATATTAAACTCCCACCCCCGTTAAACTTTACATTCAATGGGGAAGATCAACAAAGATTGTAGGGAGTATTAAACTCCCACCCCCGTGAAACTTTACATTCAATTGGGAAGATCAACAAGGGTATTTAGGGAATATTAAACTCCCACCCCCGTTAAACTTTACATTCAATTGGGAAGATCAACAAGGGTATTTAGGGAATATTAAACTCCCACCCCCGTTAAACTTTACATTCAATTGGGAAGATCAACAAGGGTATTTAGGGAATATTAAACTCCCACCCCCGTTAAACTTTACATTCAATTGGGAAGATCAACAAAGGTTTTAGGGAATATTAAACTCCCACCCCCGTTAAACTTTACATTCAATTGGGAAGATCAACAAGGGTATTTAGGGAATATTAAACTCCCACCCCCGTTAAACTTTACATTCAATTGGGAAGATTAACAAGGGTATTTAGGGAGTATTAAACTCCCACCCCCGTGAAACTTTACATTCAATTGGGAAGATCAACAAGGGTATTTAGGGAATATTAAACTCCCACCCCCGTTAAACTTTACATTCAATTGGGAAGATCAACAAAGGTTTTAGGGAATATTAAACTCCCACCCCCGTTAAACTTTACATTCAATGGGGAAGATCAACAAGGGTATTTATGGAATATTCCTACATATAACTGGCAAAACCCTCAATCTTTATACTTAATTGGGATGATTTTTTTGAACTTGCGTTGCCCAAACGCCGCTGAGACTGGCCCAACATGCAGTACATAGAGTTGCCACCCAAGGCGAGGGAAATCATCAGATCATGGCTCGACATCAGATCGCAGGATGTGTTGAGCACCACATGCTGGGTTGAGGATCCGGTATCAATGGCTTTGCTCCTTGACTTAACACTGGAACCTTGGGATGGAAGTTGCTACCTGGAAGATTTATACTTTAGCACTGGAACCATTGGATAGAAGTTGATACCTAGAAGATATTATACTATCTAAATACAACATGGCACCAACATGAACCCATTCATAACCTTCACCCCAAGAAACAACATCCAGTGCTGCATCAGGCTAGCACAAGACTTCGACAAGAATCCCGTGGTCACTGTGCAGCCCCAGCCAAGAAGGCGGGTCGACCGCGCTCGCTTCAAGATCCCGACCAAGTGAGATGGGCAAAAGTGACAACAAGGTGGAGAAGCATGTGCGTCTCGGCAAATGTGGCAAATTCGGCAAAAAGGTATCCGCGAATCGTGCTTTCAAGAAAAAACATGGCGTTTCTTATTCGGGAAGAACTACAGGAACACCTGACACTATGAAGTTAGCTGATCTGGACATACCTTCATACGAAGAGATAGCTGCTTTGCGTGATGAGACAGCAAGACGTTTGCTTATAGACAAAGGCTTGCTACACCACAACCGGCATGATTTGAGCTTCAAGTGCTGGAGCTGTCAGGCTCCAATGGACAAAGCTGGAAAAGGCTACAGATGTTCTGCCGGGAGAACCTGCAAAAGTCGACCCAGAATTGAAGACCCTCTTCTGGCATTCACGCCTTTCGCTGGTTACAAACGCAGGTGCGAACGTCCAAACTATGTGACATTCGTGCGCTCTGCCTATGCCTTTGGTTTGCGCATGGCTCCAGACCAAGCCGTGCATATGACCCGCACCAAGGACACATCTCTGGTGGCACAAACCAAACGCATCGAGCACTTGTACCAGAAGCATCGCATCGCTTTAGCCTTCAGTGAGTACTTGCACGCGGAGACGCTCAAGTTCCCAACGGAAGTGGTCAAGGCTGACTCGCCCAGATTTGGGCGCGGCTATGAATGTGGAAAACGAATACATTCTGGCAGGATGCTGGTCCTCAAAGGGCGTCAAAGCAAACAATGGAGTAGTCAGCCACTCCCTGTCAAAGTGAGCAAAGGCAAACGAGGGATGGGACCGGAAACCGTCGAAGAAGTTTCTGGACCTATCCAAAAGCAGACCCCTGCTTCAGCTCTTCTTGGGGTGGATGGTGCAAGAGCATGGAAGGGTGCTGCTGCTGGCCGAATCGTTCTAGGCGGCGTAAATCACCAGACCAAGGTGTTTACGCCAGCCTCCAAGGTCAGCAAGCAGAAATTGCCCGCCAAGACCAAGAAGTTTCTGGATAAGCAATCCAATGGTAAACGGAAAGGAGCCAGAATGTACCAGAGGCACTTCCGCGTCGCGGGGGGCGACAATTGTGCAGAAGGTATTTTCGGGCATCTTGCCAATATCATGCGAAAGACAAACAGCAGAGGTCGACACGCCAAGCCTCAGATGCGGACTCTACAGGCTCAAAGCAGCGCGGCACTGCTACGCCGTCCAGGGTTTCTCAATGTGTTGCTTGCGCATGCAAAATACAAGGAAGCTTTGCTCACTGGTCGCCTGGGAGTCAGTCCCAACCAGGCCTACAACTTCCACCAATGTTGGTGGCTTCATCCTAAAGAGGATAAGGAAGCCTCGGAGTGACAACTATAAGCCAGTCCAGGGGGGAAAATAAGAGTGTCCTGGGAAGTATCTTCCGGTAGTCCCGATGATGGATGCTGATGGATGAAGGATGATGATGATGATGATGGTGGTGATGATGATGATGATGATGATGATGTTGATGTTAATGTTAATGTTGTTGATGATGATGATGATGATGATAATGTTAATGTTGATGATGATGATGATGCTGTGTAAAAGCCGCGCACAGGTCAGGGACCTGTGCGTTGAGATAAACAACTTCAAGTTACCGGTCATGCAAAAAACTCCCATTTTTACCACGTTTTCAGCACGTCGGTAGATGGCCGCCGAAAAGCGCGGGCAAATCAAGGTGTTTGGCCGTAATAATACTATACAATGCTATATATATATACATATATAGTTATACAGTATATGTGTATACTTATATGTACTTATATGTACTTATATGTACTTGTATGTATGTGTATGCACTTATATGTGCTTATATGTACTTATATGTACTTATATTTACTTATATGCACTCATATAGACTTATATGTACTTGCATGCACTTATATGTACTCATGTATTTTTATGTACGGTGCAAGTAAGCAAGAGTTCGAAAACAATAGTAACTGGTGTTGCTACGTGGGGTGTATATGTATATATATATACACATCCCTGTAAAATCCTTTATACATATCTAGGCCTAGTGTAAGCAAGTTGTCTAGTTGCATTATATCATTCTTAAGATGCAGATGTATGTATATATACATATATATATATATATATGCAACACACACAGACACATGTCAAATATGTTCATATTTATATTTATATATAAATATATACACCATCCTGCTAGACAGTATCATCTCCCAAGCTATCAGACGATGAGAACAGCCCATCCCAAATCAGATCAGTTAGTCTTCCAAACCTCAATTTGGCATTTTGTGGGTGGGTCTCTGCTAGTTGCTGTTGGTTGTACCTTGCTGCTGTCCATACCAAGATCAGCATCTATGTCACCAAGCCGCAGAGCTGGGGCAAGGGAGGGAAGGCACATTTTGAAGGAAACTGTACAGGAACCCCTGGATACCAAATCGAATTCAATTGTAAACAGCACGGTTTCATGTGAGCAGTGTTCGAAATATTTGTTCATTCATGATTGCTCGGGGTTTACTATGCAATATGGATTGTCACAATCCATTGTGGGACATCCGCTCTCAACCAACTGCTCTGATCGGGCCGACGACGCGGCTTTCGGTCAAGGACAACGGTGCGCGCTTCCAAAAGCACGTGGACAACCCCAACCGTGACGGGCGAGTGTTAACATCCATTGCCGCTTGGACCTGAATGGTTTTGACCCCCTTATACATTGTGGATTTCAGGTTCCAAATTTCCAAAGAAGGATAGTTTGATGCCTGGTATTTAGATTTTGGTTTGATTATATATATATATATATAGAGATATAGATATAGATATAGATATGTGGTGCTATCGGGATTTGAGACCATTTCACTTGCCATATGCAATTCGGAGAATTCTTGGAGTTTGAGATTCGTTTTCACCTTGACCCGGCTGCCAATGGCGGGGGGTACCATGACTTAGTGACTTGACACCCATGGTGACTTGGTGATCCCCCATGACTTAGGAAACCCATCAGATGTTCTTTACATGTCACTTCTTTTCAAAGAGAATATATGTACTTTACAAGATTTACAGTAGAATAGTATTAATTACGAATCCAACTTCATTGCATTTAGGAACCCCAAATAGATGTTCTTTAGAATCCCCAAATAGATTTTCTTTAGAATCCCCGAATATATTTTCTTTAGAATCCCCGAATAGATTTTCTGGGCGATTTTACTGACAAACAACTTTTCTTTCGGGGCTTGCTATGCAGAATGTACCAGCTGCTATTTACCTCCCAGCTGGTCGCGGGGTAAATCCAATGAAGATGGCTATGGCCCTGAATTGGCTATTAGATATATAATGGATAGGTAATCATAGATATATAATCTGAATGGCTATATATATATATATATCTAGATAGACTATATATAGATATATAATGTTCAATCACTTCAATCACATTGACAAACCAGTTGATCTCAGTTGATCTAAGTGAGAGTAAGGCTCGGTTTGCTCATGGTCCCCTTTCTTGATTTCTGCATTCTCCCTGTCAAAAAAAAACAATCGACGTTTCAGGTCTATTTGAACTACGGCGAGGCCTGGGGTGAAGACGATGGCGGACAACTCAGGATGTTTCTGGAAGGCCGGGATGAGGTGCTTTGGATATGGTGCAGTTTGAAAGAGCTTGGCGAGGGTGGATGAGTTGTTCATTTTATGGACATTTCCACCATTTTTTATTTGATAACTAGAGGTTTAACATGTTCGCTGCAAACCCTAGGTTTGCCCGCGGCGAATCCCACATATCCTTTGACATGCTCAAATCCCTGCGTAGGGTTGAAGTTGTTTACTTTCCAAAACAACAAACCCTGAAACCCTGAAACCCTAAAACCCAAAACCCTAAATTAAAACCCTATATCCTGATAAAACTTAGAGTGAAAATCACTGCGTATAGCCGTTGTGTTTTAATTCATCCTCTGGGATCCTGTAGGAGGTTGTGGATAGCTTGTTATCGCTGTTAAATATCGTAATGGAGAAAATCCATCATGGTTTGAAAATATGAGTTTCCAAACTGGAAATGCTGTCATTTTTTTGCTTCCAGTCATAAACTGTAATAAATCCATTCCCCTGACAATACACCATTTGAATGGGTTAATACTCCATTTGAATGGATTCATTCGATGAAGAGATTCATAGAGCCCATACAAACTCATACTCAAACTGATCTATTAAGTATACAACCATATAAACTAATTTAAAGTAATGTAGCAGTATGAATATTCATTTGCAATGCCCACCAAAAAGAGACAGCCAAGCATCGCGCACGCGTCGCGCACCATGCGTCACGAGGTGAAGCTCCTATAGATTTGGCGCCCGACACGGGGCGTTTGGTGCTCTTTTGGGCCAATGAAATTCCGCACGAGGCTGCCGAGTCGCTGCCGCCAGAGGGATCTCCCATGATTTCCAGATTCGAAAATCCATGGAAAATGGCCATCGGCCATTACCAATGGGTAATATATGCTAATAGTAGTACATATATATATATATATATTATATATATATAGTTATATCCATGTGATATCCCATCTATTTTCAGACACCCCCTTTTTTCTCGCCATTTCTGTGTTTTTTTGTTTGTGGATTTTTGTTAGGATCCGATCACTGGTGATCTTTGGAGCCAACGAGCCTGGCTGTGCCAAAGATCGCTGGTGTGCTTTTAGAGTTAGTGGCTACAACATAAGTCAGCCTGGATGTTGTAAGTAAATGACAAATGGGCGGTTGGTGACTTCTGGACACTTATGGTATATGAATGTATATTATGCATTCTTATGCTAATAATAGTTGGTGACTGGCTACTGACCAATGACCATTTTAAATATATATATATATACACATTTAGTGTCCAAACCATGATAAACAATGTTTTGTTTTGTATAATTAGTGTATAATGAGTCCCCAAACTATGATATACTATACTGTGATAAACAATGATAAACAATGATAAACCGTGATAAACCCATCAATTTGGGTTTCCCGGAATCCCCATCTTTGCTGTGTCTGAAAACGAGAGGTCTTGCCATCTAAGAGGCGGCGCATGGCGCTGACCTACTGGACACTTGGACAGTGATTTGTCGGGAGATGTCCATGGGATTTTAGCGTCACACATGTGGATTTCATGGGATTTAACCAAGGAAAATGCGGATTTAATGGAACTTAAGATTACTTAAGACTTGGGATTTAATGGGATAACTTTGGATCTATATATTACTCCTATAGCAAAAAAGAAAAGTATTGCGTTCCTCCTGGTTTACTCTGTTTGTCTATGATTCCTACTTTGCTGCTACTCGGGTAGTGACCTTCCCCCGGGGATCCGTCAATGCTCAGGTGGTTTGATCGTTCGGAGCGCGAAGCGAAAGTTCGCGAGTTGGCTAAAGAGCCTGGGGCTTTTGTTGGCTCATCAGTTGCGGTTGAAGCAGTCCAGACATCTAGTGGAATGCTGATGAGTCCATAGACATTGATAAATACATAGTCCATACCTGGTGAAAGTATTTTGATAAGCAAACAATCAACTCATCAGTTGCGGCTGAAGCAGTCCATACATTGATAAATACATGGTCAAACACCGTTGCTTTGTTCATGTCCATGGTGCTCAATATGACTGACATCTAGTGGAATGTTGATTTGTCTTGAGAAAAAATGACTCAGGTACTTAAGGTTGTCAGGGTCAAAATGACTCAGGTACTTAAGGTTGTCAGGGTCAAAATGACTCAGGTACTTAAGGCTTAAGGTTGTCAGGGTCAAGAGAGGTCCCAGTCTTTTGATGTTTCTTCACAATATCCCGCAGAAAACTAACATAGATGTGGACAATCCATCAATTGTAGAACATTTTCCTGGGGAAACTATTGGTTTTCAATGGTTTTCCACATTTTTCTGTATGTTTTCCCTAGGGGACAGAGATGTCCAGCCCAGGAGATGGGGGACACGCAGCTGAAGACCAAGGAGGAGAGATTGGCGCAGGAGCGACTGGCCGGTGGGCTGGATGTGACCATGATAGTAGTATTGTATGCTTTTGTAGACTGTGTACTGTACCCTCTGGTAAACATACAAAAAACAATTGAAAATGGCCATAGAAATGGTGGATTTACCCATTTAAACATGGTGATGTTCCATAGTTACGTTAGCTTACCAGAGGGTACATACTATTACATACTATTACTATATTAAGATATATTAAGTACAATTAAGCACTATGATTATATACATATATTATGGATTATGATTGTATTTCATGATGCTATTGCGGTGTACCTATATTTCATGATATTATATACACATGATGGTTATAATAAATCGCAGCATATTCGTCAACATATGAATCTTTGCACCGGGTTCATTCTGTGCCTCGACGACTCTACTTCGATGGACCATGGGATTAGCTAAGTGGTTCGTAGCTGTTAGGCTGTTATTACTATTTGTTTATCATTATTGTTATTAATTAATTATTTATCTATTAGTATATCATAAATATACAATTATTGTTAATAGTAGTAATTGTTAGTATTATTTTTAGTATTATTATATTATTATATTGATATAGCATTATTATTATTGTTTTTTAATATTATTATTCACTTTTAGTAACTATTATCAATTACTACTAGTTATATAATTATTAATATTATTATTACTATTATTATTGTCATTACGATCATTATTAGTATTAGTATAATCCAATCACCAACTAGTTACCTAACTCAACGGCCCAGACACCATGCATCACCAGTCACCGATTAACATCGGTTGCAGCGTGAGGAGTTTATTGCTTACATGCTGAGAGCCTTGGCTGCACGATGCCTTCACCTTTCTTGGATCTCATCTGGCGTCATCAAACGTGGCTTGCTGGAAAATCCATCAGTTGGTTCGATGAGTTTCCCATCTATCTATAAACCTCCATTCATAGAGTGGATGTTCCCATTCAACCCCCATTTATGGATGATTTTCCCCATATTTTCCCATGACAAAGCCTCCATTTTTCATCCGGAGCTCAGATGTTTCACAGTTTGCCAACAGCTTCCTCCACGGCAGGTGAAGGGTCCCAGCCCGAAGACATCGTGAAACGCGCGAAGAAGCTGCCGCAGAAGAGCTTAACCACGGTAGCTGCAGTGGTACCTCGGACTCCGATGCCAAACTTGGAAAATGTGCAGGAAAGTCTTGTAACTACTGGTGAAACAAACCATGGTTTCATATATGGTGTACAATTTTTCCTTTAAACCAATCCATTGATTTGAGAATATGTGAAATGTACTCAGATAGTGGAAGCCGGTCATAGTTTGATGAGAATCTTGGGGTTATATTTGGACTGTTTTCTTGTTCAGGCGTGCATCTAAGGTCCAAAGGCTGATCTTCGCTGACTAAAAGGCTGTTCAGTTCCAGAAAGTTGCAGTGATGTATATAAGTTGTGCAAGAAGTAAGCTGCAGTTAGACTCCCCTGCCGCTTCCAACGTGAAATCACGTGATATCCCATATCCTGTTCTTGGTGACTTGGCAAATGGCCAATTGGCAGTGGATGGATTGAAGGTGCACGCTCAACTATTAGCCGATTAGCCATGAATTGCGGCTCAGCAAGTCTCCCGATGTAGCAAGTCTCCCGATATAGCTATCAAGAGATTCGTACATTGACCTCAAAATTGTCAAAAGAAGTTCAAACTCTTTTGCCGATTTGGATACTGCTTGGTCTATAGTCAATTTGGATCCAAAACAGCACATCGCCTCCAACTGGTAAAGGCCCCAGGAACATGGCTAGCACGGTTGAACCCCATTCATGTTTGGTTGAATCCTGATGTTTCTTGGTTTCGAAATCACCAAGTTTGTTGATTCATATATAGATATACTGTATATATATATATACAATAATATATATATATATACAGCATATATAAGTATATACTGTATATATATATTATACTATATATATATGATAATATATACTGTATATATGTATTTTTTTCTTTTATATACAGTGCATATATATATACTACTGTATATATATATTATACTTACAGTATATATACACTATATATAATAATATATATATTATATATAATTATATATAAACTGTATATACATATATGATATATATATATATACATATATGATATATATATATACATATGATATATATATATTTTTTATAATATATAATATATATTATAATATATAATATATATTATATATTCTTCTTATATATATATACTGTGATTAATTATCCATTTTAGTTCATTCACTCATGGGCAAGGCCCCAATTTTTTTGGTACCTATTTCTTAGGTCTCCCCATGTTCCCAGAGAGCCCATCCCAGGTGGGAGCGAGCAACAATGCAGCCTCTTGACGGCATGAGGTTTACGACATGGGTGTGTAAATATACTGGTGTATATACATATACATATATATATATATATTGCACCTATTAAAATCATGTCTACCCTCTATTTATGATATCTTTGGCACTAAATTCGGGAACATGATGAACATGATTATTGCAAGAAGCGGATGGATGACACACCCATGGAACCACGCTGACAACATAAAATACTCGTACCTGCGCCCCTTAAAGCCTAGGCCATCGCAAGTCGCCAGCACGAGGGCACACATCGCAAGTCGCAAGTTGCCATGTCTCATCCATATTCCATGCATTCAATGTTTCTGTATGGTCCGGTAATGTATATGTCTATTTTCCAGATTGGAACTAATTTAGCCATACACTGAGCCATATAATTGGTCACCGTTTCACTTACCGTACATGTTCCATCTACATTACATTCCATAGATTTTCCACACATATTGATATCAGCCATGATTTCCCCATAGATTTATCCATTCACCATAGATTTTTCATGCCTTCACGTTTTCCCCATTCACAACAGCGCGTTGGTCGCCTAGGAAGCCCTGGAGGGCATAGAACGCTTATCGCCCAGTGACCTGGAAAGACTCAGAGGATCCATGGGCAAAATGGGCCTTTGAAGGTCAGAAAGGTAGTCAATCATAGATATCTTCAGAAAGATATTCCTTCAAATTATTGTTGATGATGTTTGAATACTTAAGGTGTAATGGAGTTTAGATGCTCAAGTTTCGCAGGCATGGGTTCGTGCGCATTGTTGTCAAATTTAAAAGCAAATATCTCTGAGACACGGTGCGAAGCAGCAAGAAAGAAACTTGTCCAATTCTCAGCGACCAAACGGGTGGAAAGTTGGATTAGAACAGCTCTATGTTAATGTCAACCCTGGATTAATAAACCTATATTATTATATTTAAGCTGATCCAGCTGTGTTTCTTTCCAACAAAACGGGGGTCGAGACCCCGAGAGCTCCAAAGAGAGTGATGCCCTACAGCGAGGGGTTTGTTGGATCCGTGGACAAAATGTCAGCACCTGTGTGGACAGTCCAAGGGTGTTTTCGAAAAACTTTGGTGATTGATCTGTATATGTACATTATACGTGTAAGTACATGTATACGTAAAATATATGTGTATCTGTGTATATATATATACAATAATATAGTATAATATAATATAATAAAATATAATATAGTATAATATAATATATTATAATATATTATAACATAATACAATATTATATTATATTATATTATATTACAGTACATTATATTATATTTATCTTTATTTTGATTTTAATATTTATATTATATTATATCATTGTATATTATATTATATGTTACTATGTTATATTATATCATGGTGTATTATATTACACTATATTATATTATATTGTATTATATTTTATTATATTATATAATGTTATATTTTATTTCGGTGCCAATTTACAACATATATATACACACATCGTACACATATGTTAAATATATATATATGTGTGCACCAGTACATACTGCTGCCATGACATACATGCAGACAGGCATGCAATGATGCCCGAAGGATCCAAGTTTATTTCGGAGGTTTCGACCATTGAAAAAGATGAATCATCACTCAAAGCAGGGTATGTAATATACTTATGACATAATATAAGATTTCTAGAATAGAAATGTATATACACTATGCAATATATAAATATATATACACATACATGCAAATAGAGTAAATCAGTATTTCATAAGGCAATGCCCTTCGAGAGGGCGGACGTTTCTGCAGGTGGAGGACCTGTTTCTCCTTTTGCAGCAGGTTCTCCAGGCGGCAGATGAAGTCATGTTGGGAAGGTTTTTTTTTCCCTCGGCTGTCATCAAACATGGCTGGAGTTGCCGACCAAACATGGTGATGAAGTTGTTTTTTTTGTGTGGGAAATCCTCCATAAATGGAGGTGTTGATGGGAGAGTCATTGAACCAAATGGGTAAAATGCCACTGCCATGTTTTGATGACTAGAGGGTATAAAGATGTTTTGATAATTATAACCTAAAGTATAGGGTTTGCATAGGGTTTGCCACTAGCCTTGGTTTGGCTGGGAGGTACGATCTTTGGAATCATTAAACACCTTTCGATGCTTAAAATGATGAAGCCAATGATAAAGTTTGCAACCTTGACATAGTAAATTGAGTTTGCCACAACATTGATCCCTGGTTAGTTAACTTGGGGAGCAGCATGTTCTTTTAAGAACATGACATATTTGTTTGAGTGTTTCTAAGGCACTGAATTTGATCCAGGGTTTATTGAAATCGATGAAGTTTGCTTGTTCTCTCATACCTTCGAGCATAATCAACATCATCAACGTCAATGAACAAAACAACTATGCCGAAAACATCCAAAAACTATGCTGAATCATTAGCACAGCAGGGATTGTTTTTTCATATGTGTTCCATATGTGTTTTGCCGGGATGGCATGAAATCAGCCGAGGCCTTTCCGGTGGATGCCGTGAGTTGCGGAGCGATTCTCAGAGTCTTAGCGGCAGTTGGCTGTTGCCCTCGGCAGTTGCTGTAACGGTTTGCTATGGAAATCTAAGGAAAATCACCGTTTTTATAGCCCATAGGATCCATGGTGCTGGTATATATGCTAACATAAAGGGGGTATATTGATGGGATCCATGTTACCATATATATAGCATACATGGATCCTATGGGTAGGTAAATCATCATCATAAATCATCTATAAATGGGCAATTGTCCATAGCTATGTTAAATGACCAGAGAGTAGTAGCTGGTTCATAGCCCTTTTGAGGCTTCTAAGGTAAGTCCTTTATACAGCCGGCCTATACTTTGTACCCAAGGTTGTGGAGTTCAACTGATGTCCTCGGAAAATGGCATGAGTCGTGATGTCCAACAACTAATCATATCATCAAGCCACATAAAACCCCCCAAATGTTTATCAAGTTGATTATTATATAATCATTACATTAACCCCACCACTAGAAATTGTTTATCCATGTTTGCCATTATTTTTAACCAGTCACTATCACATCATTTACTTAAAACTGTCCCACTCAATCATTATACTTCAACCTAAAAACTGCGATAAATATCCCCAGCTGCTTCAGACTCCACGCGTTTAGTCGCCGTGCTATGTGGGGACCGGGTACAGCTTTAGTCGCCAGCGAGGCGACTACCAGCGTTGCCGTGTGGAGAACGTGTGCAGTCGCCTGGGTCTGAAGGTCTTCGCCTTCCTATGGCGCCAGGCTGGTGATTTCATGGATTATCATGGGCATAGTTTGTGGGTCATGACATGTTACCCACTAAAAAAGGGAATCATCTGAATCGCGTTTTCACATGGCCCATCTAAGTAATGCAATGAGATTGGCGTAGATTTGGGATAATTCATGATTCTATTTGAATATGTGTCTATAACTCTGCATACAATGCATTTACGTTTGTAATATGATATCTAGACTAGAGTATAGGAAAGGTAGCATCTTGAAACATGCATGCATACTAGACATGCTGAAAGTTTTCCAGGGGTCGTCCAACAGGATCCTTACTGCTACGACAAAAACTCTCGGGCCTCTAGGGTGTTCTGAATCATTTGGCTGGAAGTTTCCGATAATCGTTATTTCCACAACTGCAAATTGGCATGATGTTCTCAATTTCAACTTTAATGTTTGAGAAATCCGTTGAAAGCGCCAACCACCTGACTTTTCTCGACAATACTGCACATCCTGATATCCCAAGGTTTCGGCACTTTTATTGGAAACTTGTGTGTTGAGAGATGAAGGCTGAAGGTTTCCAAATTTGCCAACTCTGCCGGTCCATGCCGGTCCCGATCGGGGGTCGCAAAGATCTTCTGCACATAAACATTTCGGTACGTTGACTGGGATTTTCGGGCTCAGGTTTGTGGGTACCTTTGAAGGTCAAGCGCTGCTAAATTCTATAGGGGATGCGATGTTGTCGCCCCTGTGGAAGGAGCAGCCCTTGCTTCTGAATCAGATGATTGCAGGGGGGTTGGATGCGCGAATTGTGAAGGTGGATTTGGGCGGTTTGGTGGGCATGGAGTATATCAACAAAGTTAGGCTTCCAATTCCTTTATCAGTTTCCATCTATATGTGCTTCAGTGTTTTAGGATGTTTGGGGGATACTATGGAGACAAATTGTGATTTTAGTCACGGCAGTCCTTTGTGTTCTAGAATTACTTGATTGATAAATTTGATAGGTAGATTTGCGACAGACTGCATATCATAAACAAAATATCAACATGTCAAGTGGCTTGCCAGTTCTATATATGCAAGTGATTTTACTCCAGCCAAGAATTGTAGTTTGATATTTTTCAAGGCATCAAAACAACACTATACAGATGTCCCCTTCGGACTATGGAGCGCATCCTGGATTTGCCAACAAAAACGTGCATCGAAAGCTTGTCCGAGGGAGCGGTTCGGAGCTATAGTTGGGGCTAGTTGGAGTTTCCCAACCACAGAAGAATTACTCACTAAACCCCTCATGTTCGATGGGTAAATTCAAATCATGATGGATAGCAAATCGTCATGATAGGAGAGGATTGGAATAAACTGGAACACATATGTATATAATGTATGTAATGTATGTAATGTATATATATATATATGTACTGTATTCCAATTGGATGGATGGATCTATCCAATCTATCGATGAACCAGGTCGCTTGCATGGGCTTGGACCAGCGTCACATTGGCGTCTCGTCCAACAGGCTTCAGCCTGAAAATTGTTGATTTTAGCCTAAACATGGTGATTTAACCACCTGAAAATTCAGACTCTACCATGAAAAATGTGATTGAACATGATTGAAGCTAACAAAATTTTGTTTTTTTTCAGATCCTCCACTTGGATTACCAGCACCATGGAGCATATGATACGCCTGGGATCTGTAGATGGAGTACATGCTGGATTTTCCATTGCTTACGTACTGTAGTGGAAGACCATATATATATATGTATGTATATTTTATAATGGAAAGCAATAGGCAATTCTGAAAACTCATGCAAAACCTTTGGAAAGCCTCCCCATGTTTATAATAGCCAACGTATCTGGATTTGGGATTTTTTCTAGCTATGCAAGTTAGGCTGAAAGAAGAGAGAAAGATTGATGATCGTAATCTCATCCGGGCAGTAAATTCCAGCTTACAGTCAGTGGGCTGAAATGCAGATATGCAATGCTAAAGTAGGAATCCGTAAGGCTTCTGAGGGGTATATTTGATGATATTTGGGGAACGGATTTACTCAGAACAACTCAGAACATCGTTTCCAAAGATATGCGGGTTTGCTCATGTTTGCCTGTATCAAACCAGAATTTACTGACAAGCTTCTTGCGCAAAGTTCAAATCCGTCAATGATTTGTGTTGTCTGAATAGGCTGCACAGGTCAGACACTTTCAACCCTTTTAGACACCTTTGGATAGGGATGTGTCAAAACCTATGATGCCATAGTTTTAGGAGACAACCGTCCATCTACACCCGCAAAAAGATTAACATAGAACCCAAAAAACAATGGTTTCCAACATTTTGCACGAATGATGTTACTCTTCGACACGGCCCCGAGGAAAGTCGATCCTGGACAACAGCTTCGCAGATTCTCGGACAGCGTGGAAGGATAATCGCCAATGCCGTATCACCCAGATAAGTTCAATATGTATATTATGATATTAGATTATATACAGATATATGTAAATATGTACCCACATGTTGCGGTATTGAACGTCATATTATATATTATATGGATTCATATGGTAGATATGCCGTACTTGGAATCCTGATCCCTTTATGGGGAAGCTCCAGCGAGGCTCATGTGATGCAGCTGGGCAAGAAGTGGGGCCTGGACACCAAGCGCATCGCCGGTGACCATCGTCACAGCCCGGTGCATTTGATGACTGCTCCCACGAAAAATTGATTGTTCGATAAGATATGGTCTAATAATATATATATATATCTATCTATCTATCTATCTATATAATTCTATATATATTAATATATATATGTAAATATATATATATACATATACATGTATATATTATATGGTTTAGTACATTTTAGATCATTTTAGTACTAGAAATTGGTAAAAGAATATCCCAAATGCTCCCTGGTGCTGGCGTATTGACCTACTTTTAAGTCATTCGAACAAGGAGCAAGTAAACAACTATTGATAGATGTTCCATGCGAGCATATGGATATGTCGGGTATGTGTTCATTGGTATCACATTGCTTCGGTCACCATACTTTCATGTCCCGTTCGAGACTGGGTGTTGGGAAGAACCACCTGGAGTGTGAGATGGAACGCATCCAGGTGGTAGATATATTTAATCATTTTTACCGAATCATTTACCCCAAATTTGCCCAATGATAGGTAGATCGGGAAATGTATGTAAATGCACTGTATCACAAATGGATGGTATGGGCTGCTATTGTATTATGTTCTAGTAATGTATCAGCAGAATCTAATCCTTGGTACCATTGTTGCGTGAAGTTATGGATAGTCACATTGTAGTTACAACCTTATTTGCTTGTGACAGGGGCACGCCAATGTACAAGGTGGGTGGGGCCTGCCCAGTTCGAAGTTGGTTCAAAAACCTCGGCGGTATAAACCAAGTTAGCAACCATGTCTTGAGTTCAGCAATGTTATTATCGGAGTCATCGAGTTATATTATAAACCAAGTCATGGCAAAAGATTAGCAAACTATAAAAGTATATAATTAATAGTAATAGTAATAGTACAGTAACTATTGCCATAGCTGTGGACAGCAGCCTATATCTATTCATGCTTTACAACCTGGTTCTCATGTTTCCTCAGCCACATAATTCTGTGGCGAGGCGTCCACGTTTGTGGGGAGGGAGGAGAGTATGAAAGCGCAGGCGCCGTCTGGAGCCATGGTCTCCACAGCCATCGTGGAATAGATTGGATAAAAAACGAGATGATAATTATCTACATTATACCGTATATAATCTTATGTGTATATATATATATATACACAGATGGATGGATGGATGGATGGATGGATGGATGGATGGATGTATGGATGGATGAATGGATGGATGGATGGGTGGATGGATGGATGGATGTATGGATGGATGGATGAATGGATGAATGGATGGATGGGTGGATGGATGGATGGATGGGTGGACGGATGGATGGATGGGTGGGTGGATGGATGGATGGGTGGGTGGATGGATGGATGGATGGATCGACAGATAGATAGATAGATTGATATAGTATAGATATAGTATAGATATATAGTATAGATATAGTATAGATATATAGTATAGATATAGTATAGATATAGTATAGATATAGATATAGATATAGTATAGATATATAGTATAGATATAGTATAGATATAGTATAGATATAGTATAGATATAGTATAGATATAGTATAGATATATATAGATATAGTATAGATATAGTATAGATATAGTATAGATATATAGTATAGATATAGTATAGATATAGTATAGATATAGATATAGATATAGTATAGATATAGTATAGATATAGTATAGATATAGTATAGGTATAGTATAGATATAGATATAGATATAGTATAGATATAGTATAGATATAGTATAGGTATAGTATAGATATAGTATAGATATAGTATAGATATAGTATAGATATAGTATATATATAGATATAGTATATATATATAGTTTAGATATAGTATATATATAGTATAGATATAGTATAGATATAGTATAGATATAGTATAGATATAGTATCGATATAGTATGGATATAGTATAGATATAGTATAGAAATTGTATAGAAATAGTATAGATATAATATAGAAATTGTATAGATAGTATCGATAGTATCTGGATAGTGTAGATAGTATAGATAGTATAGCTAGTATAGATAGTATAGATAGTATAGGTAGTATAGATAGTATAGATAGTATAGATAGCATAGATAGTATAGATAGTATAGATAGTATAGATAGTATAGATAGTATAGATAGTATAGAATATAGAACATAGAATATAGAATAAATAATAAAGAATATCACTGATATTCCACTATGGCCAATGTTCCAAGAGATGATCAATTTCTGCTTCTCCAGCTGTATCCAGTCTTTGATGCTCCTCTTTTCAATCAACGTCTGGCTCTGCCCGAAGGCACAGGTTGAAGGATGACTGGACTGTTGGGCAGGGTTTTCTTGGGCAAAATGTTAATGGAAATCGTGGTTGTTACCAGCCAATACTGTACATATGCGGCGCTCCGGCGAGATTTTCCCTTCAATTCTGGGAGGATAAAATTTCAGAGACGATTCTTCCCGTTTGCTTCTTATGTGGAAGAACATGAAACCATAAGATAGTACAACGTTGCCTCCAATCCAGCCGTCCGTTTCTGCAGGACTTGAACGAAATGAAGGTCTCCAAGTCTTCACATTCGGTGTACCCATGTTCATATAAGCCCAGAGAACAGATTGTTGATTTCAAATCCCATTATAAATCGCATTATAGATCCCACTATAAATCCCATTATAAATCCCATTACATTAAATCATATTACACCACATTAAAGCCCCATTGAACTCCCAGTGAACTCCCTTTCTTCCAGACTCCGACAAAAGAATCTCCGACTCCAGGTTCCATGGAGGCATGCGCCCATCCTTCGGGTGAAGCAGATGGTGTTGCCTTGATGTCTGTGAGGCGGATCCCCATCCCGTCCGGAAAAAATGATGGGTTTATAGATGGGGAATCCCGTCTGGCAGATGACAAGAGCTATTTTCAGCTTTGTGTATTAAAGTTTAGCCAGAATGGGATGGAGAACTTGAGAGATGTGCTTTCCAGTGGTGAATGGAGGCAGCGGTGAAGGGAGCTGTGCTTGAATACTTATATATATATATATTATATATTATATATATATATATATGTTCCCCCAAAAAAAGAGAACCAGTTGGAGCTACGAACAGAGTTTCCCCACCTCATGATACTTGGGGACACACTTGTTATGTAGCAATGTCTTACGGTGTTGGTGATACAATCGGGATATCAGTGATAGAAGTAGCCAACCATGGAATCAATGGAATCCAATGTCGGACACCAAGGAGTTGACTCGCATCATACTTCTATGGTTCAAACATTGTGAAGAATGTTGTTCTGGTATGTTCTGGTTTTGACATCCATTACAATGTAGCTGACATATGGTGATATAGTGGTGATATAATCAGGATATAAGTGATATAACTAGACAAATTGGCATGATATTTATTTGTTATGGGGTTGAAACATCAATAATGGCGAATGTGGGATTTAATTTAATATTATACAACCATCGAATATTTTAACCATATTGAACCAATGAAATATTGGATTTTGATATGTCTTAAAATTTGGTATACCCCAAAATTCACAATCTTAATGGGGAACATTCTGATGAAGCAGTTAATGGGATGGGGTACCTAATCTTTAGATAAACCCATATGTTGATATGGCAATTGAAGACAACCACCATGGGTTTCGAGCATGCGCCTCTGTCCAAGTATGGCAGTCTGCACTAAGCATCCTGGATTGGGATGGGAAAATACCATCGGTTTAACCCATGAACAAATAGATGATTTAGGGGGACCCCAATTTTCATGGGATTTCCCACTATAAACCATATATATATATATACATATATATATATATATGGGAACATATTCCATGGGATTTCCCATTTTAGGAAACATCCATATTCCATATATAGTGGACCTGAAGGTTGAGCGTCTAGCCATGGCTTGAGGGGCTTGGAATCCGCCGTCAGGGAAGCACCATTGCTTGAAGCCAAGGCAGGCCCTCCGTAGAAGTCGTAGATTGAAAGTGGGTGAATTACACCGTGCGTCATCAAAAAAATGTATGGTTTTAGTATCCCCCATGGTTGTCCGTTTACAGAATGCCACTCCTTTGGTGTTACAATATGCCCCCTCCAACCACCTTCTCATAAACGGAAAAAAATAAATTAACCCATTTTTATTTATTTTGAGAATTCTTTTGTATGGCCAGGCATTTTATAAAAATCCTGCCGTCATGTATGGATGATAGATTATGCTAATTTGTTTTTAGTGGTGTGATACCCACAGGTTGCATTTTGTAAAAAAAATGGTATATACCATGTTCAGTGGTATTTTCCATTATTTTGACCGGCCGGGCATTTTGTAAATGGGAGCTTGGATCCTCGTATCACGTCCTCCATCTGGCTCCATAGGTGTGGGATTTTCCTTCACAGGTGGGAACAAAAATGGAAAATAAGCAAAAATCAAATCCAAAGAAGTGATTTTTGGGATGATCCCTGCAAAGGATTCCAACATGCCAGTTTTTCTTCCAGTCCAGGGTATCCCAAATTTGGTGGTGCTCTTTACTTTTGACGCCATTTGCCATCAAACCCATTTTCATAGATGGCATAGATGTATGATTTTTTTAAAGGGGTTTTCAAGCATCTAGGCATTTTATGCTGGCATTTGTTGCAAGTCCCAATAATGAACCTTGGAAGTCCATAAACGGAAAAAAAGGAAAAAATGCTATCGGGATACTTTCAGTTTTTGGACGTGTTGGCATTTCATAAAACCTCAAGTTTTTATATTTTACTATATCTGCATTTTATATTGCGGAAATATGTTTTTCGTAGGGCCACCCATTTTATAAACGCCTGAAGATGCATCTCATTTATGAAGTGACCAGCTAGGGGTAGGTACCCATCAAGCAAGGGGGATGTTTTAGTATATTTTAGTGTGTATATATATATATATATACATATTGAATGTAACAGTCATGTTCACATCTTTAGATGCAGTTGTCTATGGTTTCGCCAGATTCTCTGGACAAAAAACATGAGTAGATTCAGGGTGCCGTGGCCATCACTTGACTGGAAGCACCACATGGAATGTGTTTGGGTTGGTCTGAAAACGGGGAAAAAAACAGGTGTGACATGATGGTTCACCAGCGCATTCAAGGGTAACTACTTGTACCCTAGTTTCAGACAAACCTGTTTGTCTCTATCTATCTATCTATCTATCTATCTATCTATCTATCTATCTATCTATCTATCTATCTATCTATCTATCTATCTATCCATCTACAGTATCTACCTATCTATCTATCTATCTATCTATCTATCTATCTATCTATCTATCTATCTATCTATCTATCTCTCTCTCTATCTCTCTCTATCTCTCTCTATCTATCTTTCTATCTATCTATCCATCTATCCATCTATCCATCTATCCATCTATCCATCTATCCATCTATCCATCTATCCATCTATCCATCTATCCATCTATCCATCTGTCCATCTGTCCATTTGTCCATCTACCCATCTATCCATCTATCCATCTATCCATCTATCCATCTATCTATCTATCTATCTATCTATCTATCTATCTAACCGTCTATCTGTCTATCTGTCTATCTGTCTATCGATCTATCCATCTATCCATCTATCTATCTATCCATCTATCTATCTATCTATCTATCTATCTATCTATCTATCTATCTATCTATCTATCTATATACCTATCTATCTATCTATCTATCTATCTATCTATCTATCTATCTATCTATCTATCTATCTATCTATCTATCTATCTATCTATCTATCTATCTATCTATCTAATCTATCTAATCTATCTAATCTATCTAATATATCTATCTATCTAATCTATCTAATATATCTATCTATCTATCTGTTTGTCTATCTATCTATCTATCTATCTATTTATCTATCTATCTATCTATCTATCTATCTATCTATCTATCTATCTATCTATCTATCTATCTAATCTATCTAATCTATCTAATCTATCTAATATATCTATCTATCTATCTATCTGTCTGTCTGTCTATCTATTTATCTATCTATCTATCTATCTATCTATCTATATTTATATATGTGATGTTTGTGTACTGATTATGCGGATTTCAGCATTTGTCCACCCGCCTCCAGATACTTCGGTATACTTCCGTAGCAGGTAGCTTCAATCAGCATGAAAACGAAGCTGACACACACATCACGGGGACATCCTAAGGTGTTTGTCCGCAAACTGTAAGCTGGGAGTTGAATTTGAATCTGCTGAGATCACTTAACAATCTGAGATCACTTCAAAGTCTGCAGCCAGGAGAAGGAACCGTCACGGTCAGGAACATAGATTCACGGTTAACCGTGGCCAGTAACTACAAGGTGGGGCCCCATAGATTGCTAAGTTGATTTGTAACTTGCTTAAGTATGGTTTATAGATGTTTATAGGGGATAAAATTTTAGTCGATGGGATTTATAAACCAACTTATAAGTGGGGGAGTCCACCTTGTACGAACAATTATGAGTTATGGATGCAGACCCAACGGCGGAAGGGACTTGGAGATGTAGTGGTCTCTGCTCACATTAACTGCAGCTGATAACTCTCCGCTGCCGAGGCTGGACGTTTTGGAGGAGTATAGCTCTTTGCGCTATTACCACGAGACATTCCCGAACCGCTCTCAACAGAGGGTCTGATTTGGTCTCAGTTGTTTGACCATGTGTGACCCACAAAGACATGAGACCAAATACATCCAAATACGTTTATAAGATTATGGGGTAAATATGTTTTTTGTATGGGTCACTGGGTTCTAGGTAGATTAGTGCGTTGAATCTGCTTGACATATTTTGATTGTAAGTGGGGTGGGTCTATTTGCAGCTTGCAAGGATGCGTTGAAGAACACGAGGAAGTTTTGCAGAAATGGGTATGTCCCAAAATGAACCCCCAAAATGGATGGATTGATACTAAAAATGACAAGCCTTCTGTGAGTCCCTTGGCCCATTTCAGTGGCCATTGGCATGGCACCTAGGCCCATGTCAGAGGATCGCCTGGCTGATTTGGTCACAGACGAGGCCCCACGAGAGCGTGGTGACTCCGTAGGAAGCGAAATATCCACTGTCTTTTGCTGTAAGATGTCTAAGATTGGGAATGATTTGTGATTGGGATTCCCTTTTAGATGTCTAACATTAGGATTCCCGAAATGATGTCTAAGATTGGGAATCATTTCGGGAAAGCGATGGTTTCGACATGTTTTGACCAAATGTAGCCAAATGAAATGGTTGAGGCTTGTCATTTCCAAACTCCGGAGATTGGTGTGGACTGAGTGACTGTTTTCATTGTATGAAAGGGATCTAAACAAATGACCAACTACAGGTGGTTAAGATATCCAGCACCCTAAAACAAAGCCTTCAAACAAGTATGACTAACAGAGGTGAATGTAACTACCATATAAATCTACATATATAATATTATATAAGTATTAGTGTACAACATTACAATAGTTTGTAAAACTAGGGTAATACAGCAAATTTCCTCATTTAAACCGAATGGTAAAAGACCGGATTTGTTACGCCCCGCGGCCCCGCGCATCAGGATTCATCTTGTTGGTGTAGACCATTGACAAATGCAAACAGCACAGCTGCAGGTGGACTGCAGGAAAGTGGCAGGTGATTGGCAGCGGTTTCACCCACCAGAAATTGTGATCTAACCAGCCAGAAATTGTGATTTAACCAGCAAGAAATGATGATTTAACCAGCCAGAAATTGTGATTTAACCAGCCAGAAATTGCAATTAAATTGTGATTTAACCAACCAGAAATGGTGATTTAACCAGCCAGGAAGTGATTTAACCAACCAGAAATGGTGATTTAACCAAGCAGAAATTGTGATTTAACAAGCCAGAAATTGTGATTTAACCAGCAAGAAATGATGATTTAACCAGCCAGAAATTGTGATTTAACCAGCCAGAAATTGCAATTAAATTGTGATTTAACCAACCAGAAATGGTGATTTAACCAGCCAGGAAGTGATTTAACCAACCAGAAATGGTGATTTAACCAAGCAGAAATTGTGATTTAACAAACCAGAAATTGTGATTTAACCAAGCAGAAATGGTGATTTAACCAACCAGAAATGGTGATTTAACGAAGCAGAAATGATGATTTAACCAGCCAGAAATGGTGATTTAACCAGCCAGAAATTGTGATTTAACCAGCCAGAAATGGTGATTTAACCAGCCAGAAATGGTGATCTAACCAACCAGAAATGGTGATTTAACCAGCCAGAAATTGTGATTTACCAAATTTGAAATGGTGATTTAACCAGCCAGAAATTGTGATTTAACCGACAAACTTGAGGATATATCCAACCAATATGGTGGATTATTTGGGTCAAGGCATTTCGGTATCTGTTTTGGAGCCAGAAAAAAGTGGCCGGACATTTTCTGGTTTATTCCTCCAAGCAGCAGTGTCTATGACTACAAGTTTTTGATACAACCGTACATTGAGGATCGATGAGCAACCAGTAATACCAGTATATGGGAGCTGTCAGATCACTGTCCAACTGGTGTTTTCCATGATTTGGCTGAGCATGCTTGTGGATTGCGCACACACACACAAATGTATTGCACTGTATATGCTTATGTTGTACTGTATATGCTTATGTACATGTTATCTCATGAGTACCTATATATGCATATATGTCTATGATATATGCATGTATTAAGATTGTATCACTCGTGATTTTCTGCCACCCTTATCCGTTTTTATGGGTTGTCCAGAATCGCAGGTGATTCCCTGAGCAGCATGGCCCTGCCTCCTGCGCTGCAGTGGCTCGTCTAGTTGCTGACAGATTCCTGGGAAGATTGCAGTAATAATAGTCGCATTTGTAGACATGGGCTAATTGATGTTTACATGGCTTGACTATATAGCATGT